ACTGTCTACTACCGCAAGTTGCGCCGCCAGACGCAGCAGCTCAAGGCGGATCAGCCGTCCAGCCAGGCTAGAGCAGCCAAACCGAAACTGGATCGTCGCAAATCCTACGAACAGATGCTCAACCAGCCCTCGCCCAAGCAGCGCCGACCCAGCGAGGAGGCGATGCTCATACTGAAGGACTGTGGCGATAGTCAGCTGGTGGGTGGCTGCCAGGAGCTGTCCAGCAGGCAGCGCAAGATATCCGTGTGCTATGGCAGCAACAACAACATTGCAGCGAATATGATGTCAGGGATTCCCAATGTACGAGCCTCGCTGCATCGGCGCAAGGGAGCCAAACATTCGTGGCACAACAACAGCTTGGACACGGCGGAGATGCAAGCCAGTGCCGGCGAGCAGCTGGACACGTTCTTCGATGCGGGTAAGCTTAAAGAATTCTTCCCTTATGCCAAGCTCTAACCACTGGATCCCCCTTACAGATACCCTAAAGAGCCTGAAGCAGCCGTCGTCATCGTTGTCGGGTGGTAGCAAGGCCAGCAAAAAGAAGTCGCTGCAGCAGCAGTTGGCGCTCAAGCGGCAGGAGTCGGCACCCGCCAGCATGATGCAGAATGAGCTGGCCCTGGAGGAAGAGCCAACATCGCAGAGCGATTTCGATGAGAGTCTAATGCTGGACGATGATGATTTGGCCAATTTTATACCCACCAGTGATCTGGCCTACAACGAGTTCATGCCAGAGGGTCCCTCCGGCTACCTCGCGCTGGATGCAGTTGATGGCAAGTCGAATGGCGCGGAGCAGCCGCAGCTGCAGAAGCAGGCGACCAAGAAGTCGCGCAGGCTGTCCTCGCCGGCCTTCTTCAAGTCGCCGTTCAGCAAGAGCAAGAACAAGGGCGGCAGCTTCAATGGCTTTGGCGGCATCAAGAACAGCCATTCTGTGCACGAGTCCACCTCCTGGGAATGGTATCGCCTGAAGCGCAGCGAGAAGCAGCAACAGCAGCAGCAGCAGCAGCCGCATCATCATTCAAAGCAGACCAAAAGTTTGCCCAATTCCAGCCTGGATAGCTCCTCGCTGTCCGAGGTGAATTTCCCACTCAATTCGAACTCCAATTCGACACAAAACTCATTTCGCATACTCGGCGAGGCCATACGCTCCTCGGGGGAGTGCAGCAGCATAACACCGAATGGAAATGGCCAGGCGGGTGGCAGTAGCAGCGGCAGTGGCAGTGGCAGCAATAGTGGCGGCAGCACCACCTCCTCCACAACGAAGAAGAAGCAGCGCGCTTTTAATAATTTATTTCGTAAAGTTTTTTGAGACCTTTATTGCTATATTCTAAAGCCCAGTGTTCACCACGAAGAGAGCCGTTGATAAATTGTTATATATTTGTTTTGGTAGAAAAGTATGAAAAGTGGCCCCCAATTTCAGTTCCTTTTAAATGACTGCAAAGAGAAACAACAAATTATAGTACTTACTTCTATTTTGTAAACCTTTTCCAGCAACGATCTTTGTGCTTTTGCCTGCTAGCAGCCGCAAAAACTAAACCGAAACGAAGGCAACTTTTGTCTACGAGAAATCGTTTAACTGAAATAATTTAATTACAAAACATAAGTTGATAATTGTATGCTAAATATGTATGTATATGTTTATGTATGTGTAATTCCATGCCTCGTTATTCTTGCTATCTGAAAATCCCTAACTTTAATTCGATGAAAGCGAAAAAACATTTTGCAATCTGTTTTCTTTTGCCACATTTAGCAATTTTGTTATTATTAGCAATTCTACAATACAATTAGTTAATAGTTTAGTTTTTTAATTTATAACTAAAATACACTTAACATTTATTTAAAAAACGATTCTTCTATATCTTCAATTCGCTAAGGAATTCGGCCACTTCGAGCGCATCCTCGTTGGCCAGTTTGTGCTCTTTGATGGCCGTGTTTAAGCCACGTCCGGCGGTGCCCATGGCCTTTTGCCAGTGCTCCACAGTTTTGTACTTTTCATCGTTGGCACAGTAGACCACCTCGTTGATGTCCTCCTCCAGTTTGTAGCTGCAGACGGCCGGGAAAACCTTTTGCAAATTGGCCATGGCCTCCGTTTTGAGCGTCTCATCGCGACACACCAGATTGAGCATGAACAGACCCTTGGGTCCAATGATTTCCTTGATGTGTAGAAGTACATCGTGGGCTAGAAAGCCTTGCGGTGGACAGCTCATGCCCAGGCTGAGATCTTTGCTGTCCACATCGAATAGGACCGCATCAAAGTGGATGTCTATAAAGAGAATAAACACGTTACAGAGGAACCCAATTAAGGGATATCCACGGATAGCTCTACCTTCATTACGACAGCGCTCCACAAAGGCCAGACCATCGTCTATGACCACATGGAAGCGTTTGTCCTGCTTCAGTTCGAAATATTGCTCGGCCACCTCAAGCATTATGGGATCTATCTCCACAGCCGTTATACGCGAATGACTGCAAATGAGATTTCATTAACTAAATAAACAGAAAGAAGATGTTGTAACCCTACGGTAGAGCGCCATGTAGAAAGCTGCACAGTCCCCCGCCGCCGAGTCCAATGACTAGCACATCCTTTTGTTCATTCTTCTTGGGATTCTGCAGCGTTGTGGCCAGTTGAACGCCCACGGACATGTACAAATGATGCTGACAGGCCAAATAACCAAAGTCAATCTTCTTGCGCTCCTTTTTGCCCTTGATTTTAACTGAAATGAAATGGGAATATAAGAAAATTCCCCAAGCAGCAATTATTCTGCGCCACTTACTTGTTTTCACCAGCGCCTCTGATTGCACAACAAACTGATTGCTGAGAAATATCAGACGGCGCAACGTTTTGCCACCGGCCGCCACTTCCTCGATGCGAAAGTCGCCGGATATCTTGGAGAAGCCACTGATCAGTGTCTCCCGCTTGCCCACATCGCTGCCCAGCGACAGATATGGAATCTGTTCGTTAAGTCCAAATGGAGCCAAACTAGTGACGGTGTCCCCCAGCTCTGCCTTGACCTCGTCGAGGGTATTGTAGACTTGATCGCGATGTAGCGTAACCACCGCAAGACGTTGAAACTTGGCCGATGCCTGCAGCTTCTTGCGTCCCGCTGGGGTGCCAAAGAGCCACTCAACCTCTCTGCCCTGCGGCACAATAAATGCCGCATATTTGCCCAGGCCTCTGGCTGCTGGCTGATCCAAAATGTATATGCTATAGCGTGGAGTGTTCTCCGAGGGTCGATACAGATCCAGCGTCACCTCATCGTGCCCGGCAATGCTGGAGCGGGCCAAGCCATTGCATACAAGGGCGGCCTTTTGCACGGAAGACACGGCGTTGCTTAGCTCAGCAGATTCCGTAAATCTTTGCATTTTATCGTTGCCCAAACCGAATTCCAAAATCTGTAAATAACAAATGGGATTAGTAGTAAATACAGCTTCATTTGGCAACTACTAACGGGCATGGGAAGACTCTTAAATTTGGTGGCAATGACCACAAAAACGGGCAGCTTCATGGCATCATCGGCATTCTTCTCCTTGTTGGCCTGCTCCACGCCCAAACAGTGTACGATGCGCAGCATGCAATTGTGACGGGGCAGAAAGTCCAGCAGAAAATTGAGGATGTGCTCCTGCAGCAAGGATATGCACACATAGCGACCGCCATTCCTAAAATTAAATACATTTTGGTTCATCCTAGGAAGCTTGATGACTCCTGGGCCTACTTACCTCATGGTACGTAAAATCTCCTTGAAATAGTTCTCCACGACAGCTCGAGTTTCGACGGCATCATCCACAAACAGCGCGTCCAATGTGCCCTTGTCCAGTGCCACAGAGAAGCTCTCGTCGGAAAATGTCATGGCTGTGGCATCCATTTGCAGGAATTTCATGTCCGGACGCGTGCGTGCATTCTGTTCCAACATCTTCTTCACAGCCACCGGGGAGATATCAATGTTGGTTATGTATCTGGGGAGGACAATGCTTTTGGGTTAGAATATTCCATAGAGTCTCGGCTTTTTACATACCTGAATCCCGTGTCATACATGTCCACGCTCAGTTTGGAGTTGCCGCATCCCAGCATCAGAATCTTGTCCACCGGCTTAATGTATTTGTGTATCTGATCGCATAGGTCCAGATATTCGCCATACCTAGGAAATTGTATATGCAATTTTGGTTAAAAACACATGTTGCTTTTTGTTGGTCCTAAAGCTCACATTTTACATACCATTCAAAAGCCTTTTCGCCACGCTTCTTGAAGAACTCGTTCCAGTAGTCGGTTTGCGCAAACTCTTCGCGTGTCTTTGGTAGTAAATTCATTGTTAAATAACAATTAAATGAAAGAATATAATAAACAATAAAGCGCGGACTTATCGAAAGCAGACCAGCAGAAATATACCGGTATATACCAAAAAATGTTTTTAAAATACCATATACTGGCTGGGCAAAAAAAGTATGTTCTAGGTGGAAGGTATTTCACGAAAATTCAAATGCCCAATCGTGCAACACGAGCCCTAACGCTGCCATAATTATACACATAAAAGAGCCAGATTGGACAAAAAAATAAATAAAATTGTAAGCCTAAAAAATGTTCACATAATCAATTGAAATTTAACGGCGCATATTCCAAACACAAAATATCGACATTATCATCGTGCAATACATCGCATCCAAGCACCACCATCGTTTTAAGCAACCTGAGAGAGCAGAGCAGTGCTAGCAACTTTGTACAAGGAAAACATAGCTAGATGGAAATATAAGAGACAATTTTCCTAACACATGTTTGTGATTCATAACATACAAATGTATTTATCTAATTCAAAATAATCTGACAAAAAAACATAAAATGGCTAAATATGGAGTCAACATTTCGAACAATTTCATAATATGTATACCAATCAAACCATGGATATCAAAATCCAGCTGTAAACTAGCTGAACTGGCAGCATTGGAGCAGCGACCGCAACGACCAAGTGGGGGCAGAGAGCTCAAAAGCGCCAACGCTGCAATGTAATTTTCAGTTTACTTTGCAGCTCTCGCAGTTGATAATAAATTTTCTCTGGAGCCCGTGGAGCGTTTCTGGAGCTCCATTTTGACCGTGCTCTGCCGTGTTCGTTACAAAATTTGAAAAAAGTGCAAAAGCTCGTATTGAGAATGTTGTTAAATGAAAATTACAGATAAAATTCCAAATTTTCGTTGATAAATTTACAGTTTTTAATAGAAAATACCCCCAAAAAAGAAGCATCTCTCCAAAATTAAGTGTTATGTTGTGTGAAGTGTGGTGTGGCTGCAGCTCTAATCCAGATCCTGTGAATATCCATACATAGCCATTCCGAAAAGCTAATAACAGTTTGGTGAGTCTTCTTCCAATACGCCATACCACCACACTTAGTTCCAATTAGAAACTGTGTAACTGTAACAACCCCTGCCACCCATTCTCAGATAGAACCACGAAAATAGTCCAAAAATGTTCCCAAAAAATTGATTACGCAGTACTACACTTCCCATCAAAGTCTTCTTCAGCCGCCGCCAGTTCGGGTTTCTTTTTCAGTTTTGTGTTGTGTTGGATTTTAGTAGCAAAAATGCGTTGGTTGCTTTTATTAATACAACATACACACACTCACACTTGACCGTTGAGAGAGTGGGAGAGAGAAAGAGTGTCATATAAACCAGCTTTTCAGAGAGAAGGAGCATGCGCAGTGGCTGGCATGAGCGGCAAATGGCCGTGTTGTTTTTATATCCATTACTCTGAATTTACTAAGGTATATGAGTTGAAGTAAGTTTATGTGTTAGCATCCACGATTGGATTCGGTCAAAGCCATTCGTCGTATGTTTGAACATCGATTTGCAATAGCTAGAAAATGTTTGTTTCCGCCCCTAAAACTATGAAAATTAACATTCAATACCACCTGTAGATGTAAGTCACTTGGTACAGGGTATCTCTTTGTCGAATCACTCGACCAAATAGTTCTCGCTGGTTGGTGAGGTTGCGGAGGGGCCTCCTGCAGGTGAATGCTGTTGCCGTTGTAATGTGGATTTGTTGTGGTATGTGCGCGCGGCAAAATCTCCGGCCTGGCATGGCATGGCACCGCGTCCATATTCCCCAACTGAAAACTAACTTTGAAAACCTATAGCATCGCATCCAATGGCCATTGCATTGACGTTGCTTTTAGTTGAGCTCGCTTTTCTCTGTCGTTGCTATTGTCATTCTTGGCTATTTGCGCCTGGGTCGGGCTGTGGGTGACGTCACACACTGGGCCAAGCTATATTTAAAACTCGTTTCGACGCTTTTCAAATGGCCATTGTTTTTGGAATAGTCGCCAGTGCCTAGCCCAAGCCCCATTCAAGCTGAAGGTAAGGCACTAACAAAACATACCGATATAGTGGTCACCAGTTGGCACCCAGACCAGATTCAAGCCAAGCGAAGATCGGGATTCAATTACCTTCTGTATATTTTACCTTGGCCTAGCCCATCTCCCATTTCCAACTGTAAGAGGAGTGCTCTCCGTCCAGGGTCGCCTTTCTATCGCATTCTACTTACTCTTTTATGTTTGCTTTTCCCTCTCGTCTTTTCAATGTTTAAACAGAACGGCGATAAGCCAGTTTAAGGTTGTGTTTGTGTATGTGTGTGGCTGATATGATTTCGATGTCGTCACGTGGGAGTTGCTGTTGGAGTTCTTTGCCGCAATTTTGACAATCCAACTCAACGGCCATAGAGAATGACAGAGAGAGAGAGAGAGAGAGAGGAGAGCTAATTGCATTCTCCTGCTGATAGTGTCGTCAATTAGCTGAACGCTATATATAGAAATGATCTTCGTTCCAGCCGGGAATACAGGGAGCGAGAGAGTTGGAAATGTTCTTCGATTCAGCGGATGGAAAAAGAGAAGTGGATAGAAAGAGTTCCAAGTGATATTCGATTGAACAGTGAATGGAGTAGGAAAAGAGAGAGATAAGCTGAAAGAAGAGATGGAACACAAACGTAGAGAAAGAAAGCTTTGGATAGCATTGCATATCGATCGTTGTTCGTTGAATGAGAATTTACAGTTAGTCTTTGCCCCTTCAAGTACCGTAATAAGTAACTGCATTTACACACATACAATGAACATTCAGTGGTATGGGTAGTTGTGCCCCATATATCTTAATATCTTCATCTATTTGCGCTTCCGTTATTCGCACGGCCCGCCCCAATGTCATGCGATATAAGTAGTACCTACACCTTTGGCGCCCGGCTTGCCACCTATCTTTGGATCTGAGCTTAGTCGACATGCAAATGTGCCATAAAAAGCGCTCCGTCGTCTTGACTTTTCAACTTTAAAATCAGGAAAAGGAAATGCATGGAATGGAGGAAGGGACAGTGTAAGGAGCGCATCGTAACCCCCAGTTGGCGTCCAAAATTCTCTAAAGACACGCCAACGGCTGCTTAGCTTTGGAAAAGGTTACAAATTTGCATAAAATCGAATATTTACATGTGTTTCTGCTATGGGAATATTGTATGTGTGTATGTGTGTGTGCGTAACAGTTCCGATGATGGGGTCAACATCGTAAACCTGCTGCTGGTGGGACCGCAGACCCATAAAATACATTCTCTTATGCAGATTAGTAGATGGCGAGCAAGCTCTCGGAAGGGAAACCCTTTGTGTTTCATTGATATGAAAATACTTTAGATAAGAAAATGCAAGTGATTTAAAAATAAGAGATAGATGGATAAAGTATGGAAATTGTCTAGGAATACTCGTAGTTGAATAAAGCAACTCCCCTTGAGTGTTACGCCCTTGTAAGAGTGTTTCCCATTCGATGTTACAGGCTGTTATCCTCCATTGTTTATGGGATTTATGTTTATGCGGATGCCAGCAAAATTGACTGAATAACAGGAGGGTGGTGAGGTGGCCACTGACTGCGGAGTGATGTCTACATGCATATATCGATATGGAAGCCATCACCTACATACAATACATGACTATGACGACGACTACGACTAAAAGGAAAAGTGGAGCAAATAAGGCAAAAGAATTGTGCTGCCTTGGGTGGGGGTGTGAGAAGGAGTCTAATGGCTAGTGGTTAGGGGCAAAGAGACCCACTCATAAAGTTGGTAAAAGTGACAAACAGAACACATGTTTCCACTCAATACATGCATATGTATAGTACAATATGTACATGTGTAGCTGTGTGTAAAATGTTTTGTGTGTGGAACACCCTTTGCGGAAAACATCATTTATTTCCATCCAATTAAGGCAAAGTCAGGTCTCTCACTAGCACTGTGCAGGCGGCCGCTGCGTGTGTATGTGTGTGTGGGCGCATTTGTTGCTAACAAACGGAAAGAAAGAACAAAAGCTTTTAGTAGAAATGTTATTAGCAAGGGTGACGGCTAAGTGATACCCTAACAGATACAGATCTGGGAAACTGAACAAAATGGTACAGAAATCTATCCACTTCCTTAGGATACTCGTTTAATAGTAAACAATTAAATTTTGTTAATGAAAAATCACATGCGGAAGCGTCAAACCAGAGACCCGGTGTGTGTGGGCTTACCAGAAGTGATTTAAGACACTTTGCCGTTTTACTGTTGCCTGCAGCGACATTTCAAAAGTTTTGTAATAAATTTAGTTACTTTTATATTATTGCAGTCGCCAAGCAGCAGCAGCAGCAGCCAGTGTTGGTGTTGTGTCCGTAGCCGTGTCCGAGTCTAAGCCCGAACCCGCACGTCCGCTATGATGCTGGACGATGACAACTCAGATCTCTTGGTCTGTGCATCCGAAATGATGAAAGGTACGTGCAAAATAAAACATGCTTCGAGTCTCTAGAGATGCTAATAGACCCCTCTTTCAGACCGTTTGTATTTTGTGGCGTTCAAGAAGAACATTAAGCCCAAGAATACCGTCAACACGCATTACTTTAGCATCGATGAGGAATACATCTATGAGAACTTCTACAGCGACTTTGGCCCGCTGAATATCTGCATGCTGTATCGATACTGCATGAAGCTCAACACAAAGCTGAGTGCTAAGTGCCATGCCAACCGAAAGATTGTCCACTACACCTCCATGAACCCGGCCAAGCGGCTCAATGCGGCGTATCTGATCGGTTCGTATGCCGTAAGTATGGCAAAAGGTCAAACCACACGGTCCAAAAATTAACTGAGAATTTCGTGTTATAGATAATCTACCTGAATAAGACACCACTGGAGGCATATAGACCTCTGGTGTCTGGCGAAATACCCGCCTATACGCGCTTCTGCGATGCCAGCTATGGTCCCAGCAGTTTTAAGATCTCTCTGCTGGATTGCCTGAATGCCGTGCACAAGGGCCTGCAGGCGGGCTTCTTCAATTTCGATGACTTTGATGCCGAGGAGTATGAGTACTTTGAGCGCGTCGAAAACGGCGACTTCAATTGGATTGTGCCACAGAAGTTTATTGCCTTTTGTGGTCCACATCAGAAGAGCAAAACGTTGCCCAATGGATATCCGTGCCATGCACCCGAGCGTTATTTTTCGTACTTTCGGGATAATCATGTGACGACTGTCATTCGGTTGAATGCAAAGGTCTACCATGCCTCGTCGTTTGAGAATGCCGGCTTCGATCACAAGGATTTGTTTTTCATCGATGGCAGCACACCGAGCGATGCCATCATGAAGAAGTTCCTCTCCATCTGTGAGACGACAAAGGGTGCCATTGCCGTGCACTGCAAGGCGGGACTGGGTCGCACGGGCAGCCTCATTGGCGCGTATATGATGAAGCATTATGGCTTCAGCGCCTTGGAAGCCATTGCCTGGCTAAGGCTGTGCCGGCCAGGCTCCGTGATAGGACATCAGCAGCAGTGGATGGAGGAGTAAGTATAGATTTAGATAGCACCCCGCCGAGTCCCACTAATCCGCATGTATTTTGTATTTACAGCAAACAAAGTTGGCTGTGGTCAGAGGGTGAACGTATGCGACGTCGCAGCGGCATTCCCATGCTGCGGCACACTTATGGCATCTACAGCCTGGAGCTGAAGACCAAACTGACGGAGGCCTCGGCCGCCTCGAATCCCCTCGAGCAGGTGGATCTGCTGATGAACCGAGTCAAGAGAATTTCACAGCGCGTGGACACAATGCATCTGCATGATCAGGACACCGCACTGGACTCGGCTACCGATCAGACGGACGAGGAGATCTCCGAGCAGCGACGACTCGAGCGTAACGAACGAGCGCTGTATCGCTGCAGCACGGATGATCCCAATTGCAATGGCAGCGACAACGACACAGACACGGCCAGTGCACCGGCTGAGGCCCCACCACTCGCCTCCACCTACACAATGTCCACGCGTCGGCGCAAGTCCCCGTCGGCGTCCAACAAGCCCACAGTTATAGCCAACTCGCTGAGGCGTCTGGTCAATCCGGTGGCCGTCAATCGTAATGTTCACAACGTTACCCCACAGGCGACAACTCCGGGGGTTGTCTATCCCACAGCGGAGGCGGCCAGCTGCACCGAGAAGAAGCTGCGTAAGCAGCCAACTGGCAATGTATTTGAAGCGGCACGCCACACCATAGCCTCGACGGTGCGCATGACGCAGACGGCGCTGGAGAAGAAGCAGGCACAGACGCAGGGCGACAAACTGAATCAGATCAAGGCGCTGCGGCGGCACCATTCGCGCTCCGTAAATGTCAACAGCAACAGGTGAGAAACGGAACCCCCTGGAAGATCCCTAGAGACTGACAGTCGTTCTGCTTTCAGCGAGCCGGACTCGAACCTGAGACATACTCGCGCACGTTCTCAGCCCTTCCGGAACAACAACAACGGTGGGTCGACGACGATAACAACCTCGAGGTGTGCAACACAGACAACAACCTGCCTGCTGCAGGGTACAATGCCGGCAGTGTCTTCGGCAGCGGCAGCCGTTGCCTTGGCCAATAATCTGAACAATAACAACAACAACAATAGTACCATAACCCACAGCAGTACTCTAAGTCCATCTCTGAGTAATCAGATTTATAATCAGAACAAAAACAACAACAACAACAATGATGGCACCACTAACAATCTCCTGCCCGGCAGTCGCACCCGCAGCCTGGCTATCTACAGCAAGAGGTAAGTGGTGGACCCAACCCCCCACCCCGCCATTGATCGAACTCGAATTCGAAACTTTCTCCCACTCGAAATGTACCCAATAGATGCCTCTTTTTTTGTTGTTCGTTGGATTCGATTTGTTGCGCTCCCGATTCGGCTTTAACCATTTTTTCTCGCCCTAATTCGTTTTCCTTTTCCCCATTCCTTGAGTTGTATATAGAGTGTATATCTCCATTAATTTTCGAAACCCCTTCCTGCTCCGTAATATAATTTGCACCAAATTTAACCAAACACTAACCAATCAGGAACTATCGATAATTATCCTTTACTAAATTAAGCTACCAATATGGCGTATGTACAGCCACATAAGCTATTGATAATCGTTATATATCGTTTGTCGATTACAAAATGTAACGGCGTATGTACAGCCAGGAATAATCGTTGATCACTGATCCATTATCGTTGATCGATTACTAAATTTAGCCACTAACTTTAGTTTAGAGTAGAGAGAAACAACATTTTGTATTTGGCATTGCCTGCAGTTTGTTTTAAAAATTCCGTCTTGTGCATGCCCAAAATTTACAAGCAAAAAATAATTTATTTGCGCATAAAAAATAAACTATCAAAAAACCTATCGAAATTGTATGTAAAGCTTCTTGCGATTATTATTTTTGTTTTTGTTTGTTTTTCTATTGTTTATGGCTTGTGTTTTTTTTTTTTGTAGCATTTCCCCCGCTCCATATCCCCTCCACCCGGTATCTATAGTCTGTATCTCTTTATCTGTATCTTTATCTCTTGTGCCGCCACACGCCACTCGTTCCATTCTATGCTCTACTACCAGAATGGAATTAAAGCACCTGCGCAAGGCGGAACAGCAGGAACAGCCGGTGTCCAACAGCAGCATCAAGCCACCGCCATATGCCACCATCAACGAGAGCAAAATCCCTGTGGTGATGATGAGCGTAGGTGCTGCCGGTGCCGGTGCAGGTGCAGCTGGCAGTTCGGCCACCATTCCGCCCACGCGTGGCAGTGCCGCACGCACCTCGCATCACCACATGACGCTGCGGGGTCGCTCGCGTATACGCTATCAGCGACCTGCGGCAGGGGAGCCAGCGCCGGCGGCTGCCCAAACGCAGCCCTGTACGGTGGCAACGGCGCGTTATTATCGCGATGTGTCCGCCATACCCACCGCCATGTCATCGCTGGTTGCTCTGGGTACTAATAGTTCTTCCAATTCTGCTTCCACTTGTACAAATTCTACTGCTGGTTCGGGTTGCTATAATATAGCCACAAGATCCGCATCCGCCACGCTCGATCTGAACTCGAATCCATTGCCCGCGGCCACAACACAAGGGACTGGTACTGCGGCTGGGGCCAAGTCCAAACTATCGAACAACAACACGAACAACAACCTCAACAACAACTGCAATTTGAGTAATGCCCATTCTTCTGTTTCTCCTCCACCCAACCATAACAACCACAACCACCTACCAACATCCTCTCCAGACACAGGCCGTCTTAGTGGGCGTGGCAGTGCCGAACTGGAGGCAATCATCGAGCAAGTGGGCGCGAGACGGAACAAGCGATCCCTGAGCTCTACGCGCCTGGACAAGGACAAGTGCGACGAGTACAACACGAAGTTGCTGCGAAAGACGAGCATTGTAGCAGCGGCGGCAGCAGCAGCAGCAGCAACCGCAACCACTCCTGCCAACAACAATCACAGCCATAGTGGAGGCAGCAGCAAGTACAGCAGCAACAGTGGCACACCCACAACACCCAGTACGGGAGGCAGCTTCAAGCTATCGCGTCGTGTGTTTGGTGAATCGGGTTCCTCGGCATCCACATCGGCCTCCAACTCGGGCATACCCACGCCTACAGCACCGCCAACATCCACGCAGTGGCAGCAACACCATGTGGTCCCTCCACGTGTTGGCAGTCGCCTGTCCAGCGATCGGGAGCGAGAGCGTCAACAGCAGGAGCAGCAGCAAGCGCTGAAGCTGCGCAAGAAGATCAGCTACTGAGCAGAGTCCCTGTGCCTTCTGGTTGTCTTTTGTTTCACACCCAAACATACATAAACCTTTTGTTAAATAGTGAGAAATTAAACCTCTAATTAGAAAGAGATTGCAAGTGCCACTTGAATCATCTTTTGCCTTAGCAATTCTTGTACAAAAGTTAACGAATCATTAAATTCAATTTGAACCTCTTGATGTTTTATCACAAAACCAAAACGAAACCCTTTTTGGATTGTATTAACGAACGAAATTTATGTGCATTATTCAGACTCATTTAGAGTGTAAATAGGATACAAGTTTATTTAGTTGTAAGCCAACAAACACCCCCTATATACATAGCCATAATAAAAATGTTAATAATATACAAGTACTTTGGGTTGGTCTAGATGGCATATAAAAGGATGGATAATCTTACCATATATCTTACCATTGAAAGGTACGATTTTTGAATGGAAATTATAACAAAATTCGTAGCAAAATAACAGTTCCTCTTAATAAGGAACTAGACAAGCATATCCTTAAAATAACCAATCATATGGCCATAGATCTTGTCCTCTACTTCCAGAAAAACTTGATCAAAATCAACGTCTAGCACAACTTTAACAATTACTTGATTGTTAGTCGATGGAACTGTAGAGATATCGGGTGTAATGTTCAGCGCGCTCAGCAAGTCCATCAGCTGGTCCTTTTCATTTTCGTAGTCCTCGGAATTGATGACATCAAAGGCGGCCTTCTTCAGATGTGGAAAGAAGTTCTTGTAGTAGTTGTGTGCATCGCACAGTTTGCGTCCAGTGAATTCCGCATTGCCCGATTCGGTGAGCTCACGGTAGGTGGTGAACAGCAGACGACGTTCGGCCTCAATATCGTTGATGGCATCGGCGGGAGCTGCACTCACGTCCGTGGGCTTGGTGCTGACCACCTGCATGTTGCCAAACATGTTCGAATCGGCTGAGATAACCGACAGCATCTCGATGGCCGCACGCTGGCGGGCATCCTTTTTTTTGTCCGACTTGCCGTAACGCTTGATTGAGGCCACTGTGCAGCAGGCCACGAATTCGGGTGCATCTGGGGTGCCGCTCTGCTGCACAATCTCGATGAAGGGCAGTGGCGACTCATGGCGAACGCAGTAGTCACGCAGCTCCTTCACCATATCGCGATTTAGGTTCTTTAGCTCATCGTACCAATCCGAACCGTTGTCAACGCCATTTCCATCGGTGTCCATATGCTCGCTCAGTCCCGGTATTGTGCGCAGTTTCTTCAGCATATTCGCGGCTGCCAAATGTTTGGAGTCGCGCTTTGAGCGACCTGATGTATAGAGAAATGCGTATGAAGTATGGTAAAATATAAATGTATGATATATTTACAGTATGTAGAGTATAAATTGAGTTCACTTACCATTTCCATAGGCTTCGATTTCCATTAGAATGATTTTGCAAATGTATCCTCCGTCTTCTCCGTCAATGTAATCGTACTTCGGCACCGGAGTCTTGCTTTTGGCGCAGAATTCTTGCAAGCTTGAAACGGCAGACTTTTTCTCCATTTGTTTATATAAATGATTTTCCGCTGACAAATCAAAAACAAAATTCAAGTCTTTAGAGATGGTCGATGCTCGATAGCTGGTTATCGGTTATACTTTAAAATACTTCATAAATATTTCATGAAATCATAAGCTAATATTAGATGGTAACATTTAATTAGTTGTAGCCTTCGAATGGTTATTTTAAAGCCACTGCGCAATGAATTAATAAACATGCGATTTAATATGCATACACGTCAGCGAATGCTACCAGCAGTTGGCAGCCCTTGCATTGTATTAACAAGTGTTGCTGCCAGAGATGAGCAAAAGTAACATCGCCAAGTCTCTGGAAGTTTATTTTAATATTCCTAAAAAGTGCAGTTAAGGTACAAGACTTCAAAATAATTGTCATTTTATTAACCCTAGTAAGCGTACGGTCAGTAATTGTTAAATAGCATTACTTAACCTGCTGTTTATGATATTTCGCAGCAAGTGAAAACTGTGACTTTAAAAATACTTGTGACAAGTAGCAGCCGAGTGCACTGCCGTCATCTCCAATTTCAGGTCAGAATCAGAAACGAAGGCGAAAATTCCGACTCTCAGAGGGCACAAACGGACGGACGTTTATAACTTCGTTTCATAATCAATAATTTCTCTTGCTGAAAGCAAGCACAACACACAAAACGAATCGCAAACACATATCGTTTTTCGTTAGTTAAAGTACAAAATTCCAAACTATTTTCGGTAGCAAAACGAAGAGGAGCTAAATCAAATGTAAAAGTTTGTCAAAACATACAAACGACTATTGTTCGTGTGTGTTTGCGCGAAGCGGAGCCCCGAGATTGAGAGGAATAGGAAGTGAACAAAACTTAGGGTCCAGCAGCGACTGCAAAACAAAAAACGAAACAACGGAGTCACAAGATCAACACAACCAGTAGAAAGTGTGTTCAGCAGCGTTGGGGGTCACAATAATGGACGACACTGCCGCCTCACCCGCAGCGGCCACAGCCGCTGGCTGTGATGCTGCCCGTGACAAGACAACAAACGCTGGCGTCGCAGTCGCGGCAGCAGCCAGCAGCACCAGTGTGAGGCTTCTAATTAAGTCATCCAATCAACAATATGACGACATGAATGTCGACAGTGACCTCTCCTGGACGGTTCAGCGACTGAAGAAGCAGCTGTCCCTGGTGTATCCTGGCAAACCGGTAAGCTAATAATTTATGTACTTCGTGCTATTGTGTCATTGTTATCGTAGTTTACGTCAGCTGTTTCGTGCGGCAATCTTATCGTGTTTTGTTTTTTTCGGTTGGTTCATTCAAATCAAGTCTGTGCAATTTGCGTCTTAGTTTCGTACACGCCAAGTACACGTCAGTACATCCAGCGGCGGCAGGGCATGCCGTGCATCAAGCTGCAATTTATTGCAATTGTCATGCCTCTTGCGTCATGCAGCAGCAGCAGCGTGTAATGTGTGTTCCCCTTTCTACCTTCAGGACATCAACGATCAAAAGCTCATTTACTCCGGCAAACTGCTGGACGATGCCCAGAAGCTGTCGGAGGTTATTCGCAGCTACAAGGATGTCTACCAGCAGCATCACATCTTTCACTTGGTCTGTGCCAGCAAGCACTTTCCGAAGCCACCGGCCATGCCCACGGTTGTGCCCAAGAGTGCCACAGCTCCACGGCAGGAGGCCAATGCCAATGAGCTGCGTCAGCGTCATGCCACAAATCAACAGCAGCAGCAGCAGCCGCCACTGGAACTGCCACAACAGCAGGCCAACAGCGTGGACAGTGATGAGAATCTTGCCATAAGAACATGGTACGCTCTCTGGCTGCGGCAGCAACAGACGGCCATACACACCGATCCGCATGTGGCCTACCAGCAGCAGGCGCTGCTATACAATGCCTGGATGAGTCAGGTCTATGACAGATATCTGCAGGATCTAATGCGTGGGTGAGTCTGCTTTTTTTCTGGCATCTCTGAGGCAGTTTTAAACAATTTTCGTTCTCCCCTCTTAGTGCCGAGTCCCCGCCTGGCAATCGAGTACCTCTGCTGCCGAATATGCTGCCACAATGGGAGCTGGACGCCAGGCAGCGGGTTGCTGGCGCAGCTGCAGTTGCAGTTGGCGTTCAACTGAATCAGGCGCAACCTGTCGCACAGCCTGCGGCAGCGGCTGTGCCACCAGTACCTAACAGACCAAACTTTCCCCTCATTCAGGAGGAGCCCGAGAATCGAGACTGGCTCGACAGCTTCTTCAGCTTTACGCGCCTGGCCCTTTTCGTGACTGTCTTGTACTTCAATTCGTCGCCGCTGCGTTGCCTGCTGGTGATGCTCATAGCTGGTGTGATTTACCTGTGAGTGCCACAAAATCTTTGATGCCTGTTAAAAGTATGCTAAAGTCTTGTTTCTTTCTGTTAGCTATCATATTGGTGTGCTGCGACGTCGTCGGGAGCGTAACAATAACAACATCAATCGCAACAATAATGCTGGCAATGCTGCTGCTGCCTTTGCTGCAGTGCAGCAGATTCAACGCATGATGGATGCCGTGGAGCGTGAGAATAACGATCCGCAGGCTGCAGTCGAGCCGGCAGTGGGTGCGGGACAGGATGCACCCGGTGCAGCCGTCGCTGATGCTGCTCCAGCTCCAGCTGCTGCTGCTGCTGCTCCTGCTGCTGCTGCTGTTCCAGCCACTGCCGCTGGACCCGAACAAGCGGCCGCTGTTTCAGCTGAAGCCGCTGCCGTGGAACCACCAAATGCCAATAACTCTGTGATTTCCGTTGTGCGCACCTTTGTCATTACGTTCTTCACCTCGCTGCTGCCCGAGGCACCGGCGCTGTAGAGGATATTCTTCTATCAACTTCTACTGTCTACTATAACCATTCGCGGGCGCAGCCGCTTTCAGCCTAAACCCCACCCACACCCACACCCACACACCTCTTACCACTCATAATCAAAAATGTTATAACTTCTTCCTTTAAGCTCTTGTCTACCCCGCATCAAAGTGGGTAGCCCAAAGGCACTTTGTTTTTTCTAGCTGTAAGGATTTAGTATAATTTATTAAATTTCTGTGCGTGTAGCCTCCCCTTAGACATTAGCTAATTAAGAGAGATACAAAAAAAAAGAACACTGTTTTGGATGTGAATACGTGAGTAGGACATGGAGCTGCTGATTGATCTGGCTCTGGACGTAGTGCCAGAGTTGAAAACTATGAAAACAAGATGCAATTACAAATAAACAAATTTATGCTTTAACACTGAAACCAAAACAAACCCAAGAGACTGCTCTAAAATTTGTACTCTTAAAACTCTCTCTTATCAGCAGCAATGGAAAATTTTCAGGCCAAATATTTCGGTATGCTCTCCCTCCGCCTGCGGGTAAGTAGATTTCTCTCTGTTTTTTGGACTCTCTGCTAACGCAGTTAAAATTTTGTTTGTGGTTACTTTCAGCTTCGTTGTGGAGATGCGACTGGAAACCGCTCTCGGCTTATCGCTGGCTGTTTATGGCCTGGGGTCCGGCTGCTGATTAGGCGCTGGATCGCTGGGATTGCCTTTAGAACACCGCCAACACTCAGAGCAGACGGATCGCATTCACAGCCACACACGAAAGAAACTGAAGAACTTACTGAATTCCGCATTCAAGTGCTGCCTTAACATGTGGCGAGTGATTCAACAGCGCGCAACAATCGCGCATCCGCTGATCAGGCAGCGTCATGTAAGTTGATTGACCCGCCCAAGCCACAACAATGGACATTCCCAATTAATATCTCATCTTGCAGAGTCGTGTAATTGCCATACGCCGCGAGGATCAATCCGTGTGGGAGCGACGCGCACCGTTTGGACCCACGCATGTACAGAAATTGGTCAAGCAGAATGTTAAGGTCATCGTACAGCCCTCCAATCGACGCGCCTATCCCATGCAGGTGAGCGCAAAGAGATCCTGTAATTTTCCATGGCAACGCCTTGTAGCCACCTGCCCAAAATCTCGTATCAAAAGTCAGGCCAGATAGATTAAACGCATTAGATGTGTAGCAACACGCCCCCCAACAGTGTCGCGCACCATAAATAAATCCGGTTTGATAAGCCTTCTCGCTCGAGCTCTAAATTTGGCAATTTGCTGGACAGGCCTTGAAAAAAAACAAAGCCAGAGGCAGAGCAATCATCGAGGCTTATCGCCAAGCAGCGAAATGATTCTATGGAAAGTATAGACTAAAGCCAGAAATGATTTTAGTGAATGATAGCAGCGATAAGGGAAATTTTTGAAGAGCAAACGTGTGGCAGGAGATGGAAGAGATTGCCTTGATTGATACGCAGTTGGGGCAAGCAATCTTTTGAGATAGTAAGAGCAGAGTTTGAGTTTGAGTATAATAACAATAATATTTGTTGTTTGCAATTGAAAATATATAGCTAAAAGATGTGAGCATTTAAGGGGGAGCAGGAAATAATTTATTTAAGGAACTTGGAGGCTGAAATAATTATCAAACCCTTTCCTAATGGTTACTCTTTCAATGAGCTATAGCTAACAGAGTTATATGGATAAAGATTATTAACAGTTGAATGAGACATCCCCTGACCTTATGGTGGGTATTCTCGATCCTTCCTTGAGCTTATAATTACTGCCTCATGCCTCAAAAGCTAAACACACAAAAGCAACGATAAGATAACCGAGATAATAATTGTTTTTGAAAACATTGATGCTAACCCACAGGCCTATATGCAAGCTGGCGCACACATACAGGAGGACATCAGCGAGGCTTCGGTTATATTTGGGGTCAAACAAGTGCCCATCGATGCTTTGATACCCGGCAAGACCTATTGCTTCTTTTCGCACACAATCAAAGCACAGGAATCGAATATGCCACTGCTGGATGCGATCTTAGAGAAGGTTTGTGCAGAGTCAAACATCAAACTTGAGCTTAAATAATTATATATTTCTCTGCAGAAAATCCGTCTTATAGATTACGAGCGCATCATCGATGAACGCGGCGCGCGTCAGGTGGCCTTTGGCAAATACGCTGGCGTTGCTGGCATGGTCAACATTCTCCACGGCATCGGTCTGCGTCTGTTAGCGCTGGGCCATCACACGCCCTTCATGCACATTGGACCCGCTCACAATTATCGCAATTCCTCGATGGCTCGCCAGGCCATACGCGACTGTGGCTATGAGATCTCGCTGGGCATGATGCCCAAATCGATTGGACCACTGACGTTTGTGTTTACCGGCTCTGGTAATGTCTCGCAGGGCGCGCAGGAAGTGTTTTCGGAGCTGCCTATAGAATATGTGCCGCCAGAGATGCTGCGCAAAGTGGCAGAGCATGGAAGTGAGTGGAAATTTGTGCAGAAATCATGAAACTCCAATTAATATTCTTTTCCCTGCAGATCAAAACAAGTTGTACGGCTGCGAGGTGAGCCGCTCCGATCATCTCGAGCGTCGCGAGGGCGGCGGCTTTGATGCCAAGGAGTACGACGAGTATCCCGAGCGTTATATCTCCACCTTGAGCACCAAGATTGCGCCCTATGCCTCTGTTATAATAAATGGCATCTACTGGGCAGTGGGCAGCCCCAAGCTGATTAGCATTCCGGATGCCAAGAATCTGCTGCGTCCCGCCAACACGCCCTGGTTGCCGGTGAGCAAAGGCAGTCCCGCGCTGCCCCACCGCATGCTGGCCATTTGTGACATCTCCGCGGATCCGGGCGGCTCCATTGAGTTCATGAACGAGTGCACCACCATCGATACGCCCTTCTGCCTGTACGATGCGGACAGGAATAAGGATACGAAGAGCTTCAAGGGACCCGGCGTGCTGGTGTGTTCCATTGACAATATGCCCACGCAGCTGCCGCGCGAGTCTACGGATTTGTTTGGCGAGCTGCTGGCACCCCATGTGCACGACATCATCAAGAGCGATGCCAAGAAGCCGCTGTCCGAGGAGCAGTTCTCCTATCCCATACAATCGGTGAGCTCTTATCTGTCTCCAGCTGTGTTATCAGTTGAGTAATTCCCTTACCCGTTTCCCAGGCGATTATCGCGAGCAATGGCGAGCTGACCGAGGGCTTTCAGTACATTCAGGAGCTGCGCGAGTCCCAGAGCAATCGTTCGCGTCACAAAATGGAAGGCAGCTCCGAGTCGCACAAGAAAGTATTGGTGCTGGGCGCTGGCATGGTCTCTGCTCCACTCGTGGAGTGGCTGCATCGCGAGAAGGACGTGAACATCACCGTCTGTTCGCAGGTCAAGGACGAGGCCGATCGACTGGCCAATCAGTATGCGGGCGTGGACAGCGTCTACCTCGATGTCAACGAGAGCACGGGCCATCTGCAAGAGCTCTGCGGCAAGGCGGATGTGGTCGTCTCGCTGCTCCCGTACAGCCTGCATGGCATGGTCGCTCGCTACTGCGTCGCCGAGGGCACACACTTGGTCACGGCCAGCTATCTGAACGATGAGATCTCCGCGCTGCATGACGAGGCCAAGGCCAAGGGTGTCACCATCATGAATGAGGTGGGTCTGGACCCGGGCATTGATCATTTGCTGGCACTCGAGTGCATTCACGAAGTGCAGGACAAGGGCGCCGTCGTTGAGTCCTTTGTCAGCTACTGTGGCGGTCTGCCTGCGCCCGAACACTCCAACAATGCGTTGCGCTACAAGTTCTCCTGGTCGCCGCGCGGTGTGCTGCTCAACACGCTCTCTGCGGCCAAGTATTTGAGTCGCGGTCAGATCGTGGAGATCTCGGGCGGCGGTGAGCTCATGTCCACGCCACGCAGTCTTGACTTTTTGCCGGGATTCGCCCTCGAGGGCTTTCCCAATCGGGACTCGACCAAGTACGGCTCGCTGTATGGCCTGGGCAGGGATGTGCACACCCTGCTGCGTGGCACCATACGCTACAAGGGCTTCTCCGAGTCCATAAAGCCCATGCAGCTGTTGGGCTTGATCGATCCGGAGCCACATTCCATGCTGCATCCGAGCGGACCGGATGTCACCTGGCGCCAGCTTGTCATCCATCTGCTGGGCATGTCCGACTCCAGCATATTCTACGAGAACCTCAAGCAGAAGCTGCACGAACGCATCGGCGATGTGGATTGCATTGAGAGCTTGGGTCTGCTGGAGGAGACGCCCGTTGTGAAGCTCAACACACCGCTGGATACGCTTAGTCACTATCTGTCGAAGCGGTTGGCTTTCGGTGGGTAGTTCTGCCGGGGATTTCATAGCTGATTTCTAATGTTTTTTCTTTGCAGAAAGGGAGGAGCGCGATTTGGTTGTGTTGCGCCATGAGGTGGGCATTCGCTGGCCCGATGGTCGTCGCGAGGAGCGTGGCATTAACTTTGTCGTCTACGGACAGCCGCAGGGACACTCAGCCATGGCCATGACTGTGGGCAAACCTGCCGCAATCGCAGCCAAAATGATACTAGATGGTGAGTCTTCCTTTTCCTCTACTAATTGCTCTACTAATTATTTTTATTTCTTTTTTCCCCTAGGTGAAATCCAAGAACGCGGCGTCCTGCTGCCTTTTACGCCCGACATCTATCGCCCCATGTTGCAGCGTCTGCGCTCCGAGGGTCTGACTGCCACGGAGACCTCCAGATGGTTGAATTAGTCTGACAAACCAAAACCAAAACCAAACCGTACTGCCGGGGCTAGTATAACCCCTTAGGCTTAAGTCTTTGAGTGCCTTTCATTCATTCATTTGGGGCATAATTTGTTGTGTTGTTTTTATCGCTTCAACTTTCTTGGGCTGGTCGATAAGACATGTTAACGTTATCTTTTGTACCGAAAATAAGTTTATGGTTGGAGCTACTTGAGTGCACAAAACAACGTTCAAGTTGCTATCGTGTCGAACTTGGGAAATATTTGTTTCCCCCTACGGGGATTATTATTGATTGATGAATGTGGAATGATTTGAAAAAGAAATGTGAAAAATTATAACAAAATTCTAAAATATTCAATTGGTTTTATTGGAGTCATTATTTGCATAATTTCAGATGTGGATTCCATTTGGGCAGCGGGAGTGGCACCTATAAAAGGTTTCAAAAAATGATTGAAGGTGTGTCTAAAAATTGATTTTGATTGGAAAACGTTATATCATTATGGAGTTAAAGGAGTATTCGATTGCTTTCAATTGAAATTACATTTTTGGTGGTATTTTTTTTCACATTTTTTAGATGTGGATTCCATTTATGCCTACCAAGATTCCGAGCGTCACTTTAAATGCATTTTGATTAATAAATTCTACATAAATAACTTGAGTAAAATCTGGAAAATTGTAATCCAAATTGTGAGTATTTAATTACTTTTTTTTAGTGATAAATAAGATATAGGTTTTGCTTTTAATGTTTTTTTTAATGGTAAAAGGTAAGGAAGGATATAGTTTTAAAAGAATATAATTTTCATTTAATTCAGAACTTTTCATATTTTACCAATATGCCATTGAATAGCTAAAAAAAACTGTCTCCCTCGGGAATCTTAACATCTGTTCCTGAATTTGCTTCTCAGATGTTAATTATACACATGGAAACGTTAGATAATTGATTGGAAGAATATTTAATTTCCGTACGCCACCCCTCAAAAGGGACACAGTTTTTGTCCAGATCATTGTGATGTTGCAATTCCATTTAATCTTCAAGTTTCCATTTCCGGTCGGCATCGCCCCCATGGCAACCCGCTCCTTGCTCTACGAAGGGTTATCGCCTGAACTTGAACCGCGGGAGCAGTGGAAACCCTACTTACTGGTACTACATGCTGCTACAATGAAAAGCTGAACATGACATCGATTAAAAATCAAATCTATATTTAGTTCCAATGCCTGCGCGAGCATGAAATGATAATGATTACAGGGGTTTTCAGAGCCGGATCGGATGAGCATACAGGGTAATGATTACACGACTGGAAACCCATGGGGATCCAAAGCCGAAGCGTTTCGATTCGATCCAATTGGACCGCGGTCATTAGCGTTCGTCGTTTATAATTGTAATAAACAACAGCCCATATGTGGTTTGTGCACTCCGTGTCCAAGATTGGGGGGCTATCATCCGGACCTGCCGCCTGATAACCTCTGCTGGCGTCGCTGCTCGCAGTACTAGGAGGCGGGGGCGCAGGCTCTGTGGATTTTTACAAATTTCAATTCATATTCATTCAATGCAAATATACACACACACACACACACACACAAACACAGAACACTAAACACAACAACAAACTTGTCACCGTGATAGCAATGTGTGTAATGGGATTTGTATTTGTTTTTGTTTTTGTGGAACTTAAGCCAGCGCGCTGGCAGCAAGCGGCAGCGACGTCTACGCTGGCGTTGTGAATTAAGCGCTGGGAATTTGGGGCTGTGCTACGCTCCATTCGGTCGTCTTCAGTCTTGATAATACAACCGAGCGGGGCGTCCGGCCAGTCATCAGCGTTCTTGTTGTCCGCGTCCCTATAACCCACACACAATCCAATGTCTACGTCTGCGTCCACGTCCACTTTGCCTTCTTCGCTTCTTTACGCGATTTAAGTCTTACAGTTATTTTTGTTCACTCTATAATAACGGTTGTTTGCGTGCTGCGTGTGCGAAAGGGAGGAAACGATTATTTAATTTACTAGCAGTGCCCCCGCGTGTGAGAACGTACAGCCGCTCTGTGTCCCCGTGTGTGTTAGTGTGTGTTTGGAGCCGCATCGAAATTCCAGATATTATACAATATGCCCAAGTGAAGGAGATTTGAAGTTTGCAGTTTTTAGTGGAAAGCAGAAACAAAGGTCAAGCTCGATTTCCGATAGCCACGGAGTGGAGCGATTGCCTCTCTGCTTGGACACACGCACTCTCACTCTCACTCTCTTTACCCGATCCAACGGTGCATTCGCATTCTCTCTTCTAAAGTTCTGCTCGCGCGCTCGCTCTCCCGCTGCTCGGCTGCTCTCTTTCTTCCGTTATCAGTAGTGCATCTGTAGCAAAAAAAACAACATAGGCAAAATGGGTTGCACCGGCGGCTACTTGACGGAGGCTCATTTGCGGGGCTTCGAGCGTTACAAGGTGAGTACCCGCTTGGGGCTAAAAAATCAATGTCTTCCAGCCCATAGACACGACATCCCTTTCTCCCTATGCCACTCACTCTCACTCCCTTACTCACATATGCACAGAGAGTGAATCAATTGTTATTAAATTATACATAAAGCAAGCCAGATGATTATCGTTGGACAATTCAATACAATGCGTGTAGCAGTTCCGGTTGCTACTGCTTCGCGATTAGGCAACAGAAATGTGCGGAAATTGCTGTACTATCACAAAGTTTAGAATGAATTACTCGAGTACGTAGAATACTGTCGTATAGGTCATCAATCTGGGCAGATAGGGAAATAGTCATAGACAGAGACATATTGTAGGCTTAGCCAAACAAATGTTTCGCAAACGTTCTTAAATAGATGGGGAAGGCATTGAACTGTCGTCCACTGTATGGCTGTTCCGGAGCTGCTGGAAAATAGATAGTGCAAGAGTGGAATTTGTACTTGTAAAGATTACAAGTACAGTGTTCGGAAATATTTTACATTCAAGATGTAATCACTCCGTATAAATCCTCTTACAAAATTTCCCTTTCTTTTCCATAGTACAACTGCATAGACACGGGCTTTGTCAGCGTCTATATAATGCATCCATTCTGGAATTATTGTGTAAAAGTAAGTTATATATATTGCTTCCAAAACACCCCATTTAAACTCTCTTTTGTGTGTCAAGTTCCTGCCCAAATGGCTTGCGCCCAATCTGCTCACCTTTGTGGGCTTCCTCATGACTGTCGTGAACTTTATTCTGATCTCCTACTACGACTGGGACTTTAAGGCAGCCAATGACAAGGAGATTGGCAATACAGTGCCCGCTTGGGTGTGGACAGTGGCAGCCATAAATATATTGATTTACTACAATTTGGGTGAGTTTTAAGAGGAGTTTTGATCCTCTAGGAACTGTACTTATTTCTACGTTTCCCTGATAGATGGCATGGATGGCAAACAGGCGCGTCGCACGGGCACTAGTGGACCTCTGGGGGAGCTGTTCGATCATGGATTGGACTCTTATTCCGCTGCACTGATACCCATTTATATATTCTCACTATTTGGCACACAAGATCTGCCGCCCATACGCATGTTCTTTGTGATATGGAACGTTTTTCTCAATTTCTATTTGACGCATGTGGAAAAGTACAACACGGGCGTTATGTTTCTGCCTTGGGGCTATGACTTCACCATGTGGGTGAGTGGTAGAAAATCGAATCGCCCTTCAGGATTTCTTAACTCTCTTTTTTCTTACTTCTAGGGCGTCAGTGGCATATTGTTTGTGGCCACTGTTTTTGGTCCGGGCATCTATCGTTTCAGCATGTATGGCATTACGATTGCCAACGTCTTTGAGTTTACTTTGATTGGTTCTGGCATGGTTTCGAGTCATCCGATTATAGCCAGAAATATCTATCTGTGAGTGGCATTATGAGACATCTTCCTAAAGCTAAGTTAATCTTTTCAATTCCCTTTAGTTCGTACAAAAACAAGACTGGCAAAATGCGTCCCATGTGGGAGATGTTGCGTCCCTTCTTTGCCTTCCTCTGGCTGTTTGTGATCACCCTCATCTGGTCCTTTTGCTCACGCAATGATGTCATCAATCTAGAGCCGCGCATACTCTGGATACTCTATGGCACTATATTCTCCAACATTGCCGTAAGAATTCATAGAAATTATATTTTTAAAGTAAACTTTTCTAATGTTTTTGCACTCTGCTTAGTGCCGTTTGATTGTGGCTCAAATGTCGGACACACGCTGCGATGGCTTCAATGTGCTCATGTGGCCATTGGCAGCCACTGTGGCTGTCTGCTGTTTTCCCTACTACGAGCAGGTCTTTGGCATGGATCTTACAGCAGATGGAGAGCGTTGGATAGTGCAGGGACTAACCATATTCTCGACACTAGCCCACTGGCATTATGGCTATGGTGTGGTAAGTTTTTACAATTTATTTTGCGACTCCCCAACTCACTTCTTCTATCTTTTTTATAGGTCTCTGAAATGTGCAATCACTTTCATATTAGATGCTTCAAAGTAAGACAAACTGGCAGCCAAATGGCGGCAGATCCACAATCACAACAATCCCTCCTGCAGAATAATAACAAAACGAAGTTCCATTGAAACTAATTCGCTAACTAACAAAAATTCAACAAAAACATCATCAACGACAAGGCCACAAAACAAATCAACCAACCAATCAACCATCTTGTGATATATATAGATATTTAAATGGGAAAACATTTAACTTTATACCTCGCCATCGCCTCGGCCATGTTAAAGTCCAAATCCAAGTCTAGGTCTAAGTGAATCCATACACAAATTCTAAAACACTTAACCGATACTCCTCCTACTCCTCTCTCTACTTCTACTACTACTCATGCGGTGTGCATATATTACGTGGTAAAGTCCATACGAAGCTACTATTACTATCCTAATCCTAGTCCCTTAAGCAGCTAATCAGCCAGTACTTAACTCTTTTTTTTCGGCTAAGACTCTTAGGCTTAAGTGCAACCTTTGCAGACAGCTCTAACCCGCATGTGCTATGAGTGATATCTTCTAACTGCATGATCCGATAAGTATTATCAGCAAGAATGAAGAATGGAAATTATTACTGGTACTTTTGCTCCATTTACTGTACACGCCATTCCTCCCTACTCCTATTTTGTTACTTATTTAGATCACAAAACAAGCGACTGTCGACGCGGAGCAGGAACTGCAGGCGGAAGAGGAGCAGCTGTCAGCCAAAGCCCTTGAGCCCACGGCAGCGGAAATCGTTGAAGAAGTCTAAGCCCTAACAGTCGATTCACCACACTTGCACCTCTTTTTTGTGTGTGCTTTCTAGTTTTCTCCAAGTTCTTAAGCAAATGTTCAACGTGTCTGTAGGTTTAAGTATGAAATGGCAATGAAAAATATAAGCGTTAGACGATAAAGTGCAGAGATTTGGAGATGTTTATGGGTGCTTAAAGTGATGATAAATTGGGAACTTCTCTAGCAGCTCAGCTATAAAAATAAGTAAGGCATAAATCAGTGGGATTATGAGTAAACAAAGAGCCACAGAATTGATGTAATTATACCTATTCCTAGTGCTATTTGTGCTGCGCCTTTTGGGGCTCTCTCTAAGCTCTAAATTCCTCTCTTCTTTTGTTTACTTTCTAGCTTATATTTTATTTCAGAATGCTAATTTTGTTTGATTATTATATGAAAATAATTTAGCAAAAAAACTTGCATTATCTTACATTATAAACATAGCGCGCGTCGTGGTGTATTCCCCGCACATCTCTCCACTCTAATTGAGCAACAGTTGTGCCACAATGCTGTTGTCGTCGGCTGCATTGGCTGAGTGCAGACCGGAGCCACTTTCCAGAAACTCGCGCAGCTCGTTCTCCAAATCCCCACCGACACCGCCACTGGGCTCATCCGGCTCATCAATGTCCATGGGCACGGACGGCAGCTGGGGCAGCGCCACGGGCTGTTGCAGCAGTTCCGGCAATTGCACACGCGGTGAGGCGGACGGTGGAGGCGGTAGGCCAGCTGTGGGCAAAGGAAATTCCGCATTATAAAGGAGCAAAAGAAAGGCAAATCAGAGCTCACCATAAGACATGCCCATGGCCTTGCGCAGCGCAAAGGGATCTGCTATGGCTGAGGGCGGCAGCTTCTTGGCCAAATCGGTTATCTGCTGCGTCAGTTGATGTGCCGTTTGGGCCTCCTCCTGTCCCGCTGGCTGCACCAGACCCAAATGGCTGGGCAGTGGCTGCGAGAGACGCTCGTGCTGGGTCACGCGCAGCTTCTCGATCAGCGTGAGATTATTGCTGAGATGCTCGTGCATGCGGCGATTCAGTTCAAAGTTCTTCATCTCCGTCTCCATGCTGTCGAGGAAGCTCACATCGATGCCCAGATCCTTCAGGGATTGCAGACGCTTAAAGTCCACGCGTGTGTTTTTATATTTCTCATATTCCTGTTCGATTTGCTCTTGGGTCTCGAGCGGCTGCGACTGCGAGGGGGATGTCTGCTCAGTGTCGAAACATTTCTCAATCTCCTGTTGCTCGTACGAGTGCAGTTGCATGTTGTACAGCTCATCCAGGGACTTGCTGTGCTCCCCGTTCGTCAGAATATCCAGCAATCCATTCGCTATGTTCGTGCCAAAGCTGGAGTCTTTGGTAAACTGAAGAATGCTCTCGGCGTACTCTGCGCTGGAGGCATCCCCATAAGTACGCAGCACGAGCTTCGTCTCCTCGGCACTCAGCGTGGAGAAGCGAGAGTCAAAGGTGGGCGCAAAGCTGGCATAGGCGCCGTAGCTCAGTGGTTTGACGGGCTTCACCACATTGCGACTGTCCAGCTGGCGCACCTGCAGCTGCGTGCTGCCCGTCTGCAGTTTGCCCACCAAATCGCCAATGGTGACGACCCGTTCGGGTCCCTCGTTATCCTCTCTGGTGAGCAGATTTAAGGTGGTGCTGCCATCGCGCGCTTGCCGCAGGAAACCCATTTTGTGGGCATTCTTCTTGGCGTTCACCCGCTGCTTGGCCTGCTGCGCGGCGTTCTGCACTTGGGCGAGTATTTCCTCACCCGTCAGATCATCCACATACGGCTCGAAATGGGTTTTGGGTGCATTCTCCAGTCGCAGCGCTCGCTTGCGCTCCTCCTGCTCCAGCTGAGCGGGCGTGGGTGGCTCCTCGGCGCCCGTGGAGGCGCCCTCGTCCGCCGAATCATGCATATCGTAGCCCAAGTCAGTGGAGCACAACTCAAAGCCCAGTTCCTTGGCTGTCAGCTCGCGCATGTAGCCAGAGAGCGGCTTCAGACTTCGCATCATGTTCTCCGGCTGCAAGTGCTTCATGCCAACCTGCAGCAGCTTCTTGGCCGCCTTGTTGTACACCGTGTCCACGTGGTTGTATTTGATGGCATTCTCGCACATCAGCTTGAAGTCATCGCTGAACTCCGTCAGTGTGCCGTACTCATGGGCATCGATCTTCTGCCGCATGGTGGAGAAGTCCATCGGCTTGCTGATGATCGCAGAGTAATTCGGCGCAATGTCATCGGTGACGGGCCACGCAAAGAACTGATGTGGATCCCGCTTCTCCAGGAAGCGCAGCAGATGCTCCAGCAGCTTGTTCAGCGGCGATTTCTGCTGCTTCAGCTTCAGCACACAGCTGCGTGGCTCCCGGCCGGACTCACTGCTGCTGCTGGGCGTGCGCGGCGCCTCCAGAGCTTTGGGTGTCAAGGTGTTCTGCGAGCTGGCGCCGCCGGGCGTGGAAGGCGATGGGATGTGGAGCTGCAAGCGAGATAAATCCTCAGTTAATTCCCACACAAAAATTTCACTTTCGTTTCGCTACTCACGTCGGGCAATGGCTTGGTGGGACTGCTGTCTGCTGCCAGGCCCAGCGATGACGATGGCAGTGATGAGGATGCGGGCGAGGATGCGGCCATCAGTATCTCGTCCAGCTTGCGCGGTGCAATTGGCTTGCTCACCGGGCAAGTGGACGGCGAGTTGTCGGTGGTGATGCCCGCGTAAAAAAGAATATTCTCTGGCAGCGGCTGCGATTGATCGTCGTCCATGAAGCTGAAGCCATCCTGGCTGGAGTCGGCATCGATGGGTGGCGCTACCACTGCTGCTGATTGCTGTGAGCCAAAGCCACTGCACGCCGCATCATCGTCGAGCGCAGCAATCTCCTCATCCACCGAGTCCACGTCGCGATGCTTGTCGCGGCTCTTGTGGCGCTTCTCCTTGTGGTGTTTGTGCTTCTTCTCGCGATCCTTCTTCTTTTTCTTTTTCTTGGACTTTTTGTGTCGCTCACGGTGTCCTGCTGCCGTTTCCTGCAGCTCATCCGGTACCGGCGACATCATGGCCTCGGCCGCCGTGGGGGGTCCATCCACTGCAATGGACGTCATGTGGGAGTTGGAGCTGTATTCGGGCGTGGCCACCTTCAGGATGAGCTTGAGTCCACGCTGCAGCTGGGCCGGATTCTGATGCTGGCTATATTCTGCTCGAGCGAAAGCGGGAAGCGGCAAAAAATGTGTCAGTGAGTCTCTTCGGCTTGTCTCCACGTCGGGGTGGAAGGCCGCCTCCCATGCACTTACCTTCATATTTATCACGTCGCTCTGATTTGTTCTTCTTGTGCTTCTTGGAGGAGCCCATGGTGGGTCCGATTGAATGTGCCAGTTGGGCAAACAAGTGATAATTTAATTAAAACGAAAAATAAAACAAATTTGCTACAGCGGAAAAGACGCCGCGGATTTATCGAGTAAAAATACCAACTGACCCTTGTGAATATACCGAAACATACCGATGAATTTTCGAAATATACTGAAAATATACCAATGAAAATAAAAACAGTCCAACGAAATGCAGTATATCGGTGTATTTTGTGGTGACAAAAATAGTTTTTAAACTTTTGTGCGATAAGTAGTGGTTGAATTCGGCGGGCTTACCATCTTGTAAAAATAACGTCAGTCTATAGACACTACGATTCTTGCAAACCATCGAATTCTGCTCTAAATGAGACCAGTATCACTAACCAAATAGTAATATACTATACAAATTATTATTAAACAGTTTTTAAAGGTTCATCAACTATTTTTTATTATCCAGCAGCATATAATTAGTCATAAAACTGCTAATTAAAATCAATTTTCTTATCAGCCGATACTAATCGATAGCAGTTGTAATGGCCGGCTACCAATAATCCACCCCCACAATGTTTGTCCCCGATGAAAAAAAAAACAATTAAATATTAAATTGCCGCACTAAATAGGCTAAAAGCCATTGACGCTAAAAGGATCAATAGACTGCTTGGCGGCAGTGCATTTGAAAGGCACACACTTGCCAAAATGCACGTAGTCGCAAGTAACATTTGTGATACTTGCGATACTATCGATGACTCATCGCATATAATTTTTAATTGTACCAAGTACAACACAACAAGACAAAACTACCCATCGCTAAGGAAATATAATAATTCTATCAATTCTTCGAAAAAGAACAAATTAGCTCGTACCAAACATTAATCGAGTTCATCGACAAAATTGGAGTAAAACTGTAACAAGTTACATATCTCGACGTGGCGATTTCCACCTTGTAAAGGCGGGCGGCCAAATAATCCCCCTCTACCCAAGGGTAGAGCGGTAACATAAAACATAAAAAAAATTAAATAAATTGCCTCATAAAACGTGTTAAATTGAAAAAGAATGAGCACACCCGCTAAAAATAATGGCACGGGACTCGAGGACGTTAATATACCGGGGCAGGCGTACCTGCGCGAGGCCCTCACCTCCTGCACGGACCCACTCAAAGCCATTGAGAGTTTTCAGGTTTGTTTACGTTGCAAAATGGGCGCTAAAAATCGCTAATGCACCTGTCCCACTCAATTGCAGCTGGAGAATGGGGTGCTGTTGCCGTCGTTACGGCCCATGCTGCCGCTGCTGGACCTCCACGGAGTGCGGCGTCTGGATTTCCACACGTCACTCATGGAGGAGCTGCGCGACAAGCTAATCGCCCACATCAACGAGCTGGGCCAGAAAGAGCCCCGCGAGCGAGACAAGAAGCTGAAGGAGTTGCTGGTGAAGAGCTTTCCCGTCGTGCGGGTCAAGTCACTGAGGCCGGTGGTGATGGCCATTCTGAGGAATACACAGCACATCGATGACAAGTACCTCAAGATTTTGGTGCGCGACCGGGAGCTGTACGCCGACACGGACACGGAGGTGAAGCGCCAGATCTGGCGGGACAATCAGTCGCTGTTCGGCGACGAGGTTTCACCCCTGCTCTCGCAGTACATCCGGGAGAAGGAGCACATCCTCTTCGATCACACAAACCTCAACAATTTGTTCTTCCATCCGACGCCCAAGGTGCGACGGCAGGGCGAGGTGGTGCAGAAGCTGGCCAACATGATCGGCACCAGCGTGAAGCTGTACGACATGGTGCTGCAGTTCCTGAGGACTCTCTTCCTGCGCACCCGCAATGTGCACTATTGCACGCTGCGAGCGGAGCTGCTGATGGCGCTGCACGACCTGGAGGTGCAGGAGATCATCTCGATTGATCCCTGTCACAAGTTCACGTGGTGCCTGGACGCCTGCATCCGTGAGAAGAATGTGGACATCAAGCGATCGCGCGAGCTGCAGGGCTTTCTCGACAACATCAAGCGCGGCCAGGAGCAGGTGCTGGGCGATCTCTCGATGACCCTCTGCGATCCGTATGCCATCAACTTTCTGGCCACCTCGGCCATCAAGATACTCCACCATTTGATCAACAACGAGGGCATGCCGCGAGACAATCAAATTCTGATCCTTCTGCTGCGAATGCTGGCACTCGGGCTCAGTGCCTGGGTGATGATCGACTCGCAGGACTTTAAGGAGCCGAAACTGGACTGCCAGGTGGTCACCAAGTTTCTGCCCGCCCTCATGTCGCTCATGGTGGATGATCAGTGTCGCAGCCTGCACGGCAAACTGCCGCCGGATGAGCGAGAGTCTGCGTTGACCATCATTGAGCATTCGGGTCCGGCGCCCGATGCCGTCGAGGCGTACATACAGGAGAGCGCGGTATCCAGCATTCTGGCCATGTACTACACGCTGCACACGGCCCGCCTCAAGGATCGTGTGGGTGTGCTGCGCGTGCTGGCCATACTCTCCGCCTGCAAGGATCATCGAGCGTACGAGGATCCCTTCCTGCACTCCCTGGTGAGCAAACTGAAGGCATCAGCCTGATGAATCAATCGTTTGATTATGTTATGTTGCTTGCAGATCGCTCTGCTCATTCCGATGAGCGATGAATTCTCCACGGAGGACTTTTGCACGACCCTCTTCGATGAGTTCATCTTTGCGGGCTTGACGCGCGAGAATGTAACGTCGCGGCACATGCTGAAGCTGCTGTGGTATGTGCACAACAAGTTGCCCTCCTGCCGCTTGGGCACACTCATGAAGGCCATGCAACCGACAACGGCCCACAATGAGCATGTGCACAAGCTGTACGAAACGCTGACGGATCGAATTGCGGCGGGTGCACCAGAGACCCCGGTGGTGGAGACACCGCCAGCGGACTTTGATTCGCCATTGAAGTCGGTGCCAACGCCAGGTCCGCACTACAATGCCCAATAGCCAAAGGAAACGGTGGTCGCGGTAACAGCGGCTGTCGTCGGATGATGGACAATCTTACACGTAATAGATCTAAAGCTGATTAGATGATGGTTGGCAGACACATGAAGCAACTCTACAAGGAGGTCTCAATAAGTGCGAGTGTAAGTGCGTTTGAAGGCAACGTGAAAGGCAAACGAGTTTATGTTTGTTTTATAATTTGACCAGCAAACATGCACTGAACTCTAAGGGCGCAAGGCAGCCGACGAGATCACCTCGTATAATTGCAGTTTATTAGTAGCTGTAGAATGTTCTGCTTTTTCCACTGAGCCTGTGCTTCGTTTTATGCCATTGCAATTAATCAACAGACACTTATAGCTCATGTCCGTCATACAATGTCTGTCCGTGTTTGGTGGGGGAAACTTATCAAGATTATATCACACACACACAAACCCTAATAGCAGTTGCCTTAAATCGTGAAACATAAAACAAACAAAAAACTAGAAATACAAATGTATTTTATATATATATTTTTAGTTGGCAATTGTTTTTTGTTCTTTTGGCAATTGATCAAACAAATTGTTTCCACTTTCTCATGTAAAATTGATTGATTTATTAATTGAAGCAAAAGGCAAAAAATATAAATAAATATATACAACAATTTAGAGTACAAATCTATACATCATTATCGTGTGCTTTTTTATTCGGGGGGATTCTAAACATTATCAATGTAATTTACAACTATTACTTGGCAGACCTTATGCTATCCTATCTAGGCTGGACGACTGTACAATGGTTAAAAAAAAACAACAGGAGACACAATAGTTTTTACATAATTGAATAATATGGAGATGTCTCTGTTGTTGGAAGTAGCAGCTTGGAAGTCCTTCCGTTTGGTTGCAGTCGCTTTAGGGATACACCGGACTGGGCGGCTGTGGGGACTCCGTTTCCGATTGTGGCGTTTGGGGCGATTGTGTGCCCGATTGCGACGGACTGGAGGACACAAAGTGCGTTTGCAGCGGACTGGTGGTGGCTGTTTGGGGCAACAACTGACCGGGCGGCGTGCCGGATGACTCTGTGCCCGATTGTGGCGTTTCGGGTGAGACTGTGCCAGGACTGGGCAGCTGTGAGGCATTGGGGGACACGCTCGGCATGCCAGCTTGTGGATTGGGCGGACTAGGAGAGACCGTTGGGGCCGTACGCGGCGGCGACGTTTGCAGTGCCGACGCCTCCGACTGGTAGGATTGGGATGTGCGCGGCGAACTGGGCGACACAGTTGGGGGCACACGCGGCGGACTGGGCGACACCGTTTGCCGCTGATACGGCGGACTGGGTGAGGCCGAACGCGGCTGTGGCGGTGCGGGCGTAGCAAAGATTTCCTCAATGCGCTGATTGCGACAGAACTTAAGCAGTTCCGTGTATTCCGTGTGCAGGCGACGCCACTGTCCGTGCGACTTCAATGTGTCCAGCACGCACTGCGCCAGCTCGTGCTTCGACGCGAACTAGAGTGTGACAGGGTAGTGCGTGGATAAGTGCTGACAAAGGGTAAGCGATCCCATTCTTACCGTTGATATGCCCGTGTCCGAATTCGAGAGCAACTCATCGAGGAACATGCGCAAACGTTTCTCCGAGCCGTAGGCGGATAATTGAAGCGCCTGCATCGTGTGCCAATGCTTGAGTTCATCCGTCGATTGCAGCGCTTCGCACAACTTGATTTGATTGTCGATGAACAAGATTTTCGCCGTCTGCTGCCAGCTCTCCAACTTACGCCTTAGGGAGCAAAGGAGCAGGCAGATGAGGAGGAGGAATGTGAATGGTTGGGTTGAGATAACTTACAGCTCCATGCCGCTGCCGAGCACAAAGTAGTTCTGGCTACTGGCCTGCATGCTGAGCAGCGGAAATTTACGCGCCACCAGATCCTCGTCGCGTGGCAGAGTGCCCCGGATGCCATGGTACATGATCGCATCCTTGGCGGCCAGCACCAGCCATGACTCCAGGCTGGTGGAGTACGAGTACGAGTTGCCATTGGGGAAGCCAATCAGCGGCATGCCCTGATCCGTCACCGAGAACTGCACGACAGCGCCGTGCCTGATCAGCAGCTCCTTGCAGCCAGCGGCCAGGCTAATTGTTGCACCAGCAATATTCCAAATGCGCAACAAACCGCATTCAGTCAGCACGCCCACCAAACTGTTGTCGGGACTCTGTTGGGATGGGATAAAAAGGTTTAACTTAAGGCAACTTCTACCCTTTGGAATACTCACAAAGGCGCAGTGCACGGCGGAGCTGGAGAGAGCGATGGCTGGGAAGACATGGCAGCCCGTTTCCATTGATATCAGCCGCATGCTGCCATCGAGGGAGCAGAGCATGCAGTATTTGGCGCAGAGATTCACATTGACCACAGGCGAGCCCACATAGAACTCCCAGAGGAATTCGCCATCAATGCTGGCCGTCACCTTGGCCAGCATCCCATGACTCGTCTTCAGGTGTCCATTCTGCACGAGCAGCCTGTAATCGAGGGCCGTCTTCACGAACTCACTCTTCGCGGTGGCCGTAATATTGAGCTTGGGACCCATTGTTGTGCCCTGATGCTCGTCTGGGGTCTTGGGCGAGCGTGGAAAGTCCGCCTGCTGGCTGGTATCGAAGGGCGTTCGATCCTGCCGCCGATGCGCTGCTGCAGGCTGATTCTTGCGTACCGACGACACCAGCGGCTCGGGCATGCGTGGCGTCACCGCGCACTCCGTGGGCGTGGTGGCATGCGAGCGCTCTATCGCGGCTGGCGCTGTGGGCGTGCCAATGGAGGCTGGAGCACGCTCCTCCTCGTTGAGCGGTATGAACATGGGCGTAATCCTTCGTTTGCCATCCTTTGTGCGTGTCTCGGTCTGTTTGCTGATGGGTCGCTGTGCCGTGGAGGCCGTGCGTCGCTCCAGCGCGGCATTGGGCAGCGGAAAGGGCAGCGCCGACGTTTCCAAAGCCGACGCCTCCGACTGGTAGGAACAACTCTGATCGGCTGTCGCCACCGACGTCTTACTGCCGAGACCCAAGCCGGCGCCATACAACTCCCCGTAAAGCTTCATGAACAGCGCGTCCATGTTGTCCGCGGAGAGTCGCTCGCCGAGCTCTTCGTCGGTGAACTGCAGGCAGGCCACAGTGCCGTCGCCGCTGCAGGCCATCAGCAGGCACTGGTCGGGGCCCCAGGACAGGTCCAGGATGCTGTCCTCGAACAGTTCGTGGATGAGTACCAGCGGCCGCTGCAGCGCCGTCATCCACACGGAGAGCGAGCGATCCCTGGAGCCAACGGCCAGGCAGCAGTACTGCCGCTTCTTCTGGCCATCGGGCATTGGGCGGCACAGCACCGTGTTGTGGAAGCGGACGCAGGTGACGGCCTTGCGATGACCAACGAAATCCTTGTCACAGCGCCAGCCCTCCCGCTCGATGATCTGTGCGGTGGGTACGCCGCCGTTCATGGCATGGGCCGAGACCAGATACTGGCCATCCGGTGACCAGGAGAGACGCAGAATATGCGTCGTGCCGCCGCACTCCTCGAACGGCTCTGTGATCGTCTCGGAGAGTGTCCAGTCGATGGTGTTCCACGTTTTGATGCTATGATCGTCGGACTGGGAGGCGAGAAACCTGCCCACCGGATCCCAGGACACACCCTTCACCAGGCCCGTGTGCCCCTTCAGCGTGGTCACCATCGCGGGGAACGCCTGGGCATCCCAAATGATGACAGTATTGTCGATGCTGCAGCTGGCCAAATAGATGTCATTGGGGGACCAGGCGAGGTCCAGCACATCGCCCGCATGCCCCCGCAGCGTGTGGAAGCAGCGCCACGATTCGTGATTCTTCTGCATGCCGCCGGTGCCGAAGACACCGCTGGATCCGGTGATTTTGCGCCAAATCATTATCAGCTTATCGTCGGAGCCGGAGGCGAGGTAGACGCCGTTCTGCGACCAGCGCACACAGTTGACGCACGCCAGGTGCTGGTCCATCTGGCACAGCATCTTCGGTATCGCCTCATCGAACTCATCCTTCTCGCTGAGCACCGGCTGAAGGTTCCAGATAACCACACGACCGCAATCGTTGCCCTGACCGCCGGTGGCGAACTTTGTACAGTCCTGATGGATGTCTAACGAGAAGATTTGCTTTGCTGCAACACCGGCACACACACACACACACACACACAGACACACAGACACACAGACACAGAGAAAAGAGAGTAAGGGACTTGCAGCAGCTGCCGAGTCGACTCCGCCAGATGGCGCTCCTCTTCACAGCCTCCACACTCACCATCGTGATGGACCCATGCGGGTTTTAGGAGCTTCATGGAAACACAAAGACCTGGCTACCGACAGCGAGTATCTTTTTTGAGCAATCGGGCTAATCAACTAATAAAAACTAATAATAGTTTTTAAACATTTAAGCCTAGTATGGAACCGATAAGAAAATTTCGTGCGCCCAAGCACTAACCAAATAGTATAGTATATTTGGTTAGTGCTCTGCCTCAATTTCGATGTCGTAAATCTACCGAAAATAATCAAATATATACCAGCCTAGGATGACCACCAAATCAACAGAGGCATATACTATACTATTTGGTTAGTGTCAGTACTTTACAACACTAGAAATTACATGCAATCGATTGGGCCTATCAACTATCGATGTAGCACTGCTGCTCTTTTTCAGCCCGCGGTTCATTCAAAAACGAACTTGATCTTAATTTGCTGCTAATTTGTGCTTAATTTAATGAATCGATTTTAGTGCCGGGATGTGTGCCTTATCCTTGTTTTGCTGGACCGCGACTTGCGTTCCGCTTTTTGGTCGAACGCACGGACATTCGTCGCTTGTGAACGAAGCCACTCGATTGGTTTGTGGGCGAGGGTGCTGCAGCAGTGGCTGCAAAGGCAGCACTCAGCAACCGACGGCCCGAGGAGGCGGCGCTGAAGGGCCGACGACCCGTGCTGGACATCTTCATAATGGGCGTCTTCTTGGCCTTGGCAATGGCACCCGAGATGGTGGGCGTGGACTGCAGGCTCTGCAGCGACGTGTCCAACTTGTTGCGAATCTTGTCCAGATCCTGCCTCATCCGCTGTATGTCCACCGCGATGGTCTGCCTGTCGCGCTGCAGCCGACGATGCTGCAACAGCATTTGCTCCAGCATAACCTTCTGCTGCAACACCTCGCGTATGCGTCGCTGATTGGTGAATGTTTTGCCACCCAAATCGTTCAATCCGCGGCGCATCATGCGCGTCACCTTCTGGTCGAGGTCGGCCTTCATGGCTGCAATGGGCAGAGTTTTCGTTTTGTAGGAGGTAATGACGCCCGTGGAGCTGGCACTGCCGCCCTTGAAGCGGGCAACGGACTTGCTGCGTGCGGACTTGTTTCGCTTGCGAACGATCGTCTGCTTCTGTGGCGGCGCTTCGGGAATGACTGCGATGGGCGCTGGTATCGCGGGAACTGCCTTGCGCGGCGGTGGTGTAGCTGTGGGCAGTCGTTCATGGCTTAAGTTGCTGCCTATACGATGGCCATTAGACACTTACCCTTCATGGTGGAGTGTATATTCGCCAGCATATGGTCAAAGGTCTTCATCACATTCGGTTTCTGCGCAAAATATTCATCCGTTGGACTCTGTGCATTCGATTTGAGCATCTTTTCCTTCTTGCTGGATCTGCTTAGGTTGAACAAGCCACCGCCCTGCACACGCTCCTCGTTCAGCTGATTCTGCAGTATGTGAGCTAAGTTCAGTCGCTGTGTCATCGTGCCGCAAGCTTTTATTTCTCCTCTTGCTGACCTTTTGCTCAAAAATAATTTAGTTGGTGAATTTAGATGCCCAAAGAGATGCTAAAAGTTGCAAAAAACTAGAATTTTGAACGAAATGTATCACTCATTTTAGAATTTAGAAACTAAATGTAAACATTTTCTTGAATTTACTAACTAAAACTACAAATCTGATGAACAAACAACTCCCCGCACTCTAATTTGGAATTCAAATTGAAATTCGCACATAATCGTGTTTTACAGCACTGTCGATAGCGATGGTCAGCCAACCCGATACCAGTCGATCGATTGAGTTCCCCGCGTTTTTTTTTGTGTTTGCGAATTTATTCAATTTTGTGCTAAATGTGTGTGTAAAGTGTAAATTTGTGCTAAATAATAGTGAATATCGTTTCTAAAGGTGACTATTGAGATTCTTGCGAGCGAGCTGGGCATAGATGGTGCCATGCGGCTTGTCCACCGGTATGAACACCTCGTTATTGTCCCCCGGCACAATCTGCTGGAAGGGCTTCGTATCGAAGTTGAAGTAATGCTTGTTCGGCATGGTCATAGAGATGACCGACACTTGAGGGATCACATCCAACACCTGCTTCTCGCTGAGGTACAGCGTATGCTGCACAGAAGGCGAGGAAACGCCCACCTGTGGATCGCCGGCAAAGTTTCTCAAAATAATGTTCTTCACCTGCTGCCAGGCGCGCGAAAAGTTGACCGTATCGGTGTCGGAGTACTCCCAGGAGCAGTCTACGACCGTGCTGAAGATGCGATCATACTGATCGGGCAGCGAGCGGAACTCGTCGTTGACAAAGTTCACAAACGAAGATTGAGTAGTCTTGAGGACGCGCAGACCCTTGATGCCAGTGATGACAGTTTGCTTGGGATCTGCGGGAGTGGCTAGTGGTGGTAAGTGGTTTCATTTATCGATAGTTACCCCCCACTCACCTTGCCGCCTGATGACCACGTCGCAGTAGTGCAGCGCCGTGGGCGTAAAAATGAAGGCATGGTTGTGCAGCGAACGATTGTCAATGGAGCTGAAATTGTTGCAGCTGCCCTGACCCACCACCGACGTCGTGCTGGCCTTGGTTTCCTCCTGGCAGACACGCTGCCACGGGTACGTCTCCACGTGGATGTGCGCCTCCTCCACGTGGGAGTACTTCTTGAGGAAATGCTGACCGAGTAGCAGGGCAAACTTCTCGGGACTCTCAATGCCGTACTTCTTGGCCAGCAGATAGACGGTGTTCTTTTGCGAATCGGTGGCCACAATGTCCGAGTTGTTGCCCTGATAGTAGTCCTTCTTGCTGTACAGCTTCAGATGGGTGCCCACCTCGAACTCCTGGATGGTGTGCACGGGTCCCTTGCGGCTCACATGGAGCACCTTGACAGCATCCTTGCCATAGCCATGATCGGTGATTTCGTACTGAAATGGCGTCTCCTGGCCATCCAGTGAGGCTGAGGCTGAGGCTGCCGTCCTGTTGCTGCCACTGCTTGGCTGTCTGAGGGGCGTGGCAAACATTTTCCAAGTGCAATTCTATTCAGACTGATGCCAAAACTGACAACATCCAATCTTTTTATACACGCGCAATCACGTTGTGCATGTGTACCAAGGGATTTGCACAGAAAGCTTCTCAGTTTATCTCTCCCCCCAAAACTTAAGTTCTTAAGTTCATTTCAACAGAAGGCCATTTAACGCCTTGCTGCAGGCAAATATACTCTGACTAATCCTCAAAATGATTGCCAAGGCCAGCCACCGTCTGTTGTCAAGTATCAAGAGAGAGAGAGAGCGAGAGAGAGCGAGAGATCCCCTAGCGTCAGGCCATGCACTATAAGCATTGTATATCTTATACGCTGCTTACTTTCTTTCGGAATAATATTTGCACACTATTTGGCCAGTGATAAAGTGTCTGTGTGCGTACGTGTACATTTTATGGCAGACTACCAAGAAAAGTTGCAATCAAGCTGCAAGATTTTACTCATACTCTGAAGTCGAAATTGTGAGTATCTGCAGACTGAAGTTATTAATTAATTAAAATGGTTAAAAAGAGTATAAAGCATCAGTTTCAGGATAATACTATTCAGCCGTTTAAGAAGAGAATTCACAAAAGATTTTAGCATTTCAAAGAAAAATTCATAATATTTGAAATGCCATTTGCAGACTTTCCACAAGAATTTGGAATTTTCCCAAATACTTTTATTGAGTCGATACAAGGGCTATATCTGAATAGTTGAATAGGTTACAAATCTACAAAGTTGATATAATCTGAGGCTTTTCTTTAAAGCTAATGTACACAACATCTTCTGCACATTTGCTATTGTTTAAATGAATCATTTTTTATCATGACTTACACTCGTATTCAAAATTGTAGGCATGAGGAAGTAGTTTCATCAGCGAGGCCTATGCAAAAATTTTGTTTCACACAAAAGAAGAATTGAAAAAGGTTTAAAAATGGCAAAGAAATGCAACATTGGCCTTTGGGATCTTCAGCTAATATTGAATTGAATTCCTTTCTCAAGCTCAATCGGTTCAGGTTTTAACAATGTCTAACAAATAACTTTTGACACTGTAACTACTTTAAAATCAACCCCCTGCACAGATTTGATTGCCGTTCTCTAACATTTCAAGACCATTTGCTTAGAAAGTCTTAGAAATCTTCATAACACCCGCTTATCAGAGCGCGCAAAGTCTTTTGCCAAATCTTTGCCAACTTCTGGGCAGGATTCAAGTGCAGGCACCCCTTTGCAACAGCCAAAAAGCAAGGCAAGATGAACCATATACCCATAAAGAGTCACAAACATTTTTTTATTTGCTTGACACTGGGTTTCTGGGTTTCTTATGTATGCAAGTTGCGCGCTCCCACGCCTCGAAATATTTGTGTTTGGTTGCATAACTGAGTCCCATGGGTTATGGCATCACAGCGGAAGTGGAAGACGTTTCATTTTCGATCAATATTTGTAAAGTGAGAGCTGGAAAATATTCAAACAGCCGCAAGAACAAACACACAAGTGAAAGCTGAGAGCGATAAGTGCGACACATGTCTTTATGACTGCGTGGATGGATTAGCTTTGGGTTTATGTTCTGCTTAGAGATATGATGTTATGATATGCGGGGTTCTTATATGATCTTGGATGATGGCAGATCATAAACATGTAACTTGGAAGCTCTGATGACGTAAACTTTGGGCTGTGATTAGATATGATCTTGCTCCCCCCCGTGGCTGGCTGTGATTCATCATTTGCCGAACAACTTTTGCTTGGAATGCAATCTAATGGAGGGTTTTTTTTACGAGGCTTTTGGCACCTCCAAATACTTGCTGTGGGGGGGGGGGGATGCCACCTGCCAACAGGTTCACTGAACTAAAATGCCAGTTATGAATGAGCGATGGGGCAAACAAGTGTTGCCTTTTGTTGCGCGCTTCACAAACAAAAGTGCAAATTGTTTTGGGACGCACCCAACTTTTATTTTGTTTGAGGCGGCAAACAGCAATCTTTCTTCACTCGAGGGTTAGTTGCGTTTCAGCGCGCTTAAGCAGCGGACGGACAGCTAACGGACAGCGAACGGACATCGTCATGAAACTCCAGCAGCTACCAGGACTCGTGTTAGTGCTGAATCTGCTCTGTAGAGGACTGCTGGCCGCCGTGCACGATGAGCTGCCACAGTGCGGTCTTCATGGCATCTACAGGCAGCGACAGAGTGTGATTGAATCGCCCAACTATCCGGACAACTATCCAGTGAACACTTGCTGGGACTATGTGATACGCTCGCCGTATCGCTGCCCCACCAAGTTTCACATTCAATTTCTTGACTTTAAGCTGGAATTGTCGGAGAAGTGCAGTCGGGATTATTTGGCCATTGGCCTGGAGAACGATGGCGAGGACATGGATGTGCTCTGCGGTCAGGTGTTGGGCATCAAGAAGTATCACACACCCGACGGTGTGCTGCGTTTGCGCTTCCTCAGCGACGATTCCCCCTGGACCACGGGCGGAGGCTTTCGTTTGTTGGTCACGCGTTTGGCTTGCGAGCGGGAGGACCTGGTTGCGAGGGGTCTGGAGGAGGACAGCGAGGACCAAGTGGTTGTGGATGATGTTGACACGGTGCAAGTGAGTGCCAAGTTGCCCTCGAAGAAGCAGCATCTTCATCATCATCATTTGCTGCAGCCACAGCAGCCACAGCAGCCACAACAGCCGCAGCAGGAGCCGTTGAACTTTACTCAGTTGAGTCCTTGGGGATTGAACGTGGGCTGGCCGCCTTTTTATACGCAAGGAGCAGCACCTGGCGGGTTTTATGTGCCACCTGTAGGCGTGTCACCGCCACACCAGCCACCGCCGCCTTGTTTGCCACAGCAGCAGCAGCAGCAGCAGCAGCAATTGTTGCTGCAACAGCAGCAACTTTTACAGCAGCAACAGTACCTGCAGCAGCAGCAGCTTCTACAGCAGAATCCATTGCAGCAGCAGCGACAGTTACAGCAGCAATTTCTGCAACAGAATCCCCTCCAGCAGCAACAATTCTCGCAACAGCAGCAACAATTCCCGCAACAGCAGCAACAATTCCCGCAACAGCAGCAACAATTCCCGCAACAGCAGCAACAATTCTCGCAACAGCAGCAACAATTCCCGCAACATCAGCAACAATTCCCGCAACAGCAGCAACAATTCCCGCAACAGCAGCAACAATTGCCTCTCATCTCTGATCAATATCAAACGAGCGCCTTTCAACCTCCCAAAGTGACCCTCAAGGACTATGACTCCTCGAGCGTGCAGCAGTTTGGCGGTTCGTTGGATCTCTGCTGTTCCAGCAGCTTCAATCAGAATCATTTCTATCTGTCCAGTCCTGGCTTTCCGAGGACTGTGCTGAACGCGCTGCTGCCCAACCAACAGCGGGATTGCGTGTTCCACATTGAGAAGAGTTCCCCGAACGTCTGTCGGCTGAGAATCCAATTCAAATTCTTTGATTTTGGACAGAATGCAGGAGGCATAGGCAGCGGATTGGCTGGAGGCATTGGCGGTGGAGTGGCAGGCGGCGGCTTCGGAGCTGGCAGCTTGGGTGCAGGCTTCGGTGGCGGCTTGTCTGGCCAACAATCCTGCACTGGCGACTTCCTCGAGCTGGACGGTCAACGCTATTGCGGCTGTCGTTCCGGCTATGTCCACAAATCCCACTGGGCCCAGGGCCGCAAGGCTTTGCGCATGCGCATGGGCCAGTCGGGCAGCAGCACCTCCAATGGCTTTCTGCTGGAGATCTATCAGGATCAGGACTCTGATGGCTGTCGCCAGGATCAGGGCGCTGGCTTTGGGCTGGGTTTCCAGCAGCAGCTGCAGCAGCAGCAACCGCAGGCGGGACTGGGCTTGGGTCTAGGGCTGGGCATCTGGCCGCAAGGTGGCTACCTGCAAGGCCCCTCTCCAGTGGGTTATCCAACGCTGCAGCAGCCACTGCATCCGCAGATGTGGCCACTGCAGGGGGGCTACCTGAATGGAGGTGGATATCCACTGCCTTATCGTCAAACGAGACGCGTGTCCTGGGCGCGTGGCTTGGATGAACATCAGCCATCGAGGGTCGTGGAAACGAACTCCACGCGGAAGGAATTTTACTATTTTGATGGCGATGAAGCCTTTGCACGTTCCGCACTGGATGACGAAGCGGAGGATAAACTTTCTGTGACAGCGCAGCCACAGGCACAGGCTCAGACACAGCCTCCATCGCTGATGACAAAGGCCTTCGAGCAGAGCAGCTGCACCTTCGACTACATGGAGGTCCTGAAGCTCTCCGTGGACACGCTCTGGCTGACGAAGCCTTTGTGCTTTTCCCCGCTGCGTAGTTGGTTCCCCAACATCTTTGGTTGAATAATTATTTCATCAAGTGGATGACGCGGCTCCGATACCCGTAATCTGCGATCCTAGCGCTCTCTTTCTATCTCTCTCTCTTTGTATCTTTGTATATCCGCATGGCAATTGTGTTGACGTCATACCAAAATGCATGAAATATATGACAGAAAAAAGTGCCAGTCTCTCTCTCTCTCTCCTCCTCTCTGCTTAGTCATCGGTGTGGGGACACACGCATTGTGGTCATTACCAAGAATGAGGCACGAGCTTCGGTACCGGCCCCCCCACACACAGTACTTGCTGCCGCTGCCGCTGCCATCCACAGCAGCTCGACGGTGCTCGTCATATAGATAACCTCTGTGGCAAGTGTTTGTTGTCCAAGAGCAAACACACACCAGAGCGCCCAGAATCTCTGCTCAATGTCGGGGCCAGCGCCAGTGCCAACATTCTCTGGAAACATTCTCACACTTCCCCAGCCCAAGGTGTCACCTCGTCGCCACAATCACAGTACTTATGTGGGATAAACAAAGAAGGGGATTTGTAATGGAAATGGAAGTGGCACTGGTGCGACAGCTTACAAAATATCTCTTTGAGTCATTTCTCAGTTCTCTGGTAAGTTAGCCTCCAACGAGCCAACCTTGAATAGGTGCAAGGAAATCGAATGGAAATTAATGGAAAACGAAAGGCTCTGAATTGTTGAATAAGAGAGTTCCTGGCTATGAACCTTTGGGCTGAGATATTTCTAGTAAAAGGTCTTTACTCTTCCTTTCTTCTTGAACTCTGTTCGAAACATTCAAATCAATGCTGGAATCCATGGTTCATTGTGTTTCTGTCGGAATTCCTCATGCCTGAAAATAATTCTCGAAATTGTCTTTGTTTTTCCTGTAAATTTATAAATTGTTTGATATCATCTTCAAGTTTTGATTGCCCTTTAAATAATAATAATGGAAAATATTTGTACCCTCTTCTGCTTAGACCCCAAAATAGATTTAAACAATTTTTAGTTTATTCCTTAGGCTCTATTATTTTCAATTATTTGTGGGCGAATTCTACTTCCTAGAATTCCAAAAGTTCTCCACTGAATCTCACACATTTCCATTAATTTGTAACCCAACTAAAAATAAAAAAAAAACACTCACTTTTGTCGTATCTAATTGCACAGGAATATTTGTAGTTTGTGGTTTTATTTTTGAAATGTGTATTTATCGACTTCACATTAGATATAGCAGATAAAACATACACATATTGATACATAGATATTTATATACACACATTGATATATTTAGCAATGATATTTACTCCATTTATTCAGATTATAATACTCATGGCTCACGGAACGATCAAAATGTTTCCTTTTGTTTTTGGTTTGTTTTCTTTTTTAATGATATGGCAACATATTTTTTGTTACGTTTTGGCAATTAACACTTGGAACTTTGTCTAAATAGTTTAGTTAGTTAGTTAGTTTACTTTAGTTAGTATATACAACACATTGAGAGCTATAAAAGTTTGGAATTGTTCTACAATTAGAGTTAAGGGAGAGACAGAGCGAAGCGCTAACTCCGCTCTAAATTGTTCTCTACAAAGTGAAGCTTTAGTTTGTTTAGTTAGTTAGTTAGGCTAATTGTTAGTGCTTGTTGTTCTCCAGTTTGTTTTTATGCGCTCGACTTTGTCAGCAATGTACAATTGATGCTTGGTATACATATGTGAGAGTCTGTTGTGTCGTGTCCTGTGTGTGTCCTGTGTGTATCCCCTGGGATGTGTCGGATGTAACCTCTCTTCTTAGCCCAGAAATCGTATGTTGGTAAAGACCGCCTTGGCCGGACGCTTGCGATTGCAAAAGTTCACCGTCTTGCTGTGGTTTCCCTTGCGGTTCTCATGCAAATTGATGAGCAACTTGAGGATATCCTCCTTGCTGGGCGTGCAGGCATAACGCAGCTCCGGTTCATAGTTGCTGTTGATAGAATTCATGTAAGAACTGATAATGGTAACAGTTATGTAATTAGAAAGAGCTTTTTCACGTCATCACGTTCAAATTTAGTTGGTAGTAAATGGCGGCAGAGGTTTGGTCTCTTTGGGATTTCAGTGTGTCTTTTCTTTGTGTGTTTTCTGGCCTAGAGAAACTCTTAAAGATGGGCATTAGACATGTTAGAAGAGATTTTCATGGCGGAAATGCTGCCCCAAAGGCCCAGCTCTATTGCCAAGGAAAATTACGGAACTTAAGCGTTCAGCTGAGATTTGCATGGCATTTTGTGGCTGGCACTTTGGGTTAGCATTTCCCTGTTTATATCTATAAAAAAAAGTCTTTAAGCTTCTACCGAAAACCGAAAAAAACATTCACTAACTACAAACAAAAAGTTGGTGTGTGGTAACTAGGGGAACAATCTAGCAAGTGTGGGGAAAGTTTTGGGAGTTTTTTTTGGGTGGATTGAAGTGCCTGGAAAATATGGTAACCTACCCGCGATTCTTGTTGTGACGCTTCCACGGATAGCGGCGATAGTAACGCGAGCGCTTCGGCTTGCTCTGACCCAGCACGAGGTCCTGCACGGTGTTCTCCATTTCGGCATAGTCATCCTGGGCTGGAGCGGAAGCAATCATGCCCTCGGGCAGATGCTGCTGCTGCTGCTGCTCATCCTCCTCCTCGACATAAACCAGCGGCAAAGTCTCCAGCGTGGGATCCTGCAGAGTTTGTGTTGGTTATTTTCTTGAGGAAGCCACACCCTGCCCCACCCTTACCTCCAGCATTTTCATGAGCAAAGCGGATTTGTCCACCAGCTCCTGTTCGGCGCGTAAATCCTCCTCCAGCTTCTTGAGCGTCTCAAACTGATTGGCCAACTCCAGTTCATTGTAAACGGTCTCCGCATAGTCGGGCTGGGACTGGGACTGGGACTGAGACGGGGACTGAGACTGAGACGGGGACTGAGACTGAGACTGGGGCAGCATGCCCAGACCAAGTGCCAGCTCCTGCTGCCGTTCGGCATTCAGGGCGTGCAGCAGCTCTGCCGTGAAATGAGCAAACCAAAGTCCTTATTTGTGGTTTTAATGTTTACTCAAGTTGCCGCTAATCCGGCCACAACTTCCTTTTCCAACCATTTCCTACTCTCTTTCTCGCACTTCCGCCGCTTGACATTTGAAAGTTTGAATAGTTTTTTGCTTGTGTTTGTGTTTGTGTTTGTCTGTCTGTCTGCCTGTCTGATGCTCCTTCTTGCGGCTTAAAAAAACATACATATTTTCCCTTTTGCGCGGGCGTCGTTTCAATATGCAAACGGAAATTGACTGGCGGCAATGAGTTTCACTCTATATTCCAGCCCTATTCTCAGCTCGACTTGTTGACGTCAACAGTCAGTCAGTCAGTCAGTCAGGCCGTGCTGCAGTCTGCCTCTTGTCTCATTTTGCTGTCTGCTGTCTGCTGTCTGCCTGTCAGTGTCCAGCCGTAGGCTTTGTGGGTTTATGCCCCTTTAAAGTTAGGTTCTTCCGAAAATAGCTGAGAGTGCAACAACTCTTTGATCAAAGACGGTTTAAATGTGTTGCTAAATTGATTTTGTTTGAATATTTTACAGAGAAATCGCAAAAGCAATTAATGCTTGAAATGGTAGAGAGGATAAAGGTAGAAAAGTTCTGAGAAATCGTACACAGAATTTTGCTATAATTTACCCTCCTCTACCCATTGTTCCTGCTCCAACAAATCAACTGAAAACCCAGTCGAATTATCGATAATTTCATAGCAGCAGTGGGCGTAAAGGGTTAGGGTTGTCAACGCTGTTGAACTGGAACTGTGCCCGGGTTACGGGTGACGTAAATTTCATCAAAAACTCACAAAAAATCATAAAATGACAACAAAATTGTGGGCGTGTTAAGTGCTCTACACACACAGAAGAACACAAGTCAATACACATGTGTTAAAGGCACTTCAAAAATTGTTCATTGACCGAAAAATGTTCAGTGCCCATTGTGTCCATTATAGTCGTGGATGATGGATGGCGCGGGCGGTGGTCACGGCTATGCCAAACCTGTGGCCCCCCCTCTTTTATGTCCTTGTGTTTGGGTCGCCTGAATGTCGGCAAACAAAAAAATTGTGCTTGCAAATGAGATTTGCATGGTTGCCTGGGCGACACACTTTGACCCATTTAATTGTCTATCAATGGTTTTGCCCATCGAAGTGGGATTAGCCACGCCCTGGAAATCCCAGCCCGCACCTGACTAAACCCCTCAACATTGCCTGTTGCTGTAAGAGTTGCTGTAATTCAAGTTTATGACTGACTCACCATCGCCGGGATCGTAAACAGCTCGTTCCTGTGCATCGGCATCCAGCGTTGGGGGGCCCTGACGACGCGCCTGATGGGATGGCATGCCAGCACCGAAGATGGGCGGCAGATGCAGTCTCTGTGGCGAGGATGCACCATCGACGCCGCCTTCGACTGTGGCGGGGGCTGCGGCAGCGGAAGCTTGGCTCTGCGAAGTCAGAAAGCCAAAGACGTGCCGTGTGTTACAGCCCAAGATCAGGGTTGCCAGAACGCAGAGAGAAAGCAGGTCGGGCTTCATGTTGGCGCCGCTGTTTGCAATGTCTGTCTGCTTGTGTGCCTTGGCTGTTGTTCTCGGGATTAGTGCGCGGGTTTTGATGTCGTTCGTTCGTTCGTTCCTTTCTGCAAGGCATAAATGGTGATGTATATACATGAGGGTAATTACCATCACTACCATTACAGCTAGAGATGCCCCCACTCTGACGCTCTTTTTGTGTTTAAGCAAACAATGCACGCATAAACACGCAAACAAGCGAAGAACCCACAAAGCAGCAGCAGCAGCAGAAGATGAAGCAAAAGAACGCGTGCAAGAGAACAAAAACGAAGGGAGGGAGCGAGGGAGAAGCTCAAAAAGCGTCTGTTAGATAACTTCGCAGCTCACTTGGGTGCTTCTCATGCGCCTTCACCACCGCCTTCGCTTTCTGTTTGCACTCACACTCTCTCTCTCTCTCTCGGCCCCTTCTTCTTCGCTTAATCTGTCTTCTCGCGCACGTGCACAGTGGAATTGAATGTGACGAAAAACGTGTGAAATTTGTCGTTGGATAAGTGTTCTGTTGCAGTTGCATTTCCGTGTTGAGAGTGTATTCTAAGTCAACGATCGACATACAGTAATATATCATTATCTTAAAAGGTCACTACGAAAGCTTAAATTACTTTAATTAAGATCGGTCCCCGTACAGAAAATATATTTTATATTCCGTTTCCTCCTAATCCTGCACCACTGTGCGCTAGGTGTCTTTTTGTTGTTTTGGTGCTGCTGCTCTGTCATGTACTGCACCGCGTTTCCATTATGCGGCCACTGTGGTGTGCGTTGTCGTCTCATTTAATTAGGTATGAGGAGAAGGCGCGTGTTGGCAGCGATGCTGAGTAGAGAGTGGGAGACAGAGACCGAAGGTCGGCTTAACCCTTTCGCTGTGGATTTGCAGCCCATTAGCTGAGGCTGAGCCCATGCCCAAGCCGAAGCCCAAGCCCAGTACAATGGCCATAGCCATGACAGGGGCTTCTCCTGGCATTTTGTCTTGTTCTTTCTTGCTTCGTTTAATAACTTTTGCCTGATGAATATTATAAATGGGTTGCATGGAACTTTTGGCACTTGTGGTCTCGTGGCGATGTCTAGCATTGGCTTAATTTGTGAACCGAGCAACAACAGAAGAGTGAGAAAGAGAACTAAGGAAAAAATGTGATGTTTGCTTTATAAATAAAACAGCGTGGGGCTCAAAAGTGTGAAGATTTCATTTAGAGTGAAATTAATTTCTAAAATTGGTTCGGCCACAGCTTTGTGTTATTTCTAGCTATTTTTAACAGAGATTAAAAAATGTTTGTTAATACCATTAAAATTCCCTTAAAGTCGAAAAACGTTTCCCATGTAAATTAGATAAAATTATACGCCTAATTAAACACAAGAAATAAATCAACTCACACACGCCCCAATCAAAAAAGTAAAGAAAAGGAACAAAACAAATTCTGCATTTTCCAGTTGGCAATTTATTAACATTTTGTGTGGTAGGCGGAATTTTTGTGTGTTTGCATTTCTCGGCACGTTTCGATTCAGTTTGATTGAAATCATTCAACTCAAGTGTGAAGCTTATAATTTACTCAAAATACAAGGAAATTTGTATATATTTTTCTTTGTCTGCTTTTGCCATTATATTTTCTATTGTTTTTCAAAGCAAATAATGATATTTTTGCAACAAAATTTGCAATAAACTAGACAGAAATGTAGCTTTAAATGGCATTTGTTTGGTTTATTCTGTGCTGTTTTGTGTTTATGTTTTGCACATAAATGCTTCGGGCAGGGCCTCTTCCCACGCATGACCCTTAATTCCTTCAATTTCTTTGGAAAACAAACTTTTTCAATTACTTCCCTTTTGATTGGCACTTAGAAGTAGGCAACACTTTTCGTGTTGGTTAGTGAAGAGCGGAAGTCGAAGGTAATTGAGAGCAAAAGCAACAAAACTTCAGACAGAAACTGAGTCAAGAAAGAGAGTCCGAAATCGAGTGCTGAGGAAGAACAAACGAACAAACAAAATAGGAATCGTTGTCAAAATGTTTTAATTAACTTGTTGACACAAAGACCACAAAGTGGATAGAGAACAAAAAACCGCAGTAGGCAGGAAGATGTAAGGACTATAAAATACTCAGTAGTTAATGCTACAAGTGGATCCAAATATGTGGCATTAATTTCTGGAAGAGATTTTTTTGCATTACTAAAATTTGCATTGGAAATATGTAGTTGGAACCCCGATCAGGAGAAGTATTTATTCTCGACTTCTTTGTACATCAACTTTAACCTTTTGTAGTTCTTCTATCACCCAACAACATACCCCCGTATCTCCTACGATTACTTTTTAGGGTGTACAAAAAGTGCGTGCGGGCCTGGGACATTGTCCCCTAGGTAAAATGAAATTAATTTAGTGGCCAGAACGGGCCAGAGCCAGGGGTAAAATAAGTGACTGAGTGTATGGCCGGCAACTGTAACAGCATATTTTTGCTGTCACCTGTTTTTGCTCTATATATTTTGTCTCCTTTCGCAATAACCACACGGCTAATTGCCAAATTGAGCTAAACTACAGAAGAAAGTGGGCCCTAACCCTGGGTGTAATATATGGTTTGGCATATACGAAAAACTTGGCATTTGTATTATAGTGCAGAGTAGTGCAAAAACTTGTTTGATTAGCGTTGACTAAACGGTAAGATAAACATGGACACAGAGGAAAAGAGGCTGGAGGCTGGAGGCTGGAGTCGAGACAAGTGCATCTGACATATGGCCGTGTAGCAGAGCCAATTAGACGCCCTGACCAGTTGATGACGATTGTATAACTTCATGTTTATTGGATTGGGACAGCTGGGCGGAGACAGGCTCTAAATTTGGTAAGAACTTTTTGAAAGGTTGCACAAAAATGTTGGAGCCAAAACAGATGTTCAGATGACAATGGTTAAACCTTTATTTTTGGGGTGCAAGTTGTGGGTGGATAGACAACTTTTTTACCTTTGACTTTACCCACATTTAATATGCAATAAATCAGAATAGAAACTCCATTGATGGGGCATCACCTGTTTAAGCCTAGCAACGAGCCCCGTCAACATAATAAGGTATATTATAACATAAATGCAGAAGGCTGCTCGTATTCACTGTCGCGTCGGTCATAGCGATCTGAGAGTGGGGGAATGTCATTGCCTGCGGTCTAGAATTTGATCCCCCAGTCGGTTCAGCAGTCTCCACATAAAAGTACATACAGAAATAGCACGCAGGACACATGCCAGTGGGTGGCTTCGGAACACCTTCGATTCTTCTTGTATTTTTAATATTTTTCTTCTTTACTTTTCATTCAATTCTCAAGGAATTTTCGCACGTTTCATATTTTATGCCTTTTTTACTGTATTTATTTTCCAAAGAGTCTCTTCTGTTGGTTTATTTGCGCTTGACATTTGTGTCTGTCCTTGTTGTGGGATTCCTTGAAGCTGTGTACATTGCTCAAATTTGAAGCAAAAAAATGTTTTCAATTTTGAAGCGTTTTAAAAATAAGTGGAGTAAATATTATTTAATCTTTTTAAGTATTTTCAGCATTTTTGGGATTATTATAACATTTTTGCAAATGCAAATTTGTGTCAGAAACTTTGGAAAAATTTACCAAAAATAATTTTAAGTCTTAAGTGAAATATTTTAATTTGTATAAAGAATCTATCGAATTTTCAGCTGCTATTTTAATGATTTTGCATCCCTCTCAGTCTTTTCTTTTTGGCCACAAAAATGTGCATATATTTTCATATTTTGTAGCACTTGTAATTAAATTATAGCTAACATTAATGTTCTGTTGCTTTGTGCACCAAAATGTCTAATATTTTTTTAGATACTCCTGAAATTCTTACAAGTCACATGATACACCCCACAACAACTAAAACAATGCCAATTCCTTTGACACGCATTTCTCTCTGACATTAAAGTTGATGACGAAAGCGACGGCATTTCTAAGATTTCGCGTTGTGTGTCCTTTAGCATCCGTTTGGCAATAATTCTCCTTAAACACTGACCACAAAAATGAGTTTATTTTGGGAACACATTTCATGGGTTTGTTTGTATCAATTATTCCGTTTGTGGCACTCTATTTTGCACTCACTTTAAATTATCGTTTTAATCCGTTTCACTTGCTTGGGCAATGGGAACTGGGAAACTGGAACCAGGAGGACGACTGGTCTGGTCTGGTCTGGTCTGGTCTGTTGTCAACTGTTGCTCCTACTACTTGTTGAGCACTGCGTGGTTGACTCGCCTAGCCGACTCCTTTTATAAAGGCCACGCATCTGCCGAAGCGCCAACGAACCCGAAGCCGATTCGGCCCGAACGATGACGAGGCCACCGACCGATGCGATGCGTTCCGCTGCGGTTGTGGGATTCCACATCCGATGTTAAGGCGCCAAAAATTGCGTAAAAGCTTGCAAAAATAAAAGCTTTCAGTGCGTGCGGCACTCTCCCCGGTCCGCTTTGCATTTTAGATTCAAAAATGTTTTTCTGTTCTGCTTATCAGTGAAATATTTTCATCACATTTACAAACGTTAAAACTTTTCGGGAGGGCGCAAAAACAAAGCTAAATGTTTGGCAATTATTTACCCAAAGCCAAGGATATGCGCCGCTAAGTAGGCAACAAGTCAGCAGCCAGGCACAAGCGTCACAGGGTCAACACCTAGGCAAAGGTGCGCGCGGAGGGATCAGGAAGGACATGGAGGCCACCCCCTCAGAGAGTGTGGCATTTGTTGACAATACGCGCGGCTTTATGGAATATGCCAGACCGACGCGTCATTTGATTCGTGGAATTTCTTGGCTCGCGTGGGTGTGTCTTTGCACTCTTAGGTGACTTCTTCGCCGAAGGAAGACGCCGCGGAAATCCCTCTAATGCAAATCCTTCTAGAATTTAAAGCGATTTTGGCGCCAATTTGTCATGAACTTTGAGTGGGGCTGCTTTGTCATGAATCAGGGGGGAGGGAGGTTCAATGAGGTTCCAAAATAACCATCTATTAATAGGTTATTAACAGACTGAACGATGATTTTGGGGGGCACAAATAGACCGACGGGTATCATAAATCTTTCATTAGAGTAGGGACAATAAAGCTGGGCTGTATTGCGGAAAGTGTTTGAGGTAAAATAGGGTGCTTCAATTACGGAAAGATAGAGTAAATGGCAGTTCGGACAGGCTAATGGAGAGTGAAGGAAGTAATTGTAGCTATTTTTAGATGGTGAACTAATGGTGGAGTAATAACTTTTACTGATGGTAATAAGCTAGCGATAAATTATGTAAATATGTATATCGATGACTGATGGAACCTCCAAAGACTTCAGCTATTTATAACCCATCTGTTTCAATTCTTCAACTTAAATTGCAGAACTTATCACCAGGGTTTCCATTAGCCTGCACCTCACTCAATCGTCTGCTCTTCTTGCAGAAACAAATCCCTGGCAAAGGCAGACACAAACAGCCTGCAAAACCCAGGACAGAACCACTCAGAAGTCAACAACCGATGTGGCGACCGGCCGCAGGCCAACAAATGAAAGACACTTTAAAGTGAAATTTGCTGTGAGTAATGTGGCACAATCCCACCTGATTTGCATTCCCCCCTGTGTGTGTGTGTGTGTGTGTGTTTCTGTTGTTTTCGCCTAAAAGGCGGACCAACAAAATAAGCATATAGAGGGCTTTCTTTTTGCCAATTGCCGCTGGCAACCAAAGATGACACATTTTCCCCAACAGAAAAGCGAAGAGAAAACCAATAACAATGCCACGCTGCAAAGTTAAAGTGTTCCTTGGGCTGGAAAGTCGTGAGTGGGGAAGCCATATGAGAAGTTGCCAAAAGTTATATTTTTGGATATTATCAGGACTATTTTTAGTCATTGTCTTGTTATTTCTCGTGGCTTTTTCACATTGAAATCGTCTTAAACGGTTTCTGTGTATCAAATTGCATCAGGCCCTTGAACCACCCACGGCCAAGCCAAGCCATGGCCCTGCGTCACGCCCTGCCTGTGGGGCCTGTGCAATCGGGGCCATATGTGTCGTGCCGCTCCATAAGCGGTGCGCCGCGACGTGCAATTGATAAGGATATTATCGCAAAACTAATTATGCTGAGATTTTCGTGGGGTGTTCTGGGAAACGGTTTTGTAGGGAAAACGCTTGGAGTATGGATTGCAAATGTTTTGGTGAATAGAAATGGGATAAATGGGGAGGCAATTTTTGATTAATTTTCAACCTTTTTTTTGTTTAAACATAATCCCAATTAATTTTCAATTTTTTGTATAGCTCTTCATCATTTTTTTTTCCATTAGCTGCCTCTAACAAAAATCGAAGTAATTAGCTGCCAGAGATTTTGCGGCGAAACTGTTTTCCAGAACATCCTGCGCCATATCTCCCGGTTGCTTCATTAAGCAAATATTTGAAGCATACTTGTCGGCGGGCACGTGAAATGTGCAATAAACCCAATGAGTTCGCCCAGCGATTGTTGTGTGTATTTCTGGAGTTTTTGGTACGATTTATTGGTATGATTATATGGGCCTCGTCAACTCGTTACAGCCTTAATTAAACCAAAACCACACTGACAGATAATGACACAAATCAAATCAGCAGCGTGTCTGGCTGACAGCTGACGCTGACGTTTAACCAATTTCGAATCCCAATGCCAATGAGGTTTGAGGTTGAGGTTTTTGCGCCAAATATTATAAAAACAACCAACAGAAAAATGAAATATTTGTCCGAAAACTTTGTAGAACTTTTTGTTGTTTGTGGAAAGTAAAGCAGGAGACAACACAGACAGATTCTCGCTGCTCCAACGATGATAAACAAATGAAAATAATAATACTTTAGGCCGGCTTGGCCTCCTGCTCGTGATCGGAGCTGGGTATTTCGGCCTCTTGCTCCTCGCCAGCCTCCTCTTCGCCCTCTTCGACCTCCTCAATGATGTCGCCCATGATGATCTCTTCAGCCAGTAAATAGAGTTCACGAATGTCCTGAAAAGGGACACAAAATTAGAGGAAAGCTGAACCTAGACCAACTTGTTTGTATCCACCTTGGCATTGCGTAGCGCCACAATTTTCTCATCCTCAAAGCGCAGCTGATCGTACTGCTGCTTGGAGATGAGCAGTCCTCGATTGAACTCATCCTCCATTTCGGTTTCCAGCTCCTCGGCATACTGCTGCTTGGCCAGTGTCAGGCTGATGGCAGCCTCGCTGACAATCGTTTCGTCGGAGACATCGGTGGCATCGTCCAGGAATTTTCTCGGCAGCGCATCATGGACCGAGTCCATCGATGTCTCGCGCATCATCTCAATGCTGGCTCGGTGTGCATCCTCCATAAATTCATTCAACTGCCTGGCCGTAATCGGGGTGCTGGGGTCCTTTAGTTTACCCTCCAGCTGATTGCGTATGCGCAGCTCAGTTTCGCGGAACTTTTGTCTGCAAATTACAGGGTATTACAGGTGACACACTGCCTCAGAGACTTGAACTGTGCTTTACCTGGCTTTCACTATATTCTGTATGTCCAATGGATCCGAGGAGAAGGGCTGGGGAACGCGCAGCGAACGCTCCTTCATTTTGGCACGCTCCATCTCCAGGAACTCCTTCAGGCTCTGCTCGCAGTCGCGCCAATCCTCGTTCTCAATGCTGTGGGTGAATGCGAAAAGGCAGGGCAGATTTTATTTTTCATTAGCTCCGAGATTCCACAAGGAACTCGCCAAACATTCAACTCATGCATATTAATGTGGGGATGCCCTCGGCTAAAATGCTTTAACGACAGCAAAATGCTTCTATCTGGCGGTGCTATACACGGATGTGGAAGTACACTTTCTTGGAGTGGGGTTATTGGGGTGTTGAGAAGGGATTTTAGAATTTGGATTGTATTGAACTACATTTTAAAGGAAGAACCTTATAAATTTAGAGGGAAATGCAAGCTTCCTTTTGCTGAATCTTAATGCAATTTACACAATTTTTTAGGAAAATTTCCTATGCTTAGTAGAGTATACAAAAATAATCAAATCTTGTTTATAATTTCCCAACATGCCCCAACTCCACTACATAGCCGCTGCGTAAGCCACTGGGTTCAGCCAACGCCCGCGCGTTTTTTCCCACGTTCTGCAAAGGAGACAAAGCTCCCCAGAAGGCGTTGAGCGACAACGCGGAATAATGTATTGTTATCGTTTGGCGTTTTTTAATTTTGCCAACATTCTCCCTCTCCCAGCCATTAAACAGTCATTAGAGGCGAAGATATTTAGGTGTGGGAACGGTTACTTACCGCAACAGGTCCATGCCGCGTTCGGCATCCTCCGTACGGTACTGTTCGACCAGCAGCTTTTGGGCGCGCTGCCTCTCCCGTTTCTTCGCCAGCAGCTCGGCTTCCTGGGCAGCGTGCTGGAGTCGCTCCCGCTCCCATTTCACGCCCTGCAGCTTCAGACGCTCCGCATTCTTCTCCCGACTTGTTTTCAACTGCAAACGGTAAACGGTACGGTAAACGATGAGCTGAGGCTTGGGTCTGGGTATTAGTCTGGTAACTCACCTTGGAGCGCTCCTTCTGTATTTCCAAGTTGGCATCTTTGTTGACCATGAATATGGGATCGTCGGCCAGTTCGTCTGGTATCACATCCGATTTACCCTCTATAATAAGCATGCGTTCCCGCTCCACTTCTTTCATCTGAGAAAATATTTAATTTCACATTAGCTAAGTTGCCCTTGATGGCATTACAAGCTGTGCGCCCAAATATTTACTCGTATTTGTGGTAGTTCTTGATTAACAATTTGTTGTGGTGTTTTGCGGTCGTTTATATTAAAGACGAATGTTTGTGGTTAATCGCTACTGAGGCTGTTGGTGTACCCAGTAAATGAAAAGTAAGAGTGGAATGCTACATTTATGAAGGAGTGTGTAACCGAAATAAATATCTCGCAGCATAAAAAAACTAGAGCAGCGAAACGCCGATTTGGCAAAGGGGAACGAATTACAGTTAGGTCACTGTAAGCAGGTAGCCAAAAGTGCCATGCAAGCTGCCCACCCCATTTAATCTCTTTCGAGAATCATCCTCATCATGTATGAAAGCAACAACAGACAAAGAGTGCTATCTCTTTCTAGCGCTTGTCGCTCTGAGAGCTGAGAGAGAGCGAGCTGTAAAAGTTCCGCATTTGTAATGCCTTTGTAAATGCATATGGGTGCCATCTCTAGCTTTACGCATAAGTCGCTCTCTGAGAGCAAGCTGCATTGACTCTCTCAGCTTCACTGAGGGTCTGCTTTGGCAACGCTACCTGCGTGAAGCGCCGTTAGTTTTAGCGATCAAAGGGAATGAAAAGACAAAAAGTCGTAAATTGTTGTTGCGCCTTGTTTGAGTCTGCCAAAAACTTAGAAAACTTATTTACAGCGTAACCTTTAGTCGAAATATCCACAATGCCGTATTTACTTTCATTAACGATTAGTCTGCGGTTAATATCAAAGCCAAATGTTACGCGTAATGGCAGCTCTGAGCCTCTTAGCGGCTGGCAAAGCTTTTATTTTGGCTTTGGTCAAATTTAACCAGACGTCCTTGGTACCCCAGTACACACCCTAAAGTCATGTCTGAGTGTACTACCTCTTAGCACTCAAGGGCCAATTTCCTGACACCTTATACTGGTACTGGCACTGGCACTGCTATCTGCTACTTCGTGCCGCATTGCGCGCTCCCGTCAAAAAGTGCAATTGGAAGCGTGAATAAAGTTTTTCCTTCCCTTTTGGCATTGCATATCGTACGGACAGATCTCTAAGTATCTGTATCCGCAGTGAAGCACTTTGTACTTCATAGTTTCCCCCCACCTCGCATGTCTCACAGACATAAAAGAGCTCCAAAAAGACTCTTTGCCGGGTATCCGTATGTGCTGTGCATCTGTGTCTGTTGCTGGTCTAATTTTTATTACTTTGACGGCTTGGATTTGCCATTTTCATGCCGGGGGCTCATTGAATTCAATTGTTTGTGCTTTCCCCCTAAAATGCCCCTTACCCCTGCCAGAAGGAGGCGCAAGAAAAATGAGTGGGCGATGGCGGTGGTGTCGGCGTCATTGAAAAACTTTGGGACACTTTCGCTGAAAAAAAGGGCAAACTTGAAAAGGGTAAGCAAGAAAATGAAATCGCAGCCAATAAACAAGTGGAAGAGGAAGGAAACAAAAGAGAAAAGACTAGCGGATACCGTAAGTAGCTTGAGCTTTGCTTCTCTTGCACAAAAAATAATCTTTCAGTGAGTACTCAATAAACTATCTTGATAACACTTTTACATTATGGTCTTCAAGCCCCATCCCTAGCTAACTCCGAAACTAACTCTCACGGAAACTCCTTTCGTGGCATACCCACCCTCAAAGCGAGCAGAACCCTTCCTCATCCTCTTTAACTTCGCTCTTCTACGTGACTCTGGGGCGTCAAATTTGTTTAGGTCTCTTGTCTCACATTTTGCGTTATATTCTTAGGGAGAACTTTATGAAAATTGAATTACCAACCAAACAAATTGGTCACATTTGTGTGTGAGCCTCAAAGTTAATTGGGGTACAAAAATAAAGATTTGGGTTCTGGTTCTGGTTCTGGTTCTGCTTACCTCACGGGCCCGGATGCGGGACAGCAACTGTTTGCGGTAATCCTCGTCGATGCGCTCCCGCAGCTCCTTCATGTACGCGCGATCCGTCAGCTTGACCACATTGGTGCCCATCAGGCGCTCCAGTCGGGCGCTAATGCGCGGCAAATTGAAACTGCGGCGAAACAAGAGACAGAGGCAAAATCAAGTGATTATTAATGACCCAGGGACCGAGGTGTAAATGTGAGTCAATCATTTTTCCCGCTTAATTAAGCGCCAAACCTCTTGCTAAGCCGCCCAAGCGAGTGTCACTGCTTGGTGGGCAAATCCCACATGGATCCGCGGTCCGCACAGCGTTTGTGAGCGCTTGTAACTCCTGGCAACGAATGAGTTCGAGCCGCATGTATATTTTTTCTGTGTTACTATAGCGCCACACTCGCAGTGGCTGTTCATACGCTGCGTTCGCCAGCCAGTCAGCTGGTGGATTTTATTCTATTTTACTTTGGTTGCCAAAACACCCGAAACCGACAACACAAGGACAAGGAGCAGCGCTGGAGCAAGCCGCCCCAAACCCCAACCTAACCCACTCAAACACTTTCACTCTACGCCACAGTGTGACAAAATCTAAGCTGAAAGGGTTATTCCAGGAGTTTCAAATCAATAATTGTAGCGAGAATTATTTGAGTGGTTAAACAACATTTTTGCTGAAAGTTTAGCAAGTTTGAAGGCGGCCAAAATTGCCAAAAATATTCAAAAATCTCTGCCAATATTGTAGCTTGAAAGTGTATGATATTCGCTGATCAGTGGGGAATTGCTAGAGCTACATCTCGAGGCTGTAATCCCCTGGAAATTTGCTCATCTTTATGGGGGTAAAATGCCATTAAAACCATCAAAATTTCGAAAAGGATTCCAGCAATTCTAACCTTGGATTTCCCCAAGCGCTAGTATTATATTTTTCCCCCACAATTGCTTCCAAAGTAAACCCATTTATTTAAAATATAGCAATTTAAGTTAAGATTTAGCTTAACCTCCATTAAAAAGCAATAACTTAGCTGCTGCCTTACCCTTTGCAGACACTGTGCCGAGCCTGAGGCTCATATTTTCACATGATATGCACACCAGCCAACAAGAATAACAAGAACAATATATAAACTCACCTCAGCACGGCCGACTTTCCCCCCAAAGCCGACAATTTAGTGTAATTTTAGACATGCAGACTAGAGCGCTGCTTGGATTTTTAGTAGGAGCAGCCAAAGGGCTGGGGCAGAGCCAATGTCTCGACTCGTCAGCGAATTTCGCTAGGCTTTTTAGCAATAGACAGAAGACAGAGCAGCAGAGCAGGTGGCACACATGGTTCTGGTTGGTTCTTGGTTTCTTTATATGGTAAATAAATATTTTATTTCTACATGCCATAAAGCAGTCTCTCCTTGGTTGGGGTTTATTAATCCTTGTCAATTGTCAGCTGACAATTAGATGGAATTCCATGTGGAGCATAGACAGCAGGTTTGGCCTGAATCGTGGCCTGAGAACTGCTTGAGGCTTGCCTGACTTCGGTTTGGTTCAGCGCCAAGAAAATTAACTCTAGCGTCATGCATTTCCAATCACAAACGAATGATAGCTTGCTCTTTGCTCTTCTTGGCACACGTTCTCACACACAGTTAAGACATTGTAAGCTTTGATGTCTCGACGTCCTCCAAAAATCGCATTTCGCAATAGTTCAAAGCCATCAAAGTTCAATTCAATCAATTTTCAATCTGGGACAGGTGGCAAGGAGGGGTTTTACTATTCCCCCTTTCGGCATTGACATTGATAATGAAATTTCAGGACATCAATGGATGTTGTCGTCGTATCAATAACTTAGCCCGTGTCTCACATGGCTTGGAGGGTCACATGCATAAATTATTGCCTCTGGAGGAACCAATCTGTCATGTCTGTTGTGTCCTACACAGAGTCCCCCTGCCCGCTGCTGCTCCTACCAGCTTCGATTTATGGCTTGTACAAGCTTTCCTTTCCACACACAGAAACCCTGATAAACGGAAGTTCTAGCCCACAGAAGAAGTATCCAGCTCGTGGCTTTTTATTGCAACTTCCGCGTTACCCTACGCGAAATGCAACTCCCATGACATTTGCACTGCTCATCGTCGCATCCGCTAACTGTCACAAATGCTCTCAGGCACACAGGCGGGACATGATTTATGGCACTCTAACCTCCGCCTCCGTTTCTACGATTATTACACCATTTGCGGAGGTTGCACTACGCGTGGGGGGCTTGAGCTGACTGCGAATGGGTTAACAAGCAACCAATAGTACATTTTGCCATATAGCCATTTGTGGCCACATTCCGCTCTTAATGGCACAGGTAAGCCATAAATAAACATGGGATTTATTCACTGCTTACAGCTGCAGGCATTATGGGTGCTTTTATTCATTTCTATGGTAAATCTTACGCACTTGATGTGCTTTTTTTGTGTGCTGTTTATTGGCTTGTTCTTGCATGTACAGAGGACACTCTGTTTCGGGGGAATCGGAGAAGGTAAAGGGTTCCAGTACCCTGATATACAGCTCCCCATTCTTCCTTGCTGCTTATAAACCTCTCAAGAAACGCAGTTAGCTATTGACCCATTTCTCCCATCTCCGGCAATATGTCAAAAAAGAGAGAGGCTGTTCCCCGTCTCATTGATGACATTTATGACTTAATTAGCGACTCGCTTCGTTGGCCTTTTGTGAGGGGAAATTGGAACCATATTAGTTTACAGCCTCCTCGCCTCGTTCTCATTGGCTAATTGAAAGGGCAACTATAAAACTGGGAAACAGAAGAAGAACTGAAGATTGCGAATCCTTGCTGCCTGTGCAACGCTAATTAATGCCTGGGACGTGCATACATTTTGCCGAAGAGCCTGACATTTATGCCCTTTGCCAGTCTGCCATTAAAATTGATAATTGCAACACGTAGTGGGGCGACAATAAATTTCCTAAGGATGCCCCAGAAGCAGTGGAATATTGAAATGTGATTCGTGCATCCTTTACCTCGTCTCCGGCTCCAGATTGCACTGCACAAAGTCAATGAGGAAGTCCTCCTCGATCTCCAGCTCCATCATGTGTGGCAGTCTTCGGAGACGTTTTTTTTTCGTTTTTGAGGGCATCATTTTTTGGCCTCTAGAGGAGTTCTTTGTACCACTTTTTAGTCTCTCATTTGTATACGATGGTTTTCGCCACGGCGAACGCAGAACTTGGCGGAACTTTCACTGAACAAAGACGACCGGCGAATGGGGCAACCTTTGATTGGGATTCCTGGTTTTAGGTTGGTGCTGCCTGCCGCTTCTGCCACACATGTGTGTGGCGTCGAGTGGCAGCCGCCAACCGCCAGCTCCCACTTTTACTTTTACTTTCGCCCTCTCATAGTTTCGCGTTTCAGAGTCAGCGCCCGATTCCGTTTCCAGTTCTGCCATTGTCCCGGCAGGTGGCACGACGTCGTCTCCCCCATCGCATGTTTTGTTGTTCGGGAATCCAGCGTTTAAGCGTTTAATGTTAGGCGTAATGACATGACACCAATGTCAATGTTATGACAAACTATACGACGCAGTGTGTCAACAAGTTTCACCATTGATACGATACGACTACACTGATAAAAGATTTGTGGACTCTTAAAGGCAGCAGTCAATAAAGTTGAAAGGAGTAGGAGTTGGGTTGAGCCAGAGTGGAGTTTATTTTTCAAGAAACAAAGAGCATTTATGGGGTATTGTAAAAGTTTAAGAGAGCAACAATTTGACATAGAAAGCGATAGGTGATGGAGTGAGACGGAAGAATCGAGATTTGTTCCTTAATGACAGAGAGAAAAGAATGAGTATAATGAGGAGGGGGACTTCAAATGTACAGTTTTAGTGGCATTGAAGAACACAATGCAAAAAGCTTTTGATCGCTACGCAGCACTTCAGTACGTTTACTCTTCCTCTCTCTTACTCTTTCTCTCTTCTTACACGCTCTTCCTCGGCCAGTGCACTGCAGTGTGCGCTCTTTGCTGAAGGGGAGTGAGCTATAACGGCTGTTGTTAGTGAGAGAAGAGCGAAAGAGAGACAGTTGGAAAGCAATAAGCGGTACTGAAACTGACTGAGGTTCGGGTATGTGTACATATGTATGTGTGTATGTATGTATAAATAAATAGTTTAAGTGCCGCGACTCACAACCTTCAAGTTCGTTATTTTCGTTCAGTGCACTAAAATTGCCAAAAAGTTTTGAAGGCTCACCTGTCTGTAGGTGACAACTCTATTTCTATATATTTTCCCATTTATATGCCGTGGGACTGGATATCAGCTCCTCCTCGTACTAAATACATGCCTCTACTCGCTTTTGCTTTTGCTTTTGCCTTTGGTTTATGGCCAACAAACTGTCGGTGTTTATTTCACCCGTTAGATCTCGTTTTTTCTTGTCATAGTAGCTGCATGTGCGTGTGTCTGGGTTTTGCCCTATTCCAGCGTGTGTGTGTCTAGGCACGAAATCGGTGACTGAAAGTCTACAAAGGGAAGAGAATCTCAAGAAGCAGAGGGGCACAGGGCACGAGGCACAGCGACACGTGGCATAGGGCCTGAGTCTAGGCCTGTGTTTTGGTAGGGAGTCTCACATTACCGTTGAAACCAGATAACAATTTCGCTTTATGGCCGTCTTTCATGCCAACAAGACATACAATAATTTCCTCTAATCGACTCGGAGCGCGGAAATTGAGCAAACACTTTGTATCGAGCTTGACACTGACATTGCAACGTGCAACAACGAGTGGCAGTGGCAGCCACTTTCCGAAACTCGTCTCTCCCTCTTATTTCCGGTCCATGCCACTTGGCACAACTTTGAAGCCGCCTCTTTGGCACCCAAAAAACTTTAATTGCAACGTCTTCCGGCAAACGCGAAAGGTGTCCGCTGACATTTCAACAAATAACTTGGAGTACTTATTCCTTTAAGTTTTGGCTTTCTTTTATTCACTTTCTATCCTCTACTTTTTGAGAGCTTAGTGGCTTCAGCGGATACTCCAATGTCAGCTTCACTTTATCTCTAGTTTGTGTGTCTTCTGGGAGGCAACATTTCTCTTGCTTTTTTTCGACATTCCATTTGTGTGTCGAATGCTATTTGTGGCTGCACTTTTTTTGAGTTAAATTGCATAATGGTCACCTTTAATTCTTTGTTTTATTTTTTTCTATATTTTTAGCAGAGCAAAGTTCTCTGTAAAAGGTGAAACTAAGCGGCAATCCATACTTCTGTAGCCCCACAAATCTTTGCACGCATGGGTGCTTGTCTATGCTAAACATTGACGGAAACCCGCTCTGGTTGTTGCACTCGCTAAGCTTTTGTTACAACTTTTTTTGCGTTTGATACACTGAAAAAAGTGCACCTTTGTAATGTATAATGTAATGCATAAAATGTGGAAAATAGTATCTGAATTTGGGCATACATACATTCACCGAACAATTCTAATCGATGAATCTTCTTGGAGTTATTCCAAATTATTTTTAGAGCTCATATATGACGCCTTAACCCTGAATGTTTTGCTTTGTTTTACAGCTCCTAAATCCCATAAATAACACTTTCTCAACAATTTGTGATTCTTTCCATAAACTCTTTTCCCACTTACTCTATCAATCACTCTAAAATTCTTACGTGCACTTGACCAAATCCTCCAGGTCCTCCGCGGACAAAGCGTACTCCGGATCCAAGCTCGGTCCAGAGCGTTTTTTGTTTCGGCTCCGCTGCTTCCGGCGCACTCCACTCGAGGGCTTCGAGCCCGCTCGCAGTGGCAAATTGTCACTCGACTGGACACTGGTGCGGGGTATCGGGGACTCCGCAATGATGGCCATGCCCGTGCTGGTGGCGCGCTCGTTGGGGTACTTGACCGCCGTGGCAGAGGCACTGGCAGCGGCCGCCTCCTCGGCCTTGGCCTTCTCCGCGAAGCTGTCGCGTCGCCAGGAGGGCGTGAGGCTGCGTATGACATTCTGGGTGTCCGCATAGCCCTCGTAGTTGTATCGCTTGCGTAGGCTCAGCCCGGACAGATACTCGAGCGTCTGCCACACGTTCATCTTGTTCGCACTGTAGCAGGTCTCATCGTCGACTGACCAGCAAGCGTTGCGTGCTATACGCTGGGCCAGGAGCATCGTCACGGTGGCACAGCGCTTGCCTGGCGGCGGCGGAGGTGCCCACTCTCGGGACTCCGAGCGAGCACCTGTGAGTGACATATGCGGAACAGTTTGTTTAGCAAGGATCCCACGTTTCACGTCAGTTGTCTTGGATAGCACAAATTGAAATGTAATTAAGTTTCCCCTTTCAAAAGTTCGTCCTCATCCTTTATGGGACTCTTGGCAGTGGCGTGCGAAGCCTCCGACGACCGAACTTCATGTGAGGACGAGTCCCCGCCGATCCGTGCCCCGTGTGTCCGTTGCGTGGCAGCCACGCGTTCGTACTCGTACTCGTACTCGGGGTGTTTATTGTATCCATTTTGCGCCATTAAAAATAATATCATTCTGATTGAGTGACGCGCCGCTTAAGTACTTTCTTTTGCTGTCCTCGTACTGACACCATTTTCCGCTACACTTTTACTCGCTTGATTTTGTTCCTTTATTGAACACGCAAAGTGTCGGAGAATAGAGAGCAAGTGGAGCATTATCTACCCCGTTCTTTGGCTGTGAATGCATTGTGGATACGCAGCTTAGGGAAATGTTTGAGTTATGACCCAGCTAATGACACTCTACCCCTCGTTTTTTGGCGTATAAATTCTAGATTGATGGGCGTTTTTTTATGGCTGAAAAGGAGGAACACTTTATCTATTGATGTGCCAAAAGAGTTATGGCCAAGAAATGGAAATGGGAGTTGCAGATTGAAGGACAAAAGGTTGACTGATCGATTATACATTCTGTAGATTAGAGTTTGGTGGATCAACTTTCTTTGATTTAGGATTATTATACACAGCACTCGAAGAGTAAATAGGATAGATTGTATTTGTGGGGAATAACGGATGTTTGTAACGCACAGAAGGAATCGTTTCCAAACCAAGTCTGTCCGTCTGTCTGTCCGTCTGTCCGCCCTTATGTGCGCCTAGTACTCAGAGACCAGAGATAGGGCAACCAAGTTGAGTTGAGTACTTGCCACAAGTGAAGTAAGCAAGGGCAAGGGCAGGCTTTGGCTCTAGTGTCAGATTGTGAATAGAAATCAAATGAAAGGAAAATCCTTTGCCAGCAGCTTGGAGCTTCATTCAATAACAAGTTCTGCTCTCTGTCTGGATTGATTGGGGATAATGGAGAAGCTGTTGGAGCGCAATTTCTTTGAATTGAAGCATGTTGAAGATGGGGGGGACAGCACCAGCTGCGCGAAGCAGCAGGAGCAGATGCCGAACTCGAAGTTGCACGATCAGGAGGCGACAGAGGCGGTGAAGAAGCTGGATGAGGGGCAGCCTTGGAGTGACTTGGAGGAGCAGCTGCAGCAGGCGTTCCAGGAGAAGCACGAGCACTCGCAGGAGCAGCAGAAGAAAGACCAGAAGCAATTGGAGGGCGAGCTGCAGCGGCTGAAGGATCAGCTGGATGGCAAACAGAGGGAATTCGAGAAGATGACGAAGCGATACAACGCCTTGGAGTCGGCCTTTGAGGCTACTTTGCTGAAGAAGAATGCGCGGATATGTGAGCTGAAGGGTTCCCTCGATTTGGCACAGGATCGATGCGATGAGGTGGAGCAGGAGAACGAGCGAGAGCTGGAGGATATTAAGCAGCTGAAGACCAAGATCCTGACAATGGAGCACGCCAATGAAATGCTGATGACTCACTTTGAGGCCGCTCGGCTGGAGCTCAGCTCGATCAATGATCTTCTGCTGCTGAATGAGAATCAGCAGCTGCCGGACAGGCACCTCAGTCAACAGGTGATGCAACGATCTCTGGAGAGTCTCCAAGCCATGACGGAGTATTTTGAGCCGCTTCAGCAGCAGCTGCTGGAAGAGCGAAACAAAGAGCTGGGCAAACTTACCGTCCTGAAGGAAGACAAGTCGCGACTGGCGCAACGGCTGGCCAATATGCAGAAGGAGCTGGCACTGAAGGCCAGCAATTATGCGACGCTGGAGGAGCAGATTCAGCCGCTGATCGATGAACGGGACGCCCTGAGGGAGCAGCTCCAGAAGAGCGACAAGAGCCGGAAGCGAGTACAGTTGGAGCTGCAACGAGAACAGGAGAATTCCGAACGGCTGATCGAACGGCTGCACAGGGAGAACCACAGACTGGAGTTGGAGCTGCAGTCGCTGCAGCGATCGGGAACGGAGAAGGAGGAGGCGGAGGTCTCAGCCAACTGCAGCAACTGTGTGGAGAAGTTGAATGAAATTCGCAAGCTGCAGAAGATCAACAAGCGGCAGAGGAAACTCCTGAAGGAATTCAAGGGCAAAGCGGAGCAGTTGAAGGCGTACACCCAGGCCAAGTGTCCGACTCAGTCTGCCCAGCAGTGTAGCGAACAGCTGGAGCAGCAGAAATATTGCGAGCGCATGGCGGAGCAGGAGAACATTTTCCACGCACAGCTGCAGCAGGCAGAGGAGAAGTATCAGCGTCTGCAGAGTGGCTACGAGGAGGTGTGCGGGGAAATTGTGCAGCTGAAGCAGACCATTGTGAGGGACCGCGAAAAGATAGCAAAAGTTGTGTGTGCGAAGAACTCCGAACTGAACGCATTGATGAGCAAGTGCCGCAGCAGAGAGCAATGCATTGACGAACTAAAGCGCGGCTTCGACGAAGCGTACACGAACATCGGCTCCGAGCGGCAGTCGATGAAGAGAGTGATGGCCCAGTGGGAGGCGAGTATGGTGGATATCAAGCAGGTGGAGAAGCACTGGCAGCAACAGATGAGCGCGATGCAGCGCAGGCATGATCAGGCCATGGATACCATGAATCAGCGTTACCAGAACGCCATACAGAAAGCAAACAACTGCAAGCTCTATGCGGAGGACAAGGCCACAGAGTACCAGGCATCGCTGGCCGAGATGAAGGCTACCATGGATTCCTTGAATGAGCGTTACCAGACCGCCATGCAGACAGCAAACAACTACAAGCTCTTTTCGGACGACAAGGCCACAGAGTACCAGGCATCGCTGGGCAAGATGAAGGCTACCATGAAGCATCGTCAGCCAAGAGAGCAGCGACAGTAGATAGCAATAGGAGTAGCAGTAGTCGAACAGAGAGTTCTGCTTTTGTTTTGGTTCTCTTCTATTTCAATTAAATTTAAAAGTGTAAAAATGTAGCTGATCAGAAAATGGTTTTTATTTCATTGCCGGACTGCCCTTTCAGCATTCGCATTTATCAAATTACCCCACGGTGCGGTGAAACGCTCTCTCAACTCTGCTCTCCCACTTTCACTCTCTTTGCGCACGCTTGACGTGCTAGGGATTGTTTTGACTTGAATTGAGATAATTTGTAAGCGTATAAAACTACTAAAGTATGATGGATATATGATTAACATATTTTTGGTATCATTATTTGATTATTTGATCAAATGAAGAGGAATATTTCGATACATTTTGGGAGCATAAAATGAGTAAGAAAAGTCCATGCCAAGTGGAATATTTCTGTTAGTTAAGCTGCTTTACATGTAGAGTATTTATTTTGTGCAGAATGTGTTCCAATTTCAAGTTTTAAGATAGTTTTTGGCAGATAACCAAAACGAGAAACCATTTTAAAGTTGAAACCATTAAGAGAAAAAGCGAAAAAGCTAAAAGTCAAGCAGGAAACGTTCCAAAAAAAACATTCAGAGTTGTTTCCAACAATCTGCACCCACTGTAAGTAATAGTTTCCTGTGCCATTTACACCTGGCTTAACCTTGAAGCAGAAGGAACATTCCTTAGACATTGACACCTCCAGAGAACAGAGCCAAGACAAGCCGCAAAAAGCGAGTGCGACCCAGACGTCAGCCAGTGAACGAAACCAAAGACAATTTCCCTTTTCCATCACTTGTGCACCCCAATTACTTGGCAAAGTTTTGACTGCACTTGCACCCCGCCCTGCCTGCTCTTTGGAGTTTCCTTAAAACTGAAGGAGGAGCTGAGGCTTCGTTAGCATCGCGTGACTAAACTTAGTACGGAAATTAGTGCCCTCCACTCAAGGCAGAGCAAGAGCCGGCAGCGGAATGTCTGCTGCCAGCGGAACTTCCAGGAAAGTTTTTCAGTTTTTGGCAGCAAATGAGACTGCAACGAGAGCTCTAAAGAGGCAGATAACCATATCAGAGAATCTGTTAATGTGATGCAATCGAGTGTAAGTATTTCCTTAAGAGTGCAATCCACAATAATTGCCATGGAAATATGTATTTCTGGGTGTGGTGGCAATACTGCTGGCTGCAACGCCTGACATTTTGATGGATGCAATAAAATATTATGAGCATGCCGCATGGAGTGAGCCGCTGTGGCAAAAAGAATCTTAATTGAATGGCAGGCCGTGGCGCCAAACCGTGTCAGAACGTAACGACCAACCAATCGACCAATAAACTGCACGAAAACATAAAACCAACAACAACAACAAACACAAACACAAAAGCTGGCACCAAGGTGAATTTAGCAGAAGGTGAGAGAGCGCTGTCTTGAGAGCCGACGCACTGCCCACGCTCTCTCGGCGCTCAGCAAACAAGCGCTAGAAAGGGATGGAGATCCCCAAAAGAGATTACGTTGTGGTGAAGACGTTCGTCACCTTCTAGAAATTCACCATGGGCTAGGCATCGAGGCACACATACACGTGTCTTAAATTTGCAAACTATTTTTACTCACGCAACAATGACATCGGGATCCTCCCACCATTTCTTATGCGAGGGCTGCAACAGCAGGCTAACCTGTCGCCAGTGATTCTTGTGCACAACCTAAGCGGAATGTTTATACAGTCAAATATTTGTAATTTATATTTTATTAGCCAAACTCACTTTGTACTTCTTGGGATCGTAGGCATCGTGATCTTTATCGGAGAACACCAAACGCGCCATTTTTGCCGCCTTTTGCTGTGTTGCTGAATTATGATATTTTGGTTTTGTTGTGTTGCAGGACTAATGATTTTGTTGTTTGTCAACTAACACGGACTGACAGTTGACTGAAGGGTGTGTGTGAATAGTGGATTTATTTTGGAGTTTTTACAGATTTCTTGAGACGGCCTTAAAGCGAGAGAATTCCTAGATAAGAAATATTAATTTTTGTAACCATTTTTGTGCACCATAAATATTTTCCAGTGTCCCATTTTAGCACCACCCTAGAGCACAGCATAGCCCCCGCTTTAGCTTTAGCTGCATTGGCATTATGCAAATCCATCAAATCCACACAGACATATAGAGTAGATGCACACATACACACATATAAACATATATATACAGCCGATAGCTGTAGACCAAAAGCAGCGCGGTCCAACGTCTGGTGGCTGCTGCCTGTCGGCTGGCGGCATTAATTTCAGGGCAGAACTTATTGAACTGAATATAATTATATTCAGCTGATGAAATTTGAATGGACAGCAAGTGTACTGAGTGTGTGTGGCTGTAATTCGCCATTGGACATGTGTGGTGTGAGGTTTGTTTTGGCCAAATCAAATGTGTCTTGTCTCGATATCATGTCAACCCCGACCGTGGCTAATTGTCACACAGTACTGAAGCTCAAAGAGATCTCTGGTGCCCTGACCATGGCGTGGTACAATCGAGTTTTTGTTTCGAGTTTCCGCATTAATGGAGCGAGTGCCGAGCAACCTGGCCTTTTATGCTAAAATGTGATTATAAATCTCGCTGGTTCTGGTTGGAGCTATAAAAACCCTGCGACCACTGGCAGATGTCAGTTAGTTACGTTCCAATCGTCGCTTAGAAATCACTCAACAAAAGCCAACATGAAGGTACAGGAGCTAGGCCACAGTTCCCCCGGGATTAAGTCTGCAATTAATTCTCTTTCTCTCTCCCTTTACAGTTCGCCATTGTCGTAGTCTTGTTTGCTCTGGCCTATGGTGCCCACAGCTCTGTGGTGCCGCTGCTGACCACCATCCAGGGTGGCCAAGTGCTGGTGGGTGCTCCCGCAGTTGCCGGCTCCGTGGCTGTTCATGCCTCCGCGGTGCCCGCTGCCCTGCCGCTGGCTCTCTCCCCCGCTGGACCCGTGCTCATTCAGTCCTCGCCGGTGCATGCCACCATTGTGGCTGCTCCTGCACCAGCTGTCGTGGCAGTGGCTGCTCCAGCAGCCAGCTATGTGGCCAAGACACGTGGCGCTGTGCATGTGGCACCCCTGCCCGGACACTCGCAGTCGGCGGCTTCGGTGAACCTGGAGCCAGCACCAGGCACCTGGTAAACGGCAGCCCTGAAAGCAGCTAACCCATGGATATTCGACCCTGCCAGCCCTATCTCTGCCTTTAAGTCAGCTTTTTCCTCTACTTGCCATCTGCCTGGGCGGATCCTCTCTTTGAGATCCTTCCGGGATCCTCCAACACACAATTTTCTGACAGCAAATTCTAAGTCAAATCTATGAGTCACTCTTTCCTATCGTTTTTTTTTGCTTTATTTTCATTTGGAAAATTGTTTTCTTTTAAATACAAACCACAACAAAATGTTATCAAAACCAAAAAGATTTAAAGGTTTAGTTTTTGGGCAATTTTCTTGCAGTTCTCCCAGCTCCCACGCCTTCAAACCTTCTTTTGTTGTCTTTAAACAGCTAAATAGCTCGATCGATCGATCGATTAACGATTAACCGATGCAATTAATCAATCGATCAGCAAGCTGCTGTGAACCAGACCCAAAGCAGGGGCGTTGACGCAAAAGCCTCACAGTCAGTCAGGCAGTCAGGCAGCTGTATCACTTTGGTTGCCAACTGGTTGGAGGCCTCAGACACCAACTGAAATCGAGAGTACCAGAGTGCAAGCCAATAAACTGGAGCAGGGGGCGGTTTGCCTTGATCGCCGCACACTCGCACTTGCAATTATTAATAGAAAAAAAAGCAAGAACTGGATATGCACGGAGCAGCGCTACACCCGGCTAAGTAATGTTAAGTGTCTATGCAAGTTTCTTGTTGTTTGCTGGAGTCCGCCTTAACGCCCACTTTGGGGCAGTCGTGGCTGTACTTTTGTTCCCGTTTCCGCAGCCTCAAGTCTTTGGTTGCGAGCTGGATGTTGGATGATAAGCCCCAAAAAGTGCTCTGAGCTTTCAATAAAAGTGTCAATTGTCGAACGGGGCTCTAACGAAGTTAGGGATACCCTTGTGGATGTAAATACCCCGCAAATCTCCCCCAGCCAAGAGGGGTAACAGCGCTCTGACAGACAAAAGCAAACAGCAGCATTTTTGTTGCCGCAGCCAAGCCCCATACCAAATGCCCATAAATCTGGCCATTCACTTTTATATATATATTTTTTGTTGCACACTCGATGCCCGTGCCCCACCCTGCTGCTGCTGCTGGCTGCTGCTGCTGGCTGCTGGCCTGCGTGCGTGTAAATGCTAGACGCATGACGCAGCCACTGCACAGCCGCTTCCTCCGCTGCTGGCAAGTTCAAGTTTACGCACTCGATCGTTGTCTGTGGTGTGGCTTCCTGCTCGACAGGTTCAACGCACTTGAACGCATTTTTCTGTGGCACGCACCAAACGAGTTCACAAATTCACGCAATTTTGTTGCGGCTATCAGCTCATAATTCAGGCTGGGCGTTGAGTCGTTGAATAAGGTCAGTGGAGCAATAAAGGATTGAATCATGTGCGAGTGATTCATGCAGCAGAAAGAACAGAAACCCAAGTGGGTGGCTGGACACCTACAAACAAACAAAAAGCGAAAAGCCAGACTGCAACTATTTCGTAATAGTGTCTGGTCTGTGTGCAGCTTTCTTATCCGCACCCACAACTGGTTGGCTGCCTGGTTTGTTGGCCTAAATATAGTAACAACCTGTAACCAAATGTGCGCCAAAAAAGACACACAGACAGCCACTCGTATCTCTGTGAGCTCTGAGATATTCAAACCGAGACTTGTGCCACTTGCTAACGTCATAAACACACTACTAAACCCGTACTAAAACCGTACTAGAACTTGTGCTACGTGTACGAGTTATGGTCCCACTCCCACTCTTGTTCCTCCTCTGTTAGTTGTGACAGTTGGGACTGCGATTTAGTGACTAGTGACAGCCGTGACCGCGTAATTGGTTAGTTATTGACTTCGCTTAATGACCATTTACATGCCGTCTTAGCATACTAATTGCAACTGGATTAATTGCCCACAAATCTTGATCGCAAATCGAAAGGTTTCCATCGATTACGCCTGCGTTTGCCAATTGCATCATCAGCCCCCAAAAAAAAACAAAATATAGAAACAATTGCACTGCGGAGGCCACTTCCAGCTACAGCTCGAACACTCCAAAAAATGCCTACGTTAATTAAATGAACTTAAATCGTTCAACAATTACAAATAATACAGAATGTGTGGCTAGAGCCATGGTCGACGGAGGAAGTGCCCCTTAGCTGCAGGATAAAGCGATTTTGCAAACACTTTAGTGGAGCAGTGTTGTCAAGCGTAGCTTTGAGAGTACTTTCCAGTGTTGTAAAGCATCGTAATAGTAATTTTAAATTAATACTTTCCATTTTTCCTCCTAAACTTCATTGATTCAACACTTTTTAGCCATTTTCTCAGCTTTCTATAACCAGTGTTGTGAAGAGTAATCTTCGACTGACTTGTCGCTGCCTCCAGTCAGTGCTGTAAAGCCTACGCTTAGCTGGGCACTGTACTTTAGGCTGAATAACAATATCAAACTAGTGTTTAAAAGCATTTGCCAAGTTTCAGTGTTGTATAGCGCACGTATGGTAGGGTTCTCAGCAGCACGTGCAGCCACAGAGGAGTTCCTTATCACAACTATTCCTTTATTCAGTGTCTCTAAAGCTCAGCCTCAGCCTCAAATATAATTTCTTTCCTCAGTTTCCCAGCACCTGTTGTTCAGTGCTGCACAACGAAGGGCTGTCGCATGTACCCTTGAGCCTGTAGAGTATGGCAAAGCCAAATTAAATAATGGGTAACACGCCAAAGGTGTTGGCGGAGTGGGTGGAAATGCTGGGTTGCTGCAACCAAATTCGCTCGATGCTGGCCACCGCGTGCCACCAGACAGCGCCACAGTGTCGGTGTCGGTCTCCCGGTCAGCGCTTGTTTGCAATTGTGGCAACAATTGGCAGCAGCAGCCCAAAGGCCCGCGGGCCAAATTGAATTCAAGCGTGGCTAACATTGATTTCCCAGCCCCACCGAACCAAACCATTCCACCATTCCACCATTCCAGCACCACTGCCATTCACCCATAATTAGTTTTATTCTGTTTATGCGATTTTAATGCGGAATTCGCATTAATCTCGCTGAGGCAAAAGTGGGCGGCAACCGTCGGGGCTGGGCTGGCAGTGTGTGTGATAAGGACATTGTGGCGCGGACTGTACCGGACTCTGGCATGATGCAATCGCCCAGTGAGATTGCAACAAAAGGCGGCAGAATGTGCTTAGCTTTTGTTATTAAAATGCCATTTAAATTTGGGCCACACATATTTTTGTTTGGGCTAAAGAAAAACGTGTGTTGGCGGTGCCTGTCCGTTGCCCCGTCCATTGTTTTGTGGCTTGTGCAACTTGTGTGTCAATCGGATTTATGCCACTTGACCGTAGCGAGTGTGCATGTCGCGTTGCTTAACGCTTTGCCGCTTGGACGCCTGCGCACACGACACACGACACACGGGGGCAAGATCAATGCCAGCCATTCAGCCCAATGATTCTATGGAATTTCGGGGCGTGGCTGCCGCTTTAATCATTGCACCTGGATGCATGTAAATGTATGTCTGTTTGTGTTTGAGGAAACATTTTTGCTTGCTTTTGTTTTAGATTTTGTAGCCCACAAAGTGACGGCGTCCAATCACCTCGCCCATGTAGAACCACGAGACGATCTCGACGGTAACCAAAACATTCAGCCAGGCCTCACGCACTGTCACCTGGCCCAGACGTCCGCCCGAGGGCTTGACATTAGTCTTTAGATTTTTTGTGGATTCTTTCAGGCACTTTTGCAGCTTCAGAAAGTCTCCAGGCAGCGGGGGCGACAGCTCCACTTTGGCATATTTCCAGAATTCCTTCAATGGCGGACGTGCCAGCGCAGTAAGAGCTGTGGGAAATGTTTGTCAATCATTTCTAGGAGTTTATTTGATGGCCAAAAACTTACTCTTAGCCAGCGCCGTGGCCTTGGCCATGTATTGACTCATCTTGTAGCGAAGTTGCAGCAAAATTCGATTTAGTTTTTTGTGTTTAGCTGACACAGAGAGCGTTGCCAGATTGTAGCCAACTAAATGCCAGGCTGCTTCGATGTGAAAACTAAACGTTCGGCGTTGGGCACCAGCAAATTTGCTGGGGTACAACATTTGCATAATTGCCCAGCTTTCGCATACAATCTGCGGGCAATTATGCGATTTTGAAGCGATAACTGACCGATCATTACAGCACCCAACAAGATGGTTATTAGTAGAGCGAGCGCGCAGATCCACGCCCACTTGGGGCAGTGCAAAAACAATGGACACAAGACAAAGAATATGAAGAAAAATATGTAAAAAGAAGGCTGAAAATTGGCTCAAACCAGCGATGGATCTGGGGCACTGCTGGGGCATTATTTCATCATTTTGCATTTGATTGGGTGTAGTTCTCATAATATTAATGCAGCAACTAAACCAGTGAAGGGCTTGCAGCGGGTCTGCACACATTCAATTGGTCCAAGTACGAATATCACTAATTGAGAATGACATTCCACAGAGCAGAGACTGAGCGGGAGAACTATGAATAATCATTAATAAGAATGTGATTAATGGCTCATAAATTTTGTGTGTCTAAATGGTTCCAGTTCCACTCTCACGCGAGGCATACTCCGACATTTGGTTGGCCACTTCTGACACTTTAACCCTCGACTTGGAAACGTGGCCAAAAAGTTTTGATTTGATTTGCATTCCAATGACAATTTCAAGTTGAAATTGCAAACCCAAACATGGAAATGTAGTCCAACAATTCGTTGTACTATTTTGCATTTTTATTGTTTGCCAATGCTGACAGCAGCGTTTGATTATATTTATTCTTGGGCGTTGGCCCCCACAGGCTTACAGTCATAGCCGCAGCAAATGGAATGGGGAGGGGAGTGTAGCCGCGCCAAAAAGCGCCAAAACACGGACATGACTGTAAAATCTAATTGTTTATTTAGAACACTGCGCCAAAATGCAATGCGTGGGGAGTATTGGGTTGGAGATTATGAGCTTTGGATGGCGGCCATTATTGGGTATTGGCTTCGTTTCCCTGAAGGCAAAAAGATTCATGGATATTGGAATGTTTTTGCGATTTAATCAAGCTTTTGTTACGGGAATTGTTCTGTTTGATCTCTCTTGCTCTTTCCCCTTGAATCGGTCTGCAGATTTATCTGCCCTGAAGGTGCTTTAAGTGCGATCGATTGAAGAAGTCACTGCGCAATATTGGATTGCCCATCATTAAAGATATTTCACGGTTGACTGCCGCTTTGATGGTTATTTTACTATATTATTTAACGATTAATTAAGTCATTGTAAAAGGCAGAGCCAAAGGCAACGCCACAGAAGTTCTTAGCAGCGCCTTGGGCAATCGTAATGGTAATGGCAACAATATTCAATTGTTTTTGCAGTGTAGGCACGCGACTTTACCGAAAATTGCATGCCCCAAAGTTACGGCAGCACTCGGCAGTGGCGTTGCAGGCAGACACCAAACGGAACAGACATACGAGAAATATCTATATAATTGCAACAAAGAATTCTGAGCCGATACGCGATACGATTTTTGGTGCAGCAAATTGAATGGCTCTGGGCCGCGCCGTGCCACATGGAACTTATGACTTTTTAAATGTGTTTGTGGCTTTATCAATATATAATTTTGGGCTGTTTGTTGGTGCAATTTTCATGTTGCTGATTTGAGGCAACCGATTGGCTGTACCACCACTGTGTGTGTGTGTGTGTGTGCTCGTATTACCCTCGGCTCTAAATTCTTGTTTATAGTAATTTGCGCAACAATTGACAGCAGCCCCACACAGCACCACGCCCCTTCGGCTTGCCGGAGAGAGGAGCAGCAAGCGCTCGGGTTATCAGAGTATGCTGGTGGGTAGGTGGGGGGCTAGCCGCCACCCAAGGCAGATCTCTGTCGGACGATTGACGCAGCTGGGCAGTGAAAGGTAGCAAGCCGGCGCACCACCAGTGTACTCAAAACTGTACTCAAATTCTCGTCGTCGGCACGAGCCTCACCAACTTGGGCGTCGCCGTCAGCGTCGGCGTCAGCGTCGGCGTCTTCGTCTCTTTAGCGTTTTTTTGTGTGTTTTGCTTTGTTTTTCTCTGTGTGTTTACGCTGTGTGCTTTTGCTGTGTGTGTGTGTGTGTCTACGTTTATTTGACTGCGACTGTAAATGCGCGGCTGCTCTACTGCACTGCTGCTGCCGCTGCACAGGTTTTCCATTTGGAAAAGCTGGGGCAGGTCTTTTTGGTATATAAGTTGCCACAATTTGGTAGTCGAAATCAGAATCAACTCGTTCGCTGAGTATTCAACACAAAGTTTACCTTTTCTTCCTTCAACCAACCAACCAACACCCACCCCCCAAAAAGCAACATGAAGGTAAGAAAGAAACACCGACACAGCATACAGGATTCTCTTCTACAACTCTTCTACTTCTGAAACTCTTCTACCTGCAGTTCGCCGCCGCCGTAGTCATGCTTGTGTGCGCCCTGATCGGTGCTGAGGCCTCGTGGAATGCACTCCAGATCGCTCCTGGCGTCTCCTATGTCAACTCTGTGGCCCATGGAGCTGGCGCCTGGGGTGGTCCCTGGAACGGTGCCTGGAATGGTGGCTGGAACGGTGCCTGGAACGGTGGCTGGAACGGTGCCTGGGGTGCACCCGCTGCCGTGGCTGTCCATGCTGGCGCTGGCGCTCCTTGGAGCTTGACCGGTCCCGGCGGCTGGCATGGCGCTTCGGTTCCCGGCATTGCCCTCGCTCAGGGACCCGGTCTGGCTGCCGGACATGGACATGAGGGTGTCTATGTGGCCAAGACTCGTGGTGCCATTCACACCGCTCCCCTGGCCGGACACATCAACTCGGCCACGTCCGTGAATGTGGCCCCCGCACCGGGAACACTGTAAGTCAATCCACCGATCGACCCATGATGTCTCCCAGCCAACCAACCGATGCCAAACGGACGTGGCGGATGCCAGCAGGATGCCAACTTCGTTCTTCTGCCCATTTGCCTTCCACGACTCTCACACCGGATACTTCCCCCCGCCCACAACTGTCTCTCTATACACAAACAAACTAAATGTTAAGCACACACCGCTCTTAGTTCCCGTGACCCCCCACTTGCCCCCCACCACGATATACGAACACGATCCTGATCTTGAGGCGATCGATGATCGATCCCTCAGCAGCAATCTTTAAGTCCAACAACAATTACAACAACTACAAAGAAACCAACAAAACTGACAGCGCGTTAATTGTATTATTTGAGAACTTTCTACAACCACATAACTGTACCAACTTTCACATCTTCCTCTCCTCTGTACTTCTTCTTCCTTTACTCTTTGCTATATCTATCACTCTGTCTCTCCTTCCACCTACATCTGACAGAAATGCTCTGACAAACTGTAAATATACACTCCCCTCCTTGTACTCTAGTAATCTGCAACAATGTAAAGATTGACGAAAGCGTTATAAATAAACTCCAACAGCGTTTTTTATACGAAAACAATAAGGATTACTGTACTAAAATATGATATAGGGGCTGTTAAGTATATCAATTATGAATCACAAAACATAATTATTGATTTTAAAGATTTTACGGGAATTTTCAGCAAAGAAATTTGTTATCAGATGGGTCAGAATGCGTCCTTGAGAATCTTTGAGGGTTTTAATCAGAAAACATAATTATTGTTCGGTAAGATAGGGATAGGAATAAGAAAAGGGTGTTTAAGGGTTTGAATTTATAAAGGATAAAGGATTAAAGATCAAAAAGATATACTTGATATTTATGGTTGGGATTTAGGGATATATTTTATAAAGAAACTAAGAATTTTTCCATGGTTTGTAGAGTTTTCTACATTTGTATTTTCTGGAATGTTTTCTCTGGAAAGTATTCGACGAACCCATCGCTCTATGTGCCCCATGCTCCCATGTTTTTTACCCCCACGACCTTGACATAGCTCTCTGTACTACCACCTGTATCAATCCAATCATAACCCGCTGATTATAGCCAAACACTAATATGATTTAATTATTACTTAAGCTTGGGGTGTGGTCTGCTGACTGTTCCTTTTGTTTCAGTTTCAGTTACAGTTTTTGCACCTGCTGAAACCTTGAATTGATTGTCAGCTGATAACTGCCCCAAGAATGTCTAGTTCAAATGTGTCTTTGTCTTTTAAGTGGTTTACGGAGCACCACCACTAAGTGTGTATTATTATTATCCCAATTTGTTGGCAAGCACTCTGAACGGTAGTCAAGTTGGAGGCCAATGTCATTAGATCGAGAGAGTTAATTGTCGCCAACTGATGGATAGATTCAACTGCTGTATTGGGAGCACACAGGGCAGTGTGATCGTATGCTTAATTATGCAAACGCTTGATACTAATTACACAGCCAACAGAGCCAGACTTAGTTGCAGTCCAGCAGCTGTTCTTCGAGTGCAACTACCAATAATGGCCTTATGTGGCAAATTATAGCGATTGCTAATTACAGATTATCATCGAAAAAGCAGTTGAAACCTGAACTCTTACTCGGTGCCCAGATCCCACCACATATGGCCATGGAAACAGTACACCTCCACTGCCAAATCGAAGGCGGAATATATTTTTTTTCGGCATAGTTGAATTGTCTTTGATAGTGCAGCGGGACTTAATTGCTTGGCCTAATGGAGCCCAGTCTCCGGCTATGTGGGAAGTCTGGAAGTGCAACTGGCGAGACACCCACACTGCTCCTGACAGTCCATTAAACACCAAGTGAATGTTGTGCAATGTTTAGCCTTCCATTAGCTAAACGAAGGGACTGCCAACCAACTTTCCCATGAGTTTTCCTGTCATTTCTGCTAATTCGACAGCTGTCGACCCTTAACTTAACCATAAATCAGTTATTAGTTCGCCATATTCAGGATATGGCTGCAGACCATAATTGGTTGTGCGCGATTATTCAATGCTGAAATGCTAATCAAACACAAACAACAATTAAGTAATTAATTGCTGCTGCTGTGGTGTGATGGAGTGAAAATCAGCTTACCGGAACTGCAGCTTAAAAGTGGGTTGGGCTCGCCACACTCTCACACATTGCACTCGAAGAGAGAGAGAGAGAGAGAAACACTCACTGGGAATGCACTTGTGAGGCGTTTGCACGTTTGTCAGTGCTGTGCAGATCGCTATGGTTCCAAGGGCAACTGGTTCCGAGGAGGGGAACTTGAGAGGGGAATTTTTCATGGAAAGAACTTTTCGGTGCAGAGAACTTTTTGATGGAGGGAACTTAGCTTAAGGGAAGATCTCGGTTTTCCGTTAGTTTGAAGATAATCCTTGGGAGCTTATATTTGATCAAATTCCAAGAGGAGTCTATGATGATGTTTTGGTCTTCAAAGAAATGAACTGAACAACAGATCAGAGAGATTTTTGTATGTGTATTTTTGGATGTGAAAAGCCCTTGGCCCGCCCAAGGATTGCCTATAGTTGGGAGAGTTCTAGCCATGAAAAGAGTGACGTAAAATCGGTTTTCCCACCCCATGCCTTTATGCAATCTAAACAGGAAAGAAACCATTTCTCATTCTACTCCAGCATAAGACTCTGACTGCCACTTAGAACTAGTTCTCTGCCAGAATCAGCTCTAAGTCATGCCTCAAGCAGCCACGTCGTGCGGGTGTTCCGGGCGAGCAAACAATGTCTGTCTGCGCACTCAAGGCGGTGATCTGTGAGATCGATCGATAGGTGTAAGTCATGTCATTAGCTCTTAGCAGCATATGCAAGCGTAGCAACTGTCCCCCCAACTGTCTTGACAGCATGTGTGAACTCTCACTTTCATGAACCTTTTGTAGTTGTCGCCAGCAGACAGCCAGCCAGCCAGCCAGCCAGCCAGCCAGCCAGCCAGCCAGCCAGCATGTGGGGGACTCGGACTGTGTGCAGTGGGTATAAAACTGGCCAGCAGAACAGTCCAGAGATCAGTTCAGAACAAGAGTTCATTCAGAGCGCAAACAAAACCAAACACCAAAACCAGCAACATGAAAGTGAGTTGGAATCGGGATTGGAATCCCTGTGAATCCTTCTCTAATTTTGGTGTCCTTTCAGTTCGCCGTCGCCGCTGTCTTCACTTTGGCCCTTGCCCTGGGCGTTCAGTCGTCGGTGATTCCGCTGGTCTCCCAGCTGGCCGGACATGGACTCTCCTACACCGCTGTCTCTGGACCTGCAGTGCTTGCCTCTCCCTGGGCTCATGCTGCTGCTCCCTGGGCCGCTGGTCCCTGGGGTCATCCCGCTGCCGCTTGGCCCGCAGCCGTGTCCGTTGGCTCCTGGCCACCAGCAGCTGTCCATGCCCCCGCTGTAGTGGCCGCTGCGCATGCGCCCGCCGTTGTCGTTGGCCCTGTGGCCCATGAGGGTGTGTACACTGCCCAGACCCGTGGTGCCGTCCACACCGCTCCCCTGGCAGGACACATCCAGTCGGTGGCCTCCATCAATGCTGCCCCCGCACCCGGAACTCTGTAAGTGAGAGAATCTCTTGTTAGATGCCCAAATCTACCGATCGGACCGCCCCCGCCATGCCATGGAACTGCCTTTGATGGGTTCTCCCCCAAAAGGGGGAATCCTCAAACTGAACCACAATTTAATGTTGTACATAAATGTATATAGATCTATATATAGACAGGGTACACCACTCGCACCTAGCACTGGAACTTCCAACCAACCCCCAACAACCATAACTAGCCATCAAAATTCCCTTTCAAACCAAGCACCGTCTTGGCTCTCTCTCTCTCTAGCGCTCTCTTTATTTATTTCGAATACATTTGCCAAGCATTCCTGTGAAATTTAAGCTGAAGAACTTTCCTTGGGGAAATGTTTGAAATTTATGCAAAAGTAAAGAAAATATAATTAAAATAAAATTGATTTATTTGGGGATGAGATTAGAGGGATTGCTGAAAGAAATACTCATAGAGATTGGATAATGAACCGAAGATGATTGAAGATTAAACAACACTGATTCAAAAATCGATCAAAATTACCCAAAACTAACTAAAAATCTTCACGTTTAAATATCTAACCAAATAAATTCCTTAAAACTATCTCGACACTCACAATCCAATCCAAAGTCATAAATCGCTGCCTCACCGATTGATATTGTCACGTAACAGACCATAAAAAGCGACAAATATTGGACTTTAGATTTGTCCGAACCTCGTAATAGCTCAATTAACCACATAATAGATGCCACTTAAACGAGTTTAAATTATGCAGCTAATCCTATGCATCGACTGGAAAATACCGAGTGTAAATCCGATGGAGAAGCCGAGTCAATTAGTAAACACAGTTCGTTCGGCTGATGACAACAAAGATTTTAACAGTGCGACGCCTTCGAGTGTGGTTGATTGATTCATTGACTCAAATGGAACATTGAACTACTCAGAGTATCCCCCGTGTTACACTTACACTTCTCTATGCATACCCCTAGATGCCAGTTTTCCGAACAGAGCAACGCATTTGAATGGAAAGGCTGAAATGTCAAGTTCATGCGCAGGCGCAACGTTCAACGTTCAACATTATTGCGCGTTCAATAGCAAAATGCATCCACACAAATCAGATCGAGGCAGACGTACCCCTGCCCCGGGGCCACTCCTTTCCACAGAAGCCAACTGTTGCTGTGTAAACCGAATGCGTAATTGCCGGACCCCTCGTTTTCTACTGCCAGTCTGCGTTTCACGCGCTTGTCTTTGTCGTACACTTTGAGGTAGGGTATTATTAATTTCACAACGAATTAGTGACACAGAGAAAAAGCAGCAAAGAACTTTTGTTCTAATAATAAATTCTATATATTATAATTATAAATGCATCATTCCGTATCACTTTAGTTTTTCTCTACCTGAAAGAGTATTCCCACATTCGACTTTCGTTCTCCGCATTTCTGTCTTGTTTTTCATGTTTTGCTTTACTGCCGCATTTGGCTCTTGCATGAAATGCGTCAGTGTATCAATAGCTCAATAGACTCCCCTCCACCTCTCCTTCAACCACACGCCCCTTTTGGTGCACAGCATTTGGCGATTGAGCGAACTTACTTGACTGCTGTGATTTATTGCATGCCCGCGGGCCAAGAGTCAATCGTCGTCAATCGTGTCGACAGTCTCCCCTTACTGGGCGCACACGGCTCGTACTCGTACTCGTAAATGGTAAGAAATTTCCTACTGGGCTTCCTTTTTGGCCAGGCCCGGTAATTGTTACAGCAAAGAGAAAAGCACACAAATGTGCGGGGGGCGGTCACAGCGAATTGGCGGTGCTCTTACTACCACAACACGTGACACTTTATGCTTGACCCGTTACTTAGTTGCCCTTTAAGAATGTTTTGGGTTATGGGCGAAGATGAGATGCTCTCTGCTTTTCTTTACCTAAATTCATCTTTGGCTTCGACTTCAGAGCATTTAAACGCAATGAAGACTCATTTCTGCTCTCCCTGCCTTTTATTGGACACTCTTTGCCACCTCTGCTGCTTACACACATTAGCTGTAAAGCATTTATTTTCACGTCACGACGAATTGTGTTTGCTCTTACACTTCCACTCTGCATGCGTGCATACGTACAACTCACCCCTTCTATTTGTAGAGCATTCTGTGGTCACAATATATTCTGCATACATTGCCATACTCTCACTCACATTTGTAAAAACGCTCGCTCTCTCTCTCACTCACTTTTTGCATTTCTCCCAACAACAAGCAAATTGGCAAAAGAGTAAAAATAGCAAAAGCAGCGCACAGCAGCAGCGATAAGAGACAACAGCAGCAGCATTCGGCGACTATTTGGCTGCGTCCGAGGCAGAGCTGCCTCAGTCGTTCGGTTGGAAGAGCGGCGCGTCAACGTGCTTTCGGCTTTGGAATCGAAGAATCGGGCAGAACGAACAGACAACAAAGTGCATGGGAGATTCGTGCGTGATTTGCAGAAAACTGTCGCCGGGTGCAATTGTGAAATGCATAGAGAGGGGAAAGAGTGAAGAGTAAATGCAAATGTGAGTGCCAGGTGCGTGATTTGATTGGAAGCGGATGATAAGCCCGTTAAGGCGGCGCCTAAACCGCTATCTTTGTTTGAATTTTCATGTGCAAAGAAGCTGACGATGGGGGTGGGTAGAGAAGGAGCAGCAGACTTGGCTGCCACTTGAGACGCCAACTTTTTGCGTCTTTTTCTTGGCTATATGTATACTCGTATATGTGTATACTTATAACGATGAGCGATTGTTCGGTTATGGTTAGACTTTCATGAACTTTTATTTTTCTGCAAGTTTATTGCGCTTTATAAACATTTCGTTTCGTCTAATTGGACACGTTTGCCGCAGTCCAGCACACGCCCAGTGGCAGCAACCACCCACGAAAATAAACAAACAATTTCCAGTCCAATGGGAATTACACAATGCGGGAGAGACGCACAACAAAAAACAGCTGACTTGCACCCACCGTCCCCTTCCCAAGCGGCCCTCATTGTTTCATTCCCCTTGTTCTACACTTGTTGAAGCGTTTTGGCAAAAGAGAGCGGCAAGGCTGTCTGCCGCTCATTGAGTGACTCTCTCTCGGGCTTTCGTTTTGAACGAGCAATGTCAAGCAAAGTGTATTAAGTGAAAGGTACAGCAGTCACGCTCTCAAAAGTTTCCCATGTACAATGCTCGAGGCGACTGCATGCGAATTTGCGAGCGTGGGCCTTACCTTACTTAACACCTTTGCAAAGACCACTAGCATTGAGAGAGAGCGACCAAATGCAGCATCAGCTGGGCTGTGTCCGTCCATTGCCCTCGTTTGCGCCATCCCATTCCGACATACATATATTTAATTTCATTCCGCTTCCATTGAGATTCGATTTGATTTAAATAAAACAACGAGCTCCCTGTCTTTGTTTGCGGATTAATTCCTATTTGTTTTGTTTCCCATTTCGATTGGAATCGTTCTTTGTTTGCTCTTATCGATGCTCACGAGTACGGGGTATTTTTATTGCTTATATGAGGAGCTATTTGCGCAACTGAGCACCCGAGTAACGGCAGAGCAATGTCATGGGCACAGTGGGTTATTCTTAACTCTTTCTGTCTGCCATCCATCAACTTAAGTCATTCCAGTGTTTCCCGCATTTGTCCCACTGTACTCGCACACGCATGCACAAAAAAAAACCGTATTTATTATTTAATTAAATTCGTGATTTGTTGCGCTGTGTGTTGCTATTGCCGCTTTTATTATTTTGTTTCATTTAGTGGCAGAGAGTGAGAGCGGGGAGTGCCCCCATCAAATCGCATCATTTGTCGCTGAGCATCTGATGCGGCCGCATCTGATTCCGACTGCTGGAAAACACTTGGAGCTTGGAGCACACAAATCTCGTTGCCGGATCGGGGTCTGTCACTCGGTCTCTGGGGTGAAGTGTCGCGTCGTGACGATTCTCGATTTCAATTAAAGTCTACTGCTGGCAGCTATAACATCTTATTAACTCTCAACTGTGCGCTCTATTAAGAAGATTATACATAGACAAGACAGCGAATAACACAAAAAATAACATTACTACGTCGGACTGACCCAGAAACTCCAAGGGAAACTGGGTCAGAGTGCGAAATAATCGTGCAGTGTGGTACGAAACGGAATGAACTTGGAACGAGCAGAGCAAAAAGTGCCACAAAAAAAAGCTGCGCCATCATAAGTGAGATTCTTAGTGGAGTCTCAGGTGTTGTGGAGACACTTCCGTGGTGGGAATACATGACGTTGGTTCGCCCAACATGAAAGGCATCTGCGGGGAGCAGCTCAACAATTGCATGCTGCTGGGCAACTGCGACAACGTCGGAGATGGCGCAACAATAGTTGGAGCTGAAGATGGAGTTGGCGGTGCAGGCAGTGGCGGAGTTTTGGCTGCCTCGGCGCGTCGCATCCGCTTGCGGCAGGTGCAGAGCATGGCCGTGCCAGCGACCAGCGCCTACGACACACTGGAGCGACCCTATCGGCATGACAAGGCGCGCGGACGCTGGGCCAAGTCGGCAGACTTTTATTTCGCCAGCTGCACCCATGCCTTCACCTCGCTAATGTTCTCGGACCTGCCCACCTTCGGCCTCATACACGGCGGATGGGGTAAGTGTTGCCATTCACATTCCCGTGCTCATTATAATATTTCTTATCAATGGATTTCAATTAACTAAAGCAAAGGTTATCGGTGGGATTGCGTTAATTGCCGGGCATTTTGTGCGTTCCTTTTTTATTATAAACAATATTAAATTCGCGAGCGATAAGAAGCGCTCAAAGACTGTAAGACGACAGCAGACAGGGTTGTCATCAAGTCGCAGAAACCACAGCTATAAAAAGAGAGTTATGGATGCATGAGAAACCACAACAAAAGATAATCTCTCTGTGGTGATTCCACTAACAGATTCATCATAAACTGCGGGGTATAATCATCTGCCAACTGGTTGTGAGCAGCTGTAATCGGGGGCTATTGTGGGGTCATTAGTTAATGACATAATTACACTATGATTCCAGATAAAGCAAATAATAACAGAGTGCGCTGGGTGCAGATAAATATCGAGAGAGAGAGTGCGCATAATATTAATAGCACTTTTATGTGACCGCAGATCAAGGCCCTAATCAATGTAGAATTACTAAGTCAAACAATTGCTTATAAGGGAATTACTTACAGATAATATAAAGAGTGAATCAGTGTCTAGACAGCCACAAAGTGAATCCAAATGAATCATAATCCATTCCATTTTGCAATCTCTTATCCAATTTATAGAATTATTCATGTTCTTATATGAGACATTTTTCTTTTTCATCTCTTTACAGTATTATTTATAATCGCGTATCTTATGGGCATATTCTTCTATTCCCTGCCCATATTTTTGATCCAAGCATTTCTGGGACAGTTTTCCACATCCGGATCGATATCAGCATTTCGTGTGGCGCCCATTTTTAAGGGTAAGTGAAAGCCATTCCATCCATTTTGCGTCTAAGTCTTATGACTGTTGTGGCATACTTTCAGGCATCGGCTATTCCATTCTGCTCATCAATCTGGGAACACTCACGTACTACAGCATTGGTGCGGTGGTGCCACTGATCTACGCAGTGAACACTTTGCACGCGGTGATTCCATGGACGCACTGCAACAATACGTGGAATAGTCTCGACTGCTCCACACACGACAACTACGATCCCGATGTGAGTGGAATTAAGGGAACTTCTTATGCATTTTGCTTAATTTATTGACATTTTCTTTACAGGATCTTAGTGTAGATCCACATTCCACTGTGGAGTTCTTTCGGTGCGTAAAAGATTCATTCAATTTTGAGTTTTAGTTTAATTTTATTCTCTTCTCAGTTCGATGATTGCCTCCACGGGCGAAGGCTCTACTGCACTGAGCATCTCCTTGCCCATGCTCGTGGCTGTGGTGGCCATTTGGCTGCTGGTTTTGGCACTTCTACTCAAGCCCATTGCCTTTGTGAGTGTTACTTTTACCAGTAAAGATATCTTTAATCCTTCATTGTCTTATTCCCCTGTAGATTGGCAAGGCGCTGCGTTGTGCCTGTGTCCTCATGTTTGCCTGCTTCGTGGCCGTTTTCTTTTATTTGGCCATACACGAGCGCGTGGATCTGGGCACCATACACAGCTACCTGTTGCCTTCGTTCTACAATGTGGAGGGTCTTTTGAGAGCTGGCAGCTCTGCCTTTCTATTGGCTGGCCTGGCCCTCGGTCCCGGCTGTGGCAGTGTCATCAATCTGGCGAGCTACAACAGCTTTCGCAGCGATGCCGAGCGCATGAGCGTCTGGGTGTGCCTCACACATGCCACCATTGGCCTCCTGGCCATGCTCTGCTGCAATGTGGCACACGATCACTTCGAGGGTGAGCATTTCCATTAGACACTTAAGATTTTGGTGACTATATATTTCGCACTTGCAGATCATGTGGGCATGCTGCCGTTGCATGTGGACGAGAAGCACGATATGCAGTACTTGTATCTCAGTTTCTCGTATCTTTTTGGCCGCTTTAGTACAGCGTCCAATCTGTGGGCTTTTCTGTTCTTTCTTATCATCTTTTTGGCTGAAATTTCTGCATTGGTGAGTCCTTATTTAGAGCTTTTTTAAAGTTCAGCTCTTAATGGTCTCATTTCCATTGCAGACGATCCAACTCCTCTCTGTGCTGACGTCGCTCTTCGATGAGTTTGAGTGTTTGAGATGCAGAAAGATGCCAATTATTTGTTTTCTGGTCTTTGGCCTAGCGGCCACTTCCCTGTACTTTTGTACGCAGGTGAGTGATGAATTTTCCCTACCAGAAATCATCTGTATAGCATCTGTTCCTCCCCTTTCAGTTGGGCTTCAGTCAGCTGAATCAGCTGCCACGACTGGCCATGTTCTCGCATGTCCTCATTTCGGGTGTTCTCGTGCTGATGGCCACTTGGGTCTATGGCCGTGTGCGCTTCCAGTGCGACTTGCAGTTCATGCTGGGCAAAACGATCTCAAGCTTTACCATATTCTTCATACGCTTTGCCACGCCCATCTTTCTCGGACTGTGTCTGGTGGGTAAATGATTGTTTCGTCTTCCAAATGATCCTCAAATGTTCTTTCATTGCAGTGTCAGCTCGTCTACTTTTTGATAAGCTTCAATGAAGTCCCTCAACTTCTCATGTGGCTGAGCCAGGGACTGATCTTCCTCGTGGCCATCGTTTATATGATCTACAAGGTGACCAAAACGAATGGCAGCTGGCGGCAGCGACTGCAACAGTGCCTGGCGCCACATGACTGGCATCCGGTGGATGCGGACAACCGTCGCTTTTACGAGGAGATCATGGGCATATCCGAGATGCTGGTGATCGATGCCAATGCCAATACCACATAGTGCCTGTACTGTATATCAAAATACTCTTAGAAGCGAATCAAAACAGCGCCTCTGGGGGGGCCGCGTTCGTACTTAAGTCGCAGTCCACCATGACACATGAATGACGAGGAGGAGACGTTCATTCATTCTCTGCCGCAGGTCGCGGCTCGAACTGAAACTCACTTTTATTATACACACCATAAACGAAATCACTCAGATCAAGTGCAATTTGCTGTTGGCTGACTTTTTTGATCGAGCTGTACTGATATTTTCCACATGCCTAGCTATAGTCAACAATAAACTGGTGATATTTAGTAGTTGCCTACACAAAAATTAAAACTAAACTCCGCAGAAAGGATCAAATGAAAGTTCTACAAGCTTCGGCCAAAAATAATAACTAAAATAATAAAATTTTAACATAAAAATGTAGTACAAATGTGAAGTTTGTTCCTTATAAATGGACTTAAAGTGCATAAAGTTTACGCGAAGAAACTTATCATCCACAGGCAGCATTAATCTTAACTTTGTATATGTATTTTTAACTCCGTTGATGATGCTCTTCAGTAGCCACTTCACAAGCGATAAGTGGGAGAAGCCCTCGGACTTCGTTCTGTGTTTTGCAGCTTTGTTTTGGTTCTTCTTCGAAAGGGGCAGTACGAGTAGAGTCTCGTGTTTTAAAGATAATTCAGTTCGAGGAATATTGTGTTTTATTTCATGAAAATAACAGATTAACATTTCTCAACAGTCAGTTATGAAAATATTACGTCACTATTCACTCACTTTTCAGAGTTCTTCATAAAATATAAACATTATTTAAATTATTCTGCTCGTGAACATATTGAGCTCGTGTCGTGGATCGTGATGCGAAAAATATTGTTTATAAAAGTATTAAGTGAAAAGATTCCCGAAATTCTGCGAAAGCCATTTCCCTGCTGCCCGACGAGGTCTTTGCGGTTATCAGAGCAAATACTATTCCCTGCATAAATAATTAGTGAATAATTAGCTCTCAGACTATAAATGGGATTCCGTGCTTATTTATGTTACTGTTTGTCTATGAAATTGCTTCGGCAAAATTCTTTTCTTTTATGAGTTATCATTGATTGATTGCTTTTTTGAATCAGCTTATCGGAAAGTGTGTAAATTGTAGTGTTTTTGTTTTTGTTTGTTTGCTGTAACTACAATCGGATTCGATGTCATTGCGGTTCCGTCTGTCCGCCCATTTTATGCCCAAACACACACACACACACACAAATAAAATATCAGATCGGTTTCCATTCTCCGCCATATGAACTTTTTTCCAAATGAACTTGACGATGTGTGATGTCCCGCACAAGTGGCATAGACACAGATAAAAGAGCGTTGATAATGAACAACATGCTAATATAAATATCAAGTCGATGCATTGGATGCCCTAACCAACGAATTTTGGATGGTATTTAAGACTTAAATAAAGGTTATTCGCATCCTTCTTCTAGCTGAACTTTCTACCTCGCTCGCGCACACACTAGCAGCTGTAAGCGGTGACGAAAGCGGAGATGAAAAAAAACAACAACAACAACACTGCACCGGTGCATGAGCTGAGCTGCGCTGCAAGCTCTTCCCTCGCTCAAGCATGTTCGTTCTTGTCAGAAAGCTCCGCTTCTCCGTTTATGCAGCCTTTGGGGCTCGCTCAATGGCAGAGCTTTCATCTAAGCTATGCGGCCAGGCGCAGCAGTGTTGTTGTTTTTTTCGTCCCCGCTTTCAACTCCGCTTCCAGCTAGCGGGTGCGTGATCCCTTTCTCCATTGCTAATCAGCCTCGCAGCTTTCTCAACTGTAGATATGCCATGCTGGCAGCACAAGTGCGAGTACCCCTCCCTAGTGTAGCCTCATCTGTCGTCCACTGGGATGAGCTTGACGGCGGCTTGCAGTCCGATTTGGATTCAGTTTGCCGGCATCGGCTCTACTAATTAGTCCGTCAATTTAAAGTAGAAAACGCGCGCGGATCGTACGCGGCAACCACAACAACAACAACAAATTATACATAGAATATATATTCCACTGAGCAGCAGCTGTTTTTATTTTTCCTAAAAATCATCCACAAATCAAGGCTGCCATGGTCTATGAGACATCATATGGCATCGGCCAGAAGCCCTTCAGTCCGGATCTCAATCGTGGCAAATGGGAAAACCCCACGGACTTCGTCTACGCCTGCTTTGGACTCGCCCTCAAGTTGGATGTTTTTGTGGCCTCCTATTGGTACTTCTTCGATTTGGGCAGTGAGTAATGGGAATATTGAGCCGCAGCTTGAAGCTAGAAATAGCATCAATTAGGGTACTACGTAGTATATTTGCTAGATAGAAGCTTCTAATCTTTTTAGGGGCGTTCCATTACCTGACCTACAGAACCGACATACGACTGAAATATGATTCATTCGATTGATTTTACGTTGCCAAGGGCGTTCGATCGATTTTCTTTAATATATTTCCTAATTTCTTTATAGTTTTCGGCATGCTGCCGTACTACATGTACATGGTCATCTATTTGATTCCGATTCTGGTAATACATTCCTTCATGGGGCAGTTTTCCAGCAGCGGCTTTATATCCGCATTTCGTGTGTCGCCGTTTTTTAAGGGTAAGGGTGCTACGCTCTCCAGCTTTTCCTTTGGGTAATCCTTATCTTTTTTTAGGCATGGGTTATGTCAGCACCTTCCTAACCATCTCCATGCTCATCTACTATGGCATCTTTGCGGCTGTGCCGCTTTTGTTCATCATCAACTCAGTGCGTCCCACGCTGCCTTGGAGCTGTGAGGGCATGAAGTCCTGGCACAATGAATCCAGCGAGCATTTGACTGTAAGTCTTACAGATTGTAATCTTATATCTAATGTTTATTCTCCAATTATTCCCCGCAGATTTGCAATTATTTCAAGGCCGAAGATGACTCGATTAAAACAAAGGACAATGACACAAGCGACTTTAAGCTACTTCACATCCCATCGGTTCTCTACTTTCAGTGAGGCATTTAAAAACATTTTTTTCTATTTCTCAATCATGATTGATATTCCTTGCTGTTTGCAGAAACCACTTTGACATGCTTGAGTCTAGATTTCCCGATCTGGAGCGTGAATACGAGCTATCCTGGCACTTTGTGGGCCTCTTCATACTCGTCTGGGCCATCGTTGCCTTCATTTTCTACAAATTCTCGGAGACGGCAAAGTTTGGCAGGCTGCTGCGTTACCTGGTCCTGATTACTCTGGCCCTTTTGGGCGTGTGCTTTGTGCGTTTCCTCTTTCTGCCTGGCTCCATGAAAGGACTTTTGGCCTACTTGAAGCCGCGAAGAGATGACATTCTAATGGGCAGCGGCTCCACCTTTATAATGGTGCTACAAGCCTTTGGCGCTGGCTGGGGCAGTGTCATGGCTCTGTCCAGTTTTAATGGCTTCAAGGCGAATATTATGTCCTACAGTTGGATTATATCCTTTGGCCAGATACTCATTTATATATTCTTCGGTTTGGTTACATTTATGCTGGAGCATTACTTTGAAGGTGCGTGCAGTTTTTGTAGTGGAACTTGAAGTAAAAATCTTTTTCGCTCACAGACCAACACTCCGATAACTTCAACTCACATGTCCTTACCCACTGGCTGTTGTTCCTGTCCAGTGGCAGTGCCTTGGCCAGCTTGGAGTGGCCCAATTTGTGGACTTTCATCTACTACACGATGCTTTTGCTCGCTTCCCTCATAGTGATGGTAAGTTCATCTCTTTTGGGAGTTTTTTAATACACATTTTCCCCTTTGCAGATCACACAAATATTCACCGTGCTCGCGAGTATTTTTGATGAGTTTGAGGGCCTGCGAAGATACAAACAGAAAGTGACTTTTGGCCTGATTGGTGGCTTGGCTTTTTGCTCCTTCTTTTTTTGCACAAATGTAAGTTGATAAATATTTGTGAATAATTCACTAGATATAAATCTTTTCCCCCCCTAGCACGGCATTGTGTACTTCTCAGCTTTGGCTTTGGATGCCATTTGGTCGCACAGTTTGCTGCACTTGCTGCTGATTTTGGTGGTGCTGTGGATCTATGGCAGGGAGCGCTTTCAACGTGACATTGAGTTCATGTTGGGTCAGCCCTTTGCCTCCTGGAAGGTGTTCGTGCTGCGCTTTATAGCGCCACTTATATTGATCATCTCATTGGTTTGTTTTAGCTAAATTCCAAACTCAACCTTTGCCTAAAACTCTCTCCCCTTCGCTGTAGCTCATGGGCATAGTTGTATCCATCATGGAGCACTCGTATTCCTCGGTGGTTGTTATGATCATCAGTGTGTTCCTGGTGGTCATACCATTGCTATCGATACCCGGCTATGGGCTGTACAGCATGTACCAGAGCACGGGCAGCTGTTGGGAGCGTTTCCGTCGGAGTTGTCGCCCCACCGATTGGTATCCTGTGGAAATGGAACATCGACAGCAGTACGAGGAGGCTGTGGGCAATACCGATGTCACACATCAACTGTTCGAGGTCACCGAGGAGGTCAACTAATGTGTGCTTTAAATACAAATCAAAGTTTATTGGCAGGGTTGAATTTATAGAGATTTTCTGGGTTGGAACTACTTCATTGCCTCCGCGTCTGTGTCGGACATAAAGGCTGGCATTCTGCGCTGTCTGCGGAAGGCTTCGTATTGCTCACGATCTTCCGGATCGGCTGGTGTCCAGTCCAGTGGCTTCAAACGTTTCTTGAGGCTGTCAAACATAGTCTCCCGCTTGCGTATCATTATGTACAGGACATACAGCGGTATCCACATGACGGAGGACCCAAAACTTGCCCAACCAATGGCAATGGCCCACTGGGGATAGATCGTATTATGGTACTGGATGGTGCGTATAAAAATGATGCTCGTAAAGAAAATAAACTGCAAAGGAGTTGAGAAGTGGTTAAGGAAGATCCAGGTCAAAGTTTAGCTGTCAGCCACGTACGATTAGCACCACGGGCGTAACCCACTTCCAGAGTATCTTCCACAGCAGCGAAGGCCGCTTGCCCATCATGAATTCCACATCCATCATAAAGTTATCTATGCCATAGATGAAGGAAACCATAAAAATCTCCACCAGGCAGATGGCTATGACAGATATAGCCGAGGAATACCAATCAAACAGCTGCAGAATGTACATGCCGCCCTATGGGAAGAGTTTTCAGATTTTTGGCAGTGTTGCACAACGTCTAACTTACACGTGTTGTCATTATAATTGCACCGAGAAAGAACGCAAAGCAGCAGACAAATGTGAGCTTCCACTTGTGTTTCCTAAACCACTGGATTTCATCCAGGATGGAGGAGGTGATGGCCTCCAGTTGCACAAACTGCAAAAGGAAATTGAATCAGAAATACCCACAGCTTGAGTGGGTAGTCCTCTACCCACCACACTGTCAATGCCCAGCAGAAATAACATAAAGAAGAACATAATGGCCCACAGTTGTGGCACTGGCAGCTTTGCTATCGCCTCTGGATAGGTGACAAATGCCAGACCTGGACCCGAGGTGGCCACCGTGGCCACGGGTATGCCCGACTTAACGGACAGAAAACCCAAAACGGAGAACACCACAAAGCCCGCAAAGATGCTCGTAAACACATTGACGGTGACAATCAGAATGGAGTCGAACTTGGCATTATTTCGGAAGTCACTGAAGCTGGCCATGTTGACGATGCCACCCCAGCCGGGTCCAAGGCCAAAGAACATTTGTATGGCTGCATCAGCCCAGACTTTGAGATCGAGGAGACGATTCCATTCGGGATACATGTAGAACTTGATGCCAGTCCAGGCACCGGGCAGAGTGACGCCACGCACAAACAGAATGAAGAGCAGAACATAGGGAAAGGGCGCCGTAAAGTAGACAACTTTGCCGACCTGAAAAAGGGAAGAACCTTAAACAGGAGCAGCTTGCCCAGAGGTGTGCACTTCTTACCGATTGAATGCCTTTGGCCACGCACAAATAGATGACAACCCAGGCTAGAAACAGGCTGAGTGTCTGCTTCCAGACAATGCCATCCAAATGGGCGATGCCCGGCGAAAGCTGCAGCACTTCGCGACTGCAAAAAGTGACAGAGAAAACGGTAAAGGATAATGGAGCGAATTTCGAACTGCAAACTTACTGAAAGAACTCATCCGCTGATGTGACAAAACCCGTTGAATTTTGTTTGCTAAGCTGCAAGATTGAGTGTAGAAATGGCTGGAAAATAAGTTCTGGGACTCACCTCATCTATGGAAACACAATGATCCGTGTTCCACGAATGATCGCAGTCCACCCAGGGCACTTGCTTGTAGAAGCAGTAGGACATCATGCGAATGGGATAGGATATAATCACCGAATAGTAGCACACACAGTACATGTTCACAACGACTTGGGCGATGCCAGTGCCCTTGAATATGGGCGCCAGGCGGAACATGCCCGTGCAGCCAGTGCTGGAGAATTGGCCGATGAGCACCTCCATGTAGAAGAGCGGTATGCCCGCCAGCATCACCATTAGAATGTAGGGCACCAGAAAGGCACCTGCAAAAAAAGAGAGAAAAAAAAAAAAAAAAGATAATCCTTCGAGCCGGATTTGAACCAGCGACCTATGGATTTCAACGTATCGCGAGTAGGTGTAACTGGGGTGCCGTGATATTTTTCCGGACCAGCCCGAGTGTCCTGCCGCTGCTCGTCGCACATTCACCAAGCATCGGAAACTCTACAGTCCACCGCTCTACCAACTGAGCTATCGAAGGCGTTCCCCACAGGCCGGCAGCGAGGCCAACAAAAGCGGCAAAGCTTTCGCTCCAGCATTGCGCTCAAAAGAGACAACATAAATGCTAAAAATAGCCCACAGCCCCCACAGTGCACAGTGCATGCTCTCTCTCCCTGCCTCCAAATCTGAGTGAAATGAGCTTCAGAGAGAGAGAGAGTGGGAGCGCGAGAGAGAGTGCACGAGAGAGAGCGTGCACGTGGGTGGGTTGTGTGCTGCTGATTGACTTACCGCCGCCGCTGCGGTAGCAGAGATATGGAAATCGCCACACATTACCAATACCAATGGCATAGCCGATGAGCGAGAGTATGAACTCGGATTTGGATCTCCATTTGCCGCGATTCGTGTCGCGTACGATGCGCTTTGACTTCTTCGGTGGCGGTTGTGGTGGTGGTGGCGTATTATTCGCCATTAAATGTTTGATTTTCGCTTTGTGTTTGTGTGTTTTATGTTCTTGAATTTATCATGCTACTTTTTGACAGCAAAACACACACAAACAAATATTCAATGTCACGGCAATTAGCATGGAAGGCATGAGTTTATGTATTTATTTGTTTAAATAAAATCGAGCAAGGGCAGTGAGCATAATGAGTAGTTTTTTCGGGAACTATTCGTACAAGTAGCTCCCTCCAAATGTGACCCACACTATGACTCCTTGAACTTCCTTACTTGACACCCATGACATTCCTCGGAACTGACTGATGTGACACCCATGACATTTTATCTTAAAAAAAAAAAAAAACTCAAAATTAAACCACAAATGAAAATTTCTGACACTCTGGTACACCTATTGTCGGGTTTTAGTAACTGGTTATAACACTTTTATTGGCAACGTTTTAGCATCCATTAGATGTACTTAGCTCTGGTTTAGTTCACTTCCTGGAGATTAGTCTAACTTAGGCACTATGTGAGTGGGTTTTTTGTTTGTTTGTTGTTAAAGCTTCGATTTCATTGTGGGTTCCACACCCACTTTTTTCTAACAGCTCAGGGCGCCCAAAAGAGCCGTCAGTACAATGGGCAGAGCCTTGAGGACTGAAGCACTGGAATGCCCCGCAATGGCCGTAAAGTCATCCGGTCCTCGGGAGGCTCGCTTCTCTGCCTTTTCGCAGAGATTCCCACAATTGGCATGTTCGCAAATATCGCAAATGTTCGACTTGGGCGCACGATAGAACTGCCTCGCACGACGCGCTGAAAATCACACAAGAAGAGGGGAAACCCCATGAGTGCCATGGAAAATCGAGCAAGTTTTGGGGCTAAGCCTTACCACTATCGTAGTAGTCATACATGACCACAGCCACTGGCCGATGCTTGGTCACCTTGACCGTCTTGTAGGCATGCAAGGTGGGGCATACCTCGCGCCTGTCCAGATAATCAAAGTAGATGACGACCTTGGTATCGCGATTCTGTGTTTCCACCTTCTTGATACGCTCACTGGACTCCAGTGTGGGCAGCGTATCGGTGTCGACGACAAAGCCACTGGGCAGCTGCACCTCCATCACGGCCATATTGGAGCGTTGCTCCGGCTCACCCACCACGGAAACAAAACTGGCACAGGCCGACAGGTGCAAGTAGTCGGCATGCGAGTTGCGATTCACTGTGGGATCGAGCACAAAACGCGGCCAGGCACTGGTCACATTCGTGTTGTATTTGTAGCTAACTTGGGCCAACGCCATGCCACGACCAGTGGCGGAAATGCTGAGATTCTTCAGGTTGTTGGGCAGCTAAGCAGGAAAGGAAAATGAGGGTAAACTTTAGCTGTTTGGGAGGGAGAATCTTGTATGATCTTTTACCTCCACAGTTTGCATTGCCAGCGAATTCTCCGCATTCACATTGAGTATAGTTTCGGCTCCCTCGCCATAGTGGAAACCAATCTGCAAATTGTTGCCCTGACTGGAGAAACGTTCCGCGAACAGCAGCAGCGCTTGGAGACCCACAACCGTATCCTGGGAGGCCACAAAGCCGCCCTGCGCATTCCGCTGATCCATCAGCCAGTTGAGCACGGGCAGCGCATCGCCCACGAGATTGTTCTCCAGCAAGGCCAGCGCCGCATAGGCAGAGATCTCAATGTTGACACTGCGTGTGGCATTGTACCAGGGAGATTGCTGCTCACCAGCGGGTGCGGTCTTGTTCCACCATTTGCGACCATCTAGGTGCGAGATTTAGGCCTTTAATGGAGTGTCTGGTGAGTGGGAAGTCATCTGCTTACCCCCATTAATGGCCATGGAGTCGAGTCGTTGCAGAAAGGCTGCCTTGGCATTGTGATTGGCTCTCGAGAGCACATAGGTGCCCAGCGCCATGGCGTGCAGATTGCTGGAGCCATCGAGTCCGCGAGTGATAAAGTCCAGCGCCTTGTTGATGTTGTTGCGGTACTCGGGATAGGAGTCCTGGGAGCGGTATTAGTAATGAGAATTCCCTCTGTAAACTCCAGCTGCCACTTACCACACTCTCCATCAAAGCGAGCGTCACAAAGGCCGTGAGGCTAATGCCATCATCGCCAAACTGCTCGAATATGTCGCCATGCTCCTCGAAGCCTCCATTGCTCGATTGTACGCTCGCCAGGTACACGAGAGCGCTCTGCAGCACCTGGCTATCCACTTGGATGAAGGCAGCAGCCTGACGCAGGGAACGCGCCACATAGGCGGTGAGCCAAGTGGAGCTGCGTTTGGCATCCAAACCAAAGGCGCTAAAGCCACCATTGCCATGGCGATAGTAGAGCAAACGCTGGTAGCCCAGAGCCAGGTTATTCGTGGCACGCAGCTCCAACTCGGGCGTGAGCTGACGAAGGCGCTGGGAAGGAGTAAACAGAAGCTAGAAAAGATTTTGGAAGTGTAAATGGCACACTTACAGCCAAGTAACGCAGCACCATAAGATTGGGCACAAAGTGCACCATTGTCTGCTCGCCACAGCCGGTAGGCAGGTGGATGAGACTCTCCAGATTGCCGACAATGCTGCCAATCAGATCCCCCACCGCGGACACCTCAATGCTGGTGGACTCGGGTATGGCATTGCGGGGCACCACAATGCTGACGTTCTTCCTGTTCGGCGCATTCGAATTCAGTTCGAAGAGAAACCCTCGATTGACGCGTTCCGTGGCACCGGGATGTTGCACCAGCAGCGTTTGCTCCACTGTGTCTCCGGCCTGGGAAGAGGCAGCCATGGCTTTCACTTGCAGGGCGCCGACACGCTTGGGCGTGACTATGAAGGAAATGGAACGAGCGGACTTGCCGGGCACTTGAAGTGAGCGACGACTGTACAGTTCGACCTCTGTGGGGAGGAGATAGAAGACTATACAAAGAATATTGGAAGGGTTTATGGGTTACTTGGCTTGCTGGTGGCCTTGGGATCCAGCTGTGGGAAGTCAAAGTCTAGCGCTGTGTTGTAGAAGGTAACATCCACGCTCAGATCGCTCTCTCGATTATTATGCACCACAAATGGAATGGCAATGAGTTCATCTGCATGGAAAGGCAAACAAATTCAAGTAAACCTTAAAGCGGAACCTCTCCGGAGAGCCACTCCTACCTCTCCTTATGGCATAAGGCAGCTCTGTCGAAATGTAAAACTCCTTGTAAGCCTCCAGCTTGCCATTGGGCGCAGACAAACCCAAACCATTAACCGGATCCAGAGCAAACGCAGAGACAGCCCACGAAGTCATCTCACTGGGTATACGTCGATGGATCGAGTTGCGTCCATCGCTGCTCGCTGAGATGTTGAAGAACAGCCAAGTATCCGCTGGATCACGCATCACATGCACCCGCGGATTGTGCCAATATGGTTTGGGGGTGTAGGAGAAGGCATAGCGACCCTTGCCGGGCGGCAGAGTGTTCACCTCGATCTTGTGCGCCGGTCCAATGTCCGTCTTGCGCACTGTCGTCAGCTTATCCTCCTCGGGGCCAGTGGAGGCAGCCTCACGACCTATGGCTGGCGTGCTCTCTGCCTCCTTTTCGATAAAGTAATCCGTGTTGGACATGGTAAGGACACCAGACTCCTTGCCGGGCGAACCCACTGGCGTGTTGACATCACTCAGCTCGTATGACCGCAGGGCATCCATCAGTCGTTTGTGGGTGAGATCATTGCTCGAGCCCAAAGCGGCGGCATTTTGATCGACCAACATGAGGCCCACATAGGAGTAGGGCTTGGTGCTGATGCCAATGTCAATGTCCTGTCCGGGTGGTGCTCTAATGGGAGCTTCAATTTGCACCTTAAAGAGAGAGCGTTAGTGGATAAACTTTAATGGATGAAGATGGCTTACAGCATTGAGTAGATTCTCCTCAAATTGTATGACTTGTTCGTCGTAGACAAACTCTCCATTGACAACCATATAGACGAGCATTTTGGCACGCGGCATCATGGCAAAGGAGGCCAAAAATTTGATGGTATGAAAGGTGCTGTCGGGTACCTAAGGGAACCAGAAACTTGTAGGTTTCAAAATGCCAAGGAATTCGTTTTCTCGACTTACATCCACGCTGCGTGAGAGTATAATATCGCCACGTCCCACCAGTTGGTACATGAAATATTTCATGGGCTCATTGGAGCGCACCACCACGGAGATTTCCTGATTTACAGTGGGTCTGGGAAGCATAAAAGAAAGATTATAAACGGGGGAAACGTTTAAGGAGCTTGCTGTCTCCGCTTACTTATCATTCAACACCTTGGCTGTGATGTAGTTTTTGCCATGCAAATGCTTGCGCGGCACCTTGCCCACCTCGCTGATCACGCCCAAATAATCGACAATAATCGAATGGAATTCATCGCTATCGCCCACGGGCACTGTGAACTTCATTTTGATTTCACCGCGTGCATCCAGGCTGTAGATGCTGCGATTATACATCTCACTGCTGCCATAGACATTGGTCAAGTAAGCTGTGATCTCTGGCTTAAAGTCTCGCAAAGGAGTGCCATCATTGCGGGCAATGCGTGCCTGGGAAAGGAAGAGAAAAATGTAAGATCCATCAAGTATTTCCGGTCCAAAACCTACTGTAGCTTCAAAGGGCACTCCAGGTATATAGTAGCTGGGTATCTTCACTGTCTCCACGCGATAATGATTCAAATGTAGCGTCAGCACAGTCGAATAATTCTGCACAGAGCCCGTGGACTTCTCCTCCACCAGAGCATCCAGCAGATACTGCCGCTCATAGTCCTGCTTCAGTCTCAGCTCCTGCTCGATGTCAAACTCAAAGTAGGCATTGCCATCGATGGGCACCACTTTGCGGGTAATCAAATCATTGACAAAAGGCTGCAGGCTGCCAAAGAATGTGGGATAAATGGAGAGTGTGGCCTCACCCACAATTGGCTGACCAAAGGCGTAGCTGAGGGAAGCAAAAATGATTATTAAAACTCCCATTTTAGTCCCATAATAAAACTCACTGCGCCTTGACTGTTGCTGCTATCTTTCCATCCTTATAGATGGCATTTCTGGGCGTCTCTATGTCCACCACAAACTTGGGCAATATGTGATCGAGTATCTCAAAGTTTTGGCTGTGGATCTGCTCCGCCACTTCCACCTGTATGGACCACGTGCCAAAACGCGGATAGTCGGACAGGCGCAGCTCATTCGAGTAAATGGCATTGGTTAGGCGCACATCCTTGTAGCTCCTGATGATATTTCCACCCGAATCCTTAATGTCCACGTGCACCCGTCCATAGCCACGTGCGGGCTTTAGATTCGCATCGAGCACGAGCACACGATAATGCACCAGATCCCCGGGCTTATAGATGCTCTTGTCCGTCTGCACCAGAACTGTGTGCTGTCGGGACTCAAAGTGCAGTTGCGTTTCGTTGGTGAACTGCACACCGCCCAGACCCTCCGATGTGAGGCGATATCTATCGGGTTTCAGGTCGGGTATCTGCGAGCAGGCAAAGACTAAGAAAAGAGCTTCAAAGTGTGGCAAAGACTCACCTCAAAGTGCAACAATTGTGTGGCATAGGGCCGCAGTTCCACCGTCTTGAAGTCCGTGTAGGTGCTGCCCAGTATGCCCACCTTGAAGCGCGCCGATTCCGCTGCCTTGTGCAGGCTGACAGCCACATGGAACTGTGAGTTGGGGCGCACTGTATTCGGCGCAATGATGGAGTACAGACTGTAACGGAAATACAATTGAGATTTAATGTCTCCTCTTTTGTGCTTTTTCTTAAGCGATTTACACCTATGCTGCTGACATGCTATCTGCATCGGAATCTAAACCTTTTTCACTTCATTCGCGCGCTTAACGGAAGACAATACACCGAAAACACCGAAACCAAAACCGAAGCCGAACCTTCACCTCTCTCTCTCTCTCTCTCTCTGGGGTTAGTCTCTTTTGCCGCATCTGTCGGAAATGCTTTTAAGAGTCGGGGGCTCGAGCTCTTGTGGTTTTTCTTTCGGCTCTTCCTCGTTGTGGTGGGGGAAGAGCAGCAAAAACCAAAAGACAATTTAAATATGGTTTCCCCTGCCATATTGTTATGCTAAGTATTTTCCCTTTTCCAGTAGAGCATCCAACTAGCGGCTTTGTCTCTTGATCTTTGTTTGGTTTTCAATTTGAAAATCTCCACTCATTACTTGGGTTTTAGCCGTTTTTTGTTGTTGTTTTCTTTACTTTGTTGCTTTGGCTATTCATTTAGTTGGTAGCAAGATTGCGAAATTTATGGACTGCCTCCTAACTGTGCCACAACTGTCTGTGCCCTGTCCGTTCGTCCGGTCTGGTCTGTCCCGTCTCTGGCCTGCTCTTTTGGCGTAATTCACAGTTTTGAGCTTGTTCTAATTCCAATTGGTATCTGGTGCCACCGCCTAACCTGTTCCCACCAAAAATATTTTCTTTTGTGTTTATGTCACGTTTGTGTAAAAAATACGAATAAAAACAGGTTCGCTTTGGCAGTAAAATCGGTTTTAGTAAGAGCCAAGTAAATGGCAAAAACAATTTCGCTTTTGCACAAATTGTCCGCAAAACGTTGCAGGCCTGAAATTTCAGTTGCATTTCCAGCACACAGTTCCACCTGATTGGTTTTTGCTGCTATTGGAGGAACGACTGTGATGATGATAATGTGCTACGATTCACCTACATGCAAACGGCAGAAATCAAGCCTTGAATGAGTGGATTGACGCGGCCCATATAAGGCGATCGAATGGGGCAAACAGATCATGGACCCCGACAATGATCAGGAAAGTGCCAGTAAGAAGTAGACGCCTCCAGTCTCTTTCACTCTGCCATCAATCAGAATTATACACCGCAGATATAGATACTCAGAAGAGTATGAGTTTGAGTATTTGTTTTCGTACGCGGACTGGTCAGTCATTCATTCAGTGAGTGTTCAAGGTGAGAGCCATCGGAAATAAGTACAGACATAAGCAACAATCCGCGTTTATGTGTCACCTAAGCAGAACTTGTACCAGCAGAACTTGTAGCAGCAGCGACAGCCTCAGGCCACAGGGTGACTCAAGCTGTCGCGCTTTTTGCTCCTGTTTTGCTTTGGCACCGCCACATTGCATCACCCTATCAAAAATGGGCTGCGATGCTGTGTAGGCGACAGCAGCGCATCACCTCCAAAAACAAAAAACTGCGTTGGCTTCAGGTTATTTCATATTTTAGTTGCCATAATAAACCCCATGGTTAATTCCTTGATTACATGTTGTTAATAATACATCTTCAGCACACACACACACACTAACAAAATGATGATGAGTTTGATGTTGTTGTTTTCGCACGCTTGCTGCCTAAGTCTTTCGTTCGGATTGTGGATTGGTTAGGGATTGTCGGGATTGTCAAACTGGAAGTGTGTGGAAGAGTGCAGAGAGTGATGTCATATCTCATTCTCATTTTCTTACAGTTTGTCACACAGTTCTGTCTCTGCATTGTGATACTAACCCCTGAGCAGCTGTTTGAGTGTGTAAACAAGCTGTGACGATGACGATCAGCGCCAGCACTGACATTTCCTTTCCTCTATGCCGCCGCATTATGTTTTTGGTGTTGTATTGTATTTCCCTGATATTGTTTCGTATTGTATTAGCAAATTAAGTGTAAACACGTTTTCTCGATTGCCGCCGAATTGTGTATTGGCATCACATATTATACTATACACAGTCGAAACTCTATCGTTTTTGGTATGCCACACTGTCCGTGTGGGTAGAGTGTCTCTCTCTCTCTCTCTCTCTCTCACTAGCGATTGCAGCAGCAGCAGCAGGCGCACCAGAAGAGCACCAGAGATTGGCAAAGACGAGCTGCGCGTTTTTGGAGCGACTTTGATTCGTTCGTTTTGTTGTTTTTCTCGCGTTTTGTTGTTTCTTTCACTTTCGTTTTTTTTCGGGAGCGCGCCCGTTCACCTGTTAACCGCTTGAAAGCTCGCTGCCAACTGATTTTTAGTCAGGCCAGCGATTTGCACACAAGCTGAGCCTGAACACTGAGTGGGCGCTAGAGCTTTGGGTCAAGCTTTTAAGTTTGCTGTAGAGAAACGGTTGTAGCACCGACTAAGCGGCGAAACAAAAACGAAAGCTTTGACATATAATTTTATTCCTACGGCGAGACCTATATGGAGCTTGCATTCAATTTCAAATAGGAATGTTTAAATATCCTTAACTAGAGTAGTAGATTAATTAGTTTTATAGTTTAATACATCTTAATTGCGTCTCTTAATGAAAAAAAATATACAAGTTCCATTCTCATACAATGTCTAGGAACAAAAGTGCATTTCTTTACAGTTGCGGTTAATGCTCTCCACCGGCAGAACATCTGGATTACTGGAAAAGAAGAGCGTAATGTAGGTCTGACATTCTCATTCCATTGTTAAATTAATTGCTATTTTTATTTTGATATTTACGTATTGTGCAATATTTGTCATAATTAATTGTATATGCACAGCCGTGGGGCATAGCCCATACATTTTCTTATCGGAACGCTACTGAGAATTGATAACACCAATTGGTCAATGTTATTACAAACATCTCGCTGATCTCTCACTCTCCTTTTAGCTTAATCAAAACAAATAAACAAATACAGAGATTTATCATCAGTGACGTAGAAGAGAGCAACGACAAGTACCTACCCGTTGCTCATCTATTAGCGCTCGGCAAAAATTCCCCGCACAAAACAAACTACAAAATAGAGAGAGAGAGAGAGAGAGAGAGGAGAGGCGACCGACCGAACCCCAACCCCAACGAACGGATGGGAGAGAGATCGGTTGTCCGAAATCGTATTTAAGCCGCGTCTCATTTCAAGTCAAGCTCACTTTGGATCGCGCGCCGGCCATCGTATTCGTCTCTCTCTCTCTCGAGGTCAGTGTTTGTCAAAGAGAGAGCGCAAAAAGAAACATTGCCATAATAAAGCTTCGTGTGGAGTGAAACAAAATACAAAACAGAAATACATAATCCCCAAATCTCTTTACAGTTTGTGTCGCGTGTGTCCCGTTTCTCCCAAAATGTTGAGGATATTCCTCTGTGTGTTTGTCGTGCAATTCGCATTGCTAATCAATGCAACCGGGTGAGTACTGTTATGCAGAGAGACAAATATAAATAAATATGTACATATAATTAGTACAATCCACCGCTTATCAGTACAGCCAATGAAGGTTACAGTCAGGTGCCATCTGAGCTTCCACAAAAGTAAATAAAATATACACCCAGCACACTGGCCACGTCCACTATCCCACGGACTATGTTTCAAATGTCACTTTTGGTGCCCGTTCCCTTGAAACCGGTTAAAAAAAACACACACACACACATCGCCTTGCAGCTTCTTCATTTGGGGCGAGGTGTTTTTACGCTTCACTGATTAGTGGAACACGCGTCTGCCCAGAGGGGGAAGCACAGCAGGGAAAAACACAGAGAACCTTTTTGTTTATAATAAACACAGTTTTTAGGAGTGTGGATTGCGGGATTTTTCGTTGGGTGTCATAAAAAATACCCTGTAGTTTATATGCCTAACGGGTGTATTTGTTCTGTGGAAAATGACAGTGTACAACTTTTAAGTAAAGTACAAAAAATTTACCTTTATTTACGAGGCATTTGCATGGTTGTTGCATTTGGAAATACAATTATTTTATTTGTTTTCCATTATCACCATTTATTAGAATCAATCATAGAGAATCAGCATCATTAATTGGCAAAATCTATTCGTACATGGAATGGCAATTAAGAATTCGTAATCCGGCACACAGATTATTCATTTGCAAAAAAATTATTTTTAATTGAATTAAACAAAACTTATTGTGTTTATTGGCAGCCTCTATTCGGTGGTGGGGCCTGGCACCATTCGCTCCAACTTCAAGTACAATGTGGCCGTGTCCGTGCACCAGGCGGACGGGCCCAGCCAGCTGAGAATCAGCCTCAATGGACCCTCGTACAATGAGACAAAGGAGATTGAGGTGCTGCCGATGTCCACGCAGAATGTGGAATTCGATGTGCCGAAGCTGGCCAGCGGGGACTACAATCTGACGGCTGTCGGTGTGTCGGGCATCGTCTTCGAGAACTCCACCAAGCTGAACATGGCCGACGATAAGCCCTCGACCTTCATACAAACCGATAAGGCCACCTACAAGCCCGCCGATCTGGTGCAGTTCCGAGTACTCATCCTCGACGAGCAAACCAGACCCGCCAAGATCGACAAACCCATCACGATTGCCGTCACAGATGGTGCACAGAATCGCATTAAGCAGCTGACGGACATCAAGCTGACGAAGGGCGTGTACTCCGGTGAGTTGCAGCTGTCCGAGCAGCCAGTGCTGGGCACCTGGCAGATCGCAGTGAGTGTCGATGGCGATGGCAGCGAAACGAAGACCTTCGAGGTGGACAAGTATGTGCTGCCCAAGTTCGAGGTGATTGTCGAAGCACCCAAAGATGTCGCCGTGCAGGACAAGGTGATAAAAGCCACCATCAGAGCCAAGTACACCTACGGCAAGCCGGTCAAGGGCAAGGCCACCGTCTCCATCGAGCCCAATTATTCGCACTATCTGAACCGCGATGTGGGCACACAGGAGAAGACAATCGATGTGGATGGCAAAGGGCATGTGGAGTTCAGCATCGAAGGCAACCAGTATCGTGGCGGTTACTCTCCGCCTTTGAAAATTCTGGCCATTGTCACCGAGGAGCTGACGGGCAACAAGCAGAATGCCACAACGATTGTCAATCTGCACAGTCAACGCTACAGGATCGAGGGTGTCGACACTGCGCCCACGTATGAGCCCGGCAAGCCGTTTCTCTTTCAGATTGTAGTCAAGAATGTGGATGGTTCCCCAGTGCGCGACTCCGAGAAGAAGGTCAAAGTGAGCTTCGTGGCCGGACATCAATTTTCCGATCGTGGCAATCAGCGGGAGTTCACTTTCGAATCAACGCTGAACGAGCATGGCATGGCCGCCTTCAATGTGACGCTGCCCGAAATGGAAATGAGTTATGTGAGCATCAATGCCGTCTTCGGAGACTCCTCATCCTTTGTGGGCAGCATCTCCAAGTCACTGCCCGCCTTCGAGTCGAACGAACCACTCAAAATTGAGCTGAAAACAAAGACGTGAGTTTTACTTTTACAAACAAATTCGGAGCTAACTCTTCTGTACTTCTGCAGTCCAAAACTAGGCGAAAGTGTGTCCTTTGAGGTCAAGTCGAATGTGGCTATACCCTACTTTGTCTACACCATTGTGGCCAGGGGCAACATTGTGGACACCGACTACGTGGATGTGCCAAAGGGCCGCAAGACTCACACGGTGAAGTTTACACCCACATTTGCAATGGTTCCTCGGGCTATTATTTATGTCCACTACATCTACGACAATGAGCTGCGCTTTGAGGAGAAACAAGTTAGCTTTGAGAAGGATTTCAGTAACTCGGTATGGAGTGCCCCTTCCGTTTGTAGCTTCATTTATTGTTCAACTTTTGCTTTATTAGATTGAAATATCTGCGCCGCTGGATGCCAAGCCTAGCGAAGAGGTGACGCTGCGTGTCAAGACAGATGGCGATTCATTTGTGGGTCTGCTGGGCGTGGACCAAAGTGTGTTGCTGCTCAAGTCCGGCAATGATTTGAATCGCGATGAGATCTTCAACAGTCTCAACAATTACCGAACATCGACACCCTGGCAGCGCGGCTATGGACGTTATCCGGGCGAGACCTCAGGACTGGTGACCCTAACCAATGCCAACTATCCCTACAATACGGGTAAGCCTCGGGGGGGATATATTCCATTTAGAGTTCGGTCAGCGTTTCGATCACAGGAGCAAAACTTAAGCCGCATTCTCATCAGATTATCCCGACTATATAAACGATCAGCCGGAAGAAGGAATTCAGTCCGATTCGCTCATAGCTGACCAGCGGCCCTTGGCCATTGGTCCCGCCATTTACAATCGTCAGCCAGTGATTGGCGGCCCAACAGAACCCATGCCAATACGTCAGAACTTTGCCGAGGTCTGGACATATGAAAGCAGTAGGTGGGTGCCGGCACGTCCTAGTAGCAACCACAGACACGTTAACGCACCTCTAATGCACAGCTCTCTATGCTTTCTGCCAAACACAAATCTAAGTCGCTCTAAGGCACCAATACTAATATTTGCACATTGTGCAAAACGATTTTGCAAGCACACTGGAGAGTGCCCAAAAGTAATCGCAAATGATCCAAATTTTAGCGCCTGTAACCGCTCATCATAATGATTTATTTATGACGGACAATATCGAATACGATGAGGCAGTAGAGGACGATATTGATACCGTTGATGGGCCAATCGAAATGAAGCCAACAGACAGCGTGCGCACAAATTTTGCCGATCTCTGGATATGGCACTCCACCGGCAACGGGAGGTGGGTCCTACGGTTTAACTACAAAATTCGTGCATGAAAGCAAACCCACTCCGAATGCGCTCCTAAATCAACAGAAAAGTAGATTTAAATCTAACTCTAAACTTTAACCAAATACTAATGATGTTTATGTATATATATATATATATATATATATATATATCCCCGATGCAGATGATATTCTAGTACCTTTCTTTGTGCTCAATTCACCAATGCCTGTTGCATTTTCGATTGCGTCGGCAAGTGGAATGGGCGCCCCTGGTGCAGCATCAGCATCAGCTTCAGGTCCAGCTCCAGCTCCAGCCATTCCACAGATTCGTAAAGAGTTTCCGGAGAATTGGATATTTTACAATCAAGAAAAGTAACCAACAAGAATGACTTTTAAACCCTACTTTAGACCTCCAACCGTTGTGCGCTTTTTTGTCTGTTTGTTTTTTTTTTTTCTTTTTGGGTGTCCATAGGCTTAACTCTTAATTGCTTTAAACACTTTTCTATACTTTCTTTAACATAATAACTTGCTGGAACTGTTGCTCCTGTCCCTCTCTTGAATTTCTATGCCAGTCAGACGCTGGTTCACCAGAGTTCCCCTGCAGCGCTTTCCAGGCATGGGCTTCGGTTTAATGAACACAAATCTCTTGGCAATGAGGCCATCTGCAGCTGGGATTCCAATGCCAATACCACCAACAATCTCAGCCCCAGCTCCAGTGCCCCAAATACGCAAAGAGTTTCCGGAAAATTGGATCTTTTATAATGCTGAAAAGTATGAGCATGTTTTTCGCTTCGTTTTTTGTGTGCCTTTTGTGCTGCTTGACTAACCAACAAAATACCAGAGATATGGCAAACCATAAATCACCAAGAATGCATCATGGCAGGTCGCTTTCATTAGGTTTCAACTCCTCCTGCCTGCATAAAAATGTAACAATATTTTATTCCCAGTTCTGAGCCGCTGGCCTTGGCCCGAAGTTTATTACTTAAGATCGGATGTATTGGAAAATCGTGGCATGTTTGCAGAGCCCATTGAAGCACGCGCCTATGGTGCTTCGATATCCAGATCTGAATTTGATGCACCACAAGCAGCACCAGCACAAATACGCCAAGACTTTCCTGACACTTGGATATTTCTAAACACTCACGAGTAAATTTATTGTGCACTTTAATGGCGATTGTTAATTGTGGGACCACTCATCGGAGCATAATAATTGGCACACAAATGCATATTTGAGGAATTAAATGACACATTTCTCAGCTAAATCCAGCGAACTTTTGCAGCTGGAAGCTGCATCATTCAATATCCTTTTCCCAGATCGGTTCAATGATAAAGTTTATTACTCAATGTCTGATGGACTCGGTAAACTGTTCGTCGAAACCTGCGACACTTTTGTGCAAGACAGAAAAACATTCCACAGAATTTTCCCCTTGTTTTCCACTAACCAATTTCCCGCTTATTGTTTTGTTTTCTGCATGTTTTTCTGCATTCTTCAAGCGGTGATTAGAAAATATTTAAAAATTCATTTTAATCATTTTGTGGCTCGTGGCTTTAATGTTTTTGTGTTGTGGGTTGTTTGAGGCTTTAGAAATGATTCAAAATTAATTTTGTTAATCTCCCAAACAGCACGGATGCCGATGGCTTTACACTGGTAAAGAAGATACCGGATACCATTACCTCATGGGTGGTCACGGGCTTCTCACTGAACCCCAGCTCGGGCATTGCGCTGACCAAGAGCCCTAGTAAAATTCGCGTGTTCCAGCCTTTCTTTGTGTCCACCAATTTGCCGTATTCCGTGAAGAGGGGTAAGTAGAAGCTCTCTAAGAAAAGCAAACTCAACCTCAAGCCATAATCGTTCTGCTGCAGGCGAAGTCATAGCCATACCTGTGATCATATTCAACTACTTGGACAAGACACTCGATGCGGAGGTCGTCATGGACAATGCGGACAAGGAGTACGAGTTCACGGAGGCCACCAACGAGGTGGAGGAGAAGGCCAGCGATGAGGTGCGACGCATGAAACGTGTCACAATACCCGCCAACAGCGGCAAGAGCGTCTCCTTTATGATACGACCCAAGACCGTGGGTTCAACGACCCTAAAGATTTCCGCCACTTCACCCATTGCCGGCGACACCATCCACCAGAAGCTGAAGGTAGAGCCCGAGGGTGTCACGCAGTTTGTCAATCGAGCGGTTTTCATCAACCTAAAGGACCAACCGGAGCTGTCGGAGTCACTCGAGGTGCAAATACCCACGGAGGCTGTGCGTGATTCAGAGTTCATAGAGTTCTCGGTGGTGGGAGATCTGCTGGGTCCCACGCTCCAAAATCTGGACAATCTGGTGCGCATGCCCTACGGCTGCGGTGAGCAGAATATGGTGAACTTTGTGCCCAACATTTTGGTGCTGAGCTACCTGGAGGTGACCAACCGCAAGATGCCCAGCGTTGAGGCGAAGGCCAAGAAGTTCCTGGAGATTGGCTACCAGCGGGAGCTGACCTACAAGCATGACGATGGCTCCTACAGTGCCTTTGGCAAGTCCGATCCCTCGGGCAGCACTTGGCTCACGGCTTATGTGATGCGCTCCTTCCATCAGGCGGCAAAGTACACCCAAGTGGATCCCAAAGTGATGACTGCAGGACTCGATTTTCTTGTCTCCAAGCAGAAGGACACCGGCGAGTTCCCGGAGGTGGGCAAACTTTTTGACAATGCCAATCAGAACGAGCTGGCGCTGACTGCCTTTGTGCTGTTGGCCTTCTTCGAGAATCAGGAACTCATTCCCAAATACCAGAGTGCCATTGACAAGGGTGTGCGCTATGTGGCTGAGGAGGTGGACAAGACAGAGGATCAATATGCGCTGGCCATTGCTGCGGTGGCCCTGCAGCTGGCCAAACATCCGCAGGCCGAGAAGGTGCTGGCCAAGCTGGAGGGCGAGGCCAGGCAGGAGAATGATCGCAAGTGGTGGTCCAAGGGCACATCAACGGTAATCAACATTTGGCGTCCGCGCAGCAACGATGTGGAGATCACCTCGTATGTGCTGCTCGCTCTGCTCGAGCAGGGTGCGGCAGAGTCGAGTCTGCCCATTGTCAAGTGGCTGATTGGACAGCGGAACAGCAACGGTGGCTTTGCCTCCACCCAGGACACAGTTGTCGGCCTGCAGGCGCTCACGAAATTCGCTCAGAAGACCGGCTCCGGCACCGGCACCATGGACATTGACTTTGTGCCCTCGAATGGCACCAAGTCCACCATCAAAGTGGAACCTGCCAACTCCCTGGTGCTGCAGACTCACGTGCTGCCGAAGACCACGCGCAAAGTGGATTTCACGGCCAAGGGCACTGGCTCGGCCATGGTGCAGCTTTCGTATCGCTACAATCTGGCCGAGAAGGACAAGAAGCCCAGCTTCAAGGTCACTCCCACGGTGAAGGACACGGCCTCCAACCAACTGCTCGTGGTGGACATTTGCGCCGAGTACATACCGCTCGAGGAGAGCGACAAGGACAAGGACTCGAATATGGCTGTCATGGAGATTGCACTGCCCTCCGGCTATGTGGGCGACGCTGAGAGTCTCAGCAAAATCGAGTCTGTCGATCGTGTGAAGCGCGTGGAAACCAAGAACTCCGACTCCACGGTTATTGTGTACTTTGACAGCCTGACGCCCGGCGATGTCAAGTGCCTGCCCGTGGAGGCAACCAAGGCGCACGCGGTGGCCAAACAGAAGCCCGCGGCTGTGTCCCTCTACGACTATTACGACACGGAACGCCGCGCCACCGAATACTATCAGGTGAAGTCCTCCCTGTGCGACATTTGCGAGGGCAGCGACTGTGGCAGCGGTTGCAAGAAGGAGTGAAGTAAATACTAACAAATAAAATCAGAATAAATAAAAAGAAATAAATAAAGTGTATGAAAATGTATTCTGATTGTTTTATTTACTCAGGAGATCGCTTTGCACGCTCGGCATCGATGAGTCTGTGGGGAAAAGGTCAGAATTATAATGGATTGAATTATGGTATTCAACGTTAAACCAAAGACAGAACAATACAAATGAAATTGCATGAGAAGCAAAAGCTTTTTCAGTTTTCGTTTCAAGCCTTAACGGTACGGTCGCGAGGTGCTTGCACTTCAATTCTGTTTTATGCTATCCTTCGCCCCTGAAATGAAATGCTACTCGACTTCGTCGATGCATTGGTCAGCGCTGATGTCTTTGGCGCGGCACAGTGGGCACTCAGCCGAAAATAAGTGGCAATAGTCGAAAAATGTTATGAGCGCTTTGGATATAAATAATGTACGCATATAATATAGGGAATTCCAGAGCTTTAAAATATAAAAGTGTGGAAACATTGATTGAATGTAGCAAGCTAAAATTGCCCACTGTGTAACGGGGCTGAGACGTCAGAATCGAAACTTCTGCCTGCGCTTGTCGTTTCGTCAATGCCTTCAACATGGCAGACGGTTGTCGGACAGAGACGAAGCATAAGCGAAGAGAGAATCGAAAGCCCGTGAGCTCCCCTCAATCACATAACGGCTTAAAGTGAAACTATTTATGCATTTGGGAATCTATCACTATCCCTTTCTAGCACTTGCATAAGTGCTACACAGCGCTCGCTCATTCAATTTCTTTGTATTATTTGGTCTTTGGTTAAACTTACTTCTGCACATCGTCCACCAGCAACTGCACATCAAATGTTTCCTTTTTGACTGTGTTGTGAAATTCTTCCAACACTCTGGGATGCACCATTATGTCCACATCGTTCTTGCCCATACGCCATAAATTATACTTGAATAAGAGATACAATAAAAATATAATTAAATGCAAAATAAATATAAAAAATAGTTAAGTAAATTGACTCACCATCTCGGGATCAGATAGCAGAAATTCAATCACTTGAAAGTGACTTTTGGTATTGACTCCCACTCGAAAGACTTTATAATTTGTATAGGAAACAATTGCCGATTTGGTGGTTTGCTCTGCCACAGGAACGGGCACTGGGAAGGCCATGGCTTGGGCAACATCAAAAACCAGCAATGCAATCAAGAGCAACATTCTGTGTGAACTGACACCAAGTGGGACTCAATGGGAATGCTTTATGGGAGCAATACTATTATTCGCATTCCCCTCAGCAGATGGCAAAGCTGTTGCTTTTGTTCCTTGATTAAAAAGGTGCTTCGGATCGTTTAGCTGGAAAGAAAGTGTTTCGGCATATGTATTCCGGGTTCCGACACTATCAAATGTGCTGCCAGGGCTGCGCAGCACAAAACTATCGTCGAAGCGTGAGAGTATCGGTGGAAAAGAGTTGATAAAATATAAAATAAATTCAAAATTTTGCTACTTCTGTGTGCTGAGACTTCAGCATTCGCTCTGGGACTATATTTGGAAACTGACTTGGCTGCCTACTGAGTCGGTTTACAGTAAACTCACCAAAACTATCGTACTATCGAATATAATAAAAAAAAACTCTGCATCTGGGGCAGCACGAGGCATATTTGGGTCCCAAGAGCTGTGTCCAAGCATCGTTGTCGGTCTCCTGCATTCATTTGCTGTGTCATGCACAAGCAATGTACATTGTTTTACGTTTTTTTGTTTTGATAATGGTTTAGTAGCTGCCATCTGATTGAGGAGCTTCCTCTGGAGTTCCGGTACAGAGTCTGTTCACGAACAGTTGCTTCCAGCGGCAGACATTCGCCACCAACTTTATCTTTTCTTATCTGTCTAATTTTGATCAAGAATTACCACTAAATAATTGCCCAGTAATGCCTCTTGAGTTTCGTTTTGCTATCTTTACAACCTCCAATTGAGACTGTGGGTAAAAAGCAGCCACTGGCTGTCGGAAGCCAAACAGTCGCTGACTTTAGGCCAAACATCGAACATGGGCAACACCTTCACTTGGCTGTGGGCACTGGCACTGCTACAGGGGGCTCTGGGCGCCGCTGTGCCAGAGACAGACAGTCGTATACGCTATGACAATTATGCGGTGTACAAAGTCAAATACGAGAGTGTGGAACAGCGAAATCTGTTGGAAAAACTGACAGAGGATCGCGCGAATGTAAGGCTCTGGCATGAGGCCAAGGATGAGCTGCATTTGATGATCAGTCCCCAGAGCTTGTCGGAGTTTCAGACAAAAGTGCGGCAGGCCAATGCCAGCGCAGAGATTTTCATAGCCAATGTGCAGGAGTAAGTAAACCCCTAATCAATGTGGAATTTTTATAACACTCCGCTAACCTCCGCTTTTCCTTAGTCTAATCGACATGGAAACGACCGAAAACTCACGAGGCACCAGCGATGAATTTGGCTGGAAGCGGTACAATTCCTTGGCCCAAATTGAGGCCTGGCTGGATGAGATACTCGCACGTTATCCGGTCATAACCGAAGGCTTTATCGTGGGTCAATCCTACGAGGGCAGGACCATAAGGGGCATTAAAATCTCCTACAAATCGGGCAATCCGGGCGTCTTTATAGAGTCGAATATACACGCCAGGGAGTGGATTACCTCGGCCACGGCCACTTGGCTGATTAATCAGTTTCTGACCTCGGAGGATCCGCTGGTGCGGACTCTAGCCGAGAGCCATGACTGGTACATTGTGCCGGTGCTGAATGTGGATGGTTTTGTCTACACACACGAGAAGGTAGGAGAACAGCAAATCCTCCTCCTGCAACTTGAGAGTTTTCTCAACTTGAATTTCTGTTACTTCCCCCAGGATCGCATGTGGCGCAAGACGCGTCAACCTTCGGCCACTTCCAGCTGCATTGGCGCTGATCCCAATCGCAATTACGACTCCCATTGGATGGAGAACAATGGCGCCTCCTCGAATCCCTGTGCGGAGAACTATGGCGGCCCGCAGCCCTTCTCCGAGCCAGAGATCAAAGCCATGTCCGAGTTTGTGGCTGGCATCAAGGACAAAGTGAATGTCATGCTGGCCTTTCACTCCTACAGTCAGCTGCTGCTGTCGCCCTATGGCCATACCGAGGAGGAACTGCCGCCGAATTACGATGATTTGATGGAGGTGGCCAAGGCCTATGCGGATGCCGTGGAGGCGATGCCCTATGGCACGGTGTACAGATATGGCACAGCGTCGGGAATATTGTGTGAGTAGAGAGGGCGCCGGAATGTCCTTGGGGGCGTCTCTTTAATGGTTGAGTTTTCCCTTTCAGATATCGCCTCGGGTGCCACCAATGATTGGGCCTACAACGAGCAAGACATTCAAATCTCCTACACCATTGAGTTCCGTGACACGGGACATTATGGCTTCATTCTGCCCCCGGTGCACATTGTGCCCAATGCCGAGGAGGCGCTCTTCGGCATTGCCGCGCTGCTGGACAAGTGCAAAGAGTTGGGCTATCTGGCAATCAAATATTGATCCAGCAATAAAAGCATTAAGTAGCGATTACGATTGGGTTTATGATTGGGTGTGGGTTTGGGTTTGTTGGGTTTTCTTTGGGTCTGTTTGCTGGCTGGCCAAGTCATTCAATGTTCGCCATGCGTCTGCTCTGGTCGTTGGCGCTGCTCTTGGTCCTGGCTAGCGCGGCTACGCTCAAGGACAGTCCCAAAGCGCGTTACGATGGCTATGCAGTGTACAGATTGAGTGTTAAGAACAAGCTGCAGCTGGCCGTCGTAGAGCAGTTGTCGCAGCTGTCCAGCAAGGTAGGAGCGGGGTTTGCCCTTTGCCATTTGAAAGCCAAACTGAGTGGAGACTTTGTGCCACCTTTTTGCAGTACAACATCTGGAAGGACTACGATGAACACTCCCAGCAGGTGCACATTATGGTTGCTCCTGCAGAACTTCAACACTTTCAGGCACTTGTGAGCCTTCATGCCATCAGCAGTGAGCAAATAATCGAGAATGTTCAAGAGTAAGTGGCACATACCGATCCAGCGATAAGCCATTAACTATGAGTGTGCCCATAAATATTTCCCCCTCTTAGCCTTATCGATGCCGAGCAAGTCACGCCCGCCGCCGACAGCGCACCTTTTGGCTGGACTAGGTACTACGAGCTGGCGGAAATCGAAGCCTGGCTGGACAGCGTGCTGGCTGCCTATCCCACAGTCACTGAGGAGTTCGTCGTGGGCCAGTCCTACGAGGGACGCACCATTCGCGGCATTAAGATCTCCCACAAGGCGGGCAATCCGGGCATCTTTATCGAGTCGAATATACACGCCAGGGAATGGATTACCTCAGCGAGTGCCACGTGGTTCATCAATGAACTGTTGACCTCCCAGGAGCCGGCAGTGAGGAGTCTAGCAGACAGCTACGACTGGCACATTGTGCCCGTGTTCAATGTGGATGGCTTTGCGTACTCGCACGCGAAGGTACAGTCAACTCGGAGTACTTGCTGGCACTTTACAACACTGTTAATGCCTTTTCCTTGCTGCAGAATCGCATGTGGCGCAAGACACGCCAGCCACATGCCACCAACGAATGCATTGGCGTGGATGCCAATCGCAACTTTGACTCCCATTGGCTGGAGAACAATGGCGCCTCATCGAATCCTTGCAGCGAGACGTTTGCGGGGGATGTGCCCGGCTCGGAGCCAGAGGCCAAGGCTTTGACGGAGTATCTCCAGAAGATTGCGAATGAGTTCAGTGTGTACATATCCTTCCACTCGTATGGGCAGTACTTGCTGTCACCTTATGGCCACACGAAGGAGGAGTTTCCGGATAACTACGATGATCTGCTGCAGATTGGCGAGGCCTTTGCCACGGCCATTGAGGCGCTGCCCTATGGCACCGCCTATCGTTATGGCTCCACAGCGGATGTGCTTTGTGAGTGCTGAAAACTGAAGTTAAACCCACCCAAATTTGTGCCTCATTTGTGCTGCTTCCCCTTTGCAGATGTAGCCACGGGCACCTCCGTGGACTGGGTCTACAATGAGCTCAACAAAAAGGTGGCCTTCACCATCGAGTACCGCGATCAAGGCCGCTACGGCTTCCTCCTGCCACCCGTGCAGATTTTGCCCAATTGCCAGGAGCTCATGGCCGGCATGTTGGCGCTGATTGGCAAGACCCAGGAGCTGGGTTACTTGTAGTCGAAAGAACTTTATTTCTGCTCATTAAAGTACCTCACATAGGAGGCCAACAGATCGTCCATTTTGTAGCCTTGGGTGGTGCTGCACAGCAGCTTTGAGGCGCCAATCATGTTGCCAAAGCGTATGTGAAAGTGATTCTTGCCCGAGCTCCACATGCCCAGCTGGGAGTACTCAAAGCTGCGCAGCAGTTGCTTGGTTTGGGCATCCAGCAAATGGAAGCCCGCGGCATTGATGGCAATCAGCAGGCACTCGGGCAGGCTGTCATCGTTCTGCTGCTTGACCACAAAGAAGGTGGAGCCGAAGCAGGGCTGCTCGGCGAGTGACTGCAGAAAGAGGAACTTGGCCTGGTCCTCGGTCAGCTGCTGCTCGTGGTGCAGTCGCGGCAGAATCCGCTGCCTCCAGTCCGAGAGTGGCAGCAGCGGAATCAAATCCTCCGGCACCAGTCTGGGCAACACCTCCGCCAGTCGCTGCAAACTAACCTCCTGATCCGCACTGTACACGAGTCCGGCTAGGTGTGCGGCCTGCTCGCAGTCTATGGGATAATAGCCCTTGAGATATTTGTGCAGCTCCTGCGGATAGCTGAAGATCAGATCCCCCTGGAGATCCTCTCCTGGCTGATTGTTCAGCCAGAGCTTGCGCATAAAGTGGAGTTGGTAGTGGCCATCGCAGCTGGATCTTATGGTCTTCTGTTGCCGCAGCCAGTAGAGCAGTTGACTGATGAAATCGAACACAAAATCAGCCTCGGGCATGGCGTACACCTTGTCGCCCGTCTTGAGGAAAATGCTGTAGCCCAAGGGGGACTTTAGCTGGAGTCGTTGGGCAATCTCCGCGATGAGCTCGGAGCCGCGCGTGTGCGACTCAATCTCAAAGGCCTCCACGGTGTCATCGGGGAAGTAAATCTTGTGATAAATGTGCATGCAACGCTGCTGTATGCCCTCCACTTCGATCAAGTGTGGCGCCTGCTTGCGCTGCCCCTGCTGCACGGAGCGCTTCAGCCGCTTGAGGCACGCATCGGCCAAGGAGTCCGCGCGCATGCGCAGGAGGATGAGCAGCTCCCTCATGATCAAGACACTGGGAGCCAGCAACCCTGTGGCTAGATAGAGCAGGTCCCAGCCACGTTTTTCGCCCTCCAAGGAAGGATTATCGCTGAGCTGCCTCATCAGCTGACAGTAGAGTTCGTCGCAGAGCAAAGGATGCAGCAGCGCGGGCTGGAAGATCAAGTCCGTGTTGACGGGCAAATTGCTGCGCGCAATGTCGCCCATGTACTGCAGGAACAAAACGAAGTTTAGGTGAGGGAAAATTAGTTGGAGAAGCTCGTACTACCTTTAGTATGTGATGGTAGATGACCAAAGCTTGTTGGAACAGCTGCGGCTTGTTGGCCAGAGCCTTGAGCAGCGGCGCCTTGAGTGGCTCCGCTGAATGCTGCCAGAGCGGCGTCGTTTCAGTGCTGTAAAACAGTGCAAAAATATGCATAAGCTCCAACACTTTATCCTCCACTGCAAACTCACTCTAGGCGCTCCCTAAACTGCATCTCAGCCAGCTGCGAAATGTTGTGCTGACGGCGTCCTAAAATTGCTTTGCGCGGCACTGGCTTCGGTGGCTGCTCCTCAAACCTGCCCTCGCGGTAGATCTCCTGCAGCTTGTCGCTGGGTTTGGTCAGTGTTGCCAGCACACGCACATTGCCAGCGGTAAATTGACCCCACTGACCTTTGACACAGCCACGATAGCACTGCTGTGCGCTGCCGGATAAGAGTTGAGCGCCCGTGACTCCCGCATCGAACTGCACGAGATCGCCGGGGGAGAGCCTGAGGAAATCCTCATCCTCCAGCTGCTGGGAGTCCACACCGTCCAGGGCCACACCGTAGCTCGAACGCTGCCGCAGATTGTCCAGCATGTAATTGATGAGCTCGCTGGCATCCTCGGAGGCGCTGCACTGCAGCACAAAGTTCACTTGCTGCACGGTGCGCACATGCAGCTCCCCATTGGGCTCGGCGTGGACCTTCAGCAGCTCCGCAAAGCTGCAGGAGGCCAGCACCTGTTCGGTTTCATCGATGAGGAACAGACCCGTGGCATTGATGGCCAGCATCAGTTCATCGCTCTGCAGCTTGGGTCCCTCCTTGCGGTGCACCTCGAACAGTCGCGAGTGCCGCATGGGCCAGGACAGGTGAGCAAAGAGACAAATGTCCTCCTTGGCGCGCTGCTGATTGGCTGCCAGCTGCTCCGGCTCCGGCTGCTGCTGCTCCTGCTCCTGCCGCACATACGAGCTCCGCTCATAGGTGGCTGCAATGAGGCGACTCCAATTGTCGACGGCGCGCTCCCCGGGAGCCAGCAAATCACTCGGCACAAAGGCGGTGATCTCAGAGGCTTGCAGGCGGCCAATGGCACCGGGACCGTGCTCGATGAAGCAAGCCAAAGCGCAGACCATGGCAATGTCCTTCTCGGAGCGACAGCGATATTCCCCGCATCTCAGACCATTCAGGATCTGTTTGTAAATGAGCTGAGTGGCCTTGGGATCCACTGCGGGATCATGCCATGTGGCAAACATTTCCTTGCGCAGATACAGCTTCCATGGAGCATCCAGCTGCCGCTGTTCACACAACGAAATGGCGTCCAGGACATGCTCCTGCCCAGCGCCCAGTGGCAGGAGTCTCCCGTGCAGCGACATCAGCAAACCAAAGCCAAAGGTGTCGCTGAGTCCCAGGCCCTGGCACAGCTGCTGCACTGCCTCCCTGGCCGTGCTGGCGGCATCCACCTGCAGTCTGCGCGTCTGTCCATCCATCAGGTGTATGTCCAGCTTCAGCGGCTGTCTTCCACGGATGGCCTGCAGCTCCAGCAGCGATGGAGGCTGCCTCCTTGGGCCATTCACGAGCGTTCGCTCCAGGCGCTGCAGCGAAGGAGCAGCCTGCAGCTGCGCAGTGCCCCGCTTCATGAAGCTGCGCAGATGCGGCTCAAAGTCCGTGCTGGGCGGAAAGCAGCTCAGGCAGAGGCTGAGCAGCAGCCAGCCGCGAGCGTAGGAAGTGCGACTGGGATTGAGGTACAGCTGCTTGCAGATTTGTGCGAGGATTTCGTCTCTGAAACGAGATTGGAGCGTTACATTGGGCTGCCTTTGCCACAAGCTTCAAACTACCTTAGATTCTCCTTGAGTATGCCATGTCCTATAACAAACTGCAGCTTATCGAGATGACTGCTGGGAGCATTGAGCCACTGCTGGTAGAACAGCTCCGCTTCACGCTGGCTGCTGCCTTGCAGCTTGGAGGGCCGCTTCAGCGATTGCCGCACAAAGAGTCGCGGCCTGGAGGCACCAAAGTTGCCCAAGAGACGCGTCAAGTCAGACATGATGTTGGCTTCCTCCGAGTGTGGCAGCGGTGAGGCAGGATCCAGCTCCGGCAGATCACCCATGAAGCGTAGAATCGTTAACCAAATGGCCTGAAAAAGAAGGGAGCAAATGTCTCAATATGCCACTCAAAGTTTGTGCAGAAAGGACCCACCTTTGCTGCCATTTCATCCAGCGGCAGTTCATGCTTCAGCAGCGACTGCTTCAGCGGCTTGCGCTCATGCTGCGCTGTGGCGCCACCGCCAAAGTACGTGGCAGCATATTTCAAATAACTAAAATCCGAGGTGTCTATGTTCCTGGACAGCGGCTTGGGCAGGCGTATGGTGTCCCCAGAGGCTAGGGCTTGCAGGCGCCTGCGCGCAGCCTGAAAGTAAAGACATTTTTGAGTGTTTTTCCAGCGTAAACTTTAGGCGACTCTTCCAAGTTCCTAACGCTGCCTCAAGTGCGTTCTCTTATACTCTTTGGACACTCAATTCAGTGGTATTAATGGTTTCGACAGCTGTAATCTGAGTGCCACTTATCGTGCGGTGCTTCGGGGCCGTAAGCTTTTTATTGGGTGGGGCATGCTGCACCCGACGATAAGCATTTGTTCTGCCTGCCGATTATTTACGATCGGTGGATTTTTTACTGAATTTATCACTTATGGTGAGGTATTTGTTTCAAACTTCTGCCGCCACTGCCACTGCGATAGCAAACTGTCGTCCGCCTGCCGTTCTTTTGGCCACGCTCCACTTCGATTTTTGTTTAGTTGCTGCCTAAAGACGAGACGACACGGTGCTGGGAGCTGACCCACTGGGAGCTGACCCACTGGGAGCTGCTCTGCTGAATCTGTCCCAATAAACTGTTTATTTTTGTGTTGTTTTATTTGGAATTTGGAAGTGAAACGTTTGCCTGGGGCAGCTTTTTGAAGACTTGGAATTAATGCAGAAAGATTTGAAACTATTTTTTGAGAGTGTAAATTTGAGGTGTGCCAAGGAAAAGTGCAGCAAGAAATATGGAAAACTTTTGACAGGGGAAACTTTAGCTAGAAAATTAACTGAAGAAAAATCTGAGGCAACTTTTAATGAATGGGAAAATCCCAACTAAATTTAGTTTATAAATTTGCCAAATTTCTAGAGCAGTCCCAGAGTTTTCTCCTATATTCTATTCTAGGAATGCGCAAAGATTTCTTTAGAGTGTTCTATGAAATATCCCCAGAGCTCTAAGAGCTCTAAGAATTCCCCCAAGTAACTTTCCATGAATGGGCCAAGTGTTCGTTAGAAGTGCCCAACGTAAGTCTCAAAGTACTTTCATTCAAAAATTCCACAAATTGGCAATAAACTAGTGCCATAAATTATAGAGGAAGCAACTATTTGGGTTGACTTTTATGATGTAAAATCAAATAAATGAAATCAGCTTTCTCGCAGAGGAATATTTTAGGAACTCCAAAAGTTCTAATCTTTAAAGTATGCGCCAAATAAGAATTGACAAAAAAATATATAAAAATAAAAATATAAACCGATTGTCGTATCTGTGAAGAGTTAATCTATGCCTAAGCTGCAGGCAAATGAAATAAATAAATGCCCAAACATTAGTCATGGGTGCTCAAGGTGTTAGCTTCAAAGTAATCCCAGCTGACAATGCAGAAATATATTACAATAATTGAATGGTGAAATGGTGGAGGGACACTCACTGGCATTGACAAAAATATACAAAAAGCCAAACAAGATCTTGGCTTCCGA